TTGAGATAGTCTACTAAAGGGAGGAGGCGGGATTTTATGTACCCGCAGCCTCAGGGCTACGGGGAAACTTTTGCCCGCGGCAGACCAGATAGAATGCCGTGCTCATAGACCCGAAAGGGATCCAGATAGTACGTTAAATTGATTCTTATTATTATTATTATTATAAATTTATAATGCTGTTGTTGAGATCCAGGGCTATGAAATACCCCGATTTTGGTGAGATTTTGAGGTGGCTAACTCACTGGTTTGGCTAGCTCGCTGGTGGATTACGTTAGATTGAGCAGCTTTTAGGGAGTGGATCATCTCCCCGGCGAAAGGGGAACCTTTGGTGTTGACCTCCAACCATGTGATCTGCCTGCACTCCAGCCAATAGGCGGAGGGATCTTAGTACGGTAGCCCTGCAACTGTGTGCGGACTTGTCGAGACTCAAGTCCTGATATCAACACAATTCAAGCTTCTCGTTGCTCGATGGATGCCTGGAGTGTCTCATACTTTCCTACCTGCGCATTTCATTATCTATTAATTAGCAAGATCATTAACCGAGCACAGGGCGATCTGAGGCGTTTCCGAATCACCAGAGTCCATGTTCTCTTCCGCAATGTCGAAATCCTCGAGTAATACCTAACGTCTCATATCGACGTGAACCAAAAGTCATCAAACGATTGATCCGACCGAATCCTTGGGTCGTCCTCTTTCTATAAAGCCTTCTTTGCAGATCTCAGCCGTCTTGCTGTCCACAGCATCGTCGGTACCGAACAAATACCTAGCTTACTCCCCTGCCTTGGACATGGCGTTGGGCGTACAGTACACACCGTACCGGGGGCACAAGACCGACATCCCCAGGAAGGATCTTACTGGAATGGAATACCTACATGGTATGGATCTCAGCCTCGTTTCCGCTTCTGCTCAGAAGTTACAAGAACAGCCATGTCTCGTTCCTACATGCGTTTACTCAACGGTCGAATGTCCGTCATGGTCCCACATGAGGCTCTTTTAAGCCTCACTTCCTCTATCTCACTACTCGCTGCAAGTTCCAAATATCCTGTCTATCCAATCGAGTCGCCATTTCGTGTTTCGATCGTTTCGATGGTTCTGTCGCCAGACCAGGTGATCGGTTCATGTTGAGTCGAGCGGATTGGGAAGCATTGCTGGGTTCTACGACCACCCGCTCCGACCACGGCTACCTGCAAACCTGTAACGGGTGTCACGGAGCAACGAAACCTCCAGCCGCCCGCTCCGTTTCTGTGTTGAACAAGTTGATATCCAAGCCTTCCCATGGAGAAGGGATTGATCGTCGGTCGGCGTTTAGCCTTCAGGATAACGGCGGGATGTTGTGAGACTTCCCGGCACCGGTTTTGGAGGGGCACAGATCTGTCGGCAGCAGTTTCCGGACGCCTTGGAATCGCAAATCATATTAAAACCTGGGTCCTGGATCGCCAAAGAATCACCCGGGATTATTTGCGCTCGCTTGTGGTGCTAATTTGCCTGTGGGTGAAGTATCGAACGTTTGATTTCTATCCGATCTGTGTTCTTTTGTGTACAGCCTGTGCAATCTGCCGAGTCGCGTCCGCATCGTTTCTTCATCTCCACAGGCCTGGCTAAGTGCATTACTCCTTGGCCGTTCAGTTTCTCCCTCACAACCATTGCTATTCCGGTCGGCAAATCTCATGCTTACAGCTTGCAGCGTAGAATGATTCTTTGTCGTGTATAGATTGCCTCCCAAGCAGACCGCAATGGACTGCGGTCTGGCTGGTCATATGAAGGCGCCATGGACTTGGGACCTCCCACTCCAGCTTCATCGCATTGTTGGTACAACATGGGGTTGATGCAGCTTGACCAAGCTATTTCAACGTCAAGTCCCCAACGGCTGTGGCGTACAGGATGTTGTGCTTGTTTAGACCATCCTCCCCATAGCCACCTCGCAGAGTGGAGACGCTGCTGTCTGCAATGGCGCGAGCTTCCCGGCCTAAAGTGGAAAACATAGCGTCGTCCTGCATCACAGAGTTGGCCTTTACAGCATCTCGCAGGTATGACAAGGCCCGGACGAAGGATTCTAGAAAATGTCTCGACGCCACGCCTGCGGCATCATGGCAGTTCGCAATTGACCTGATCCTAGTCTTAATTGCATATCATAGAGCAGTTTCGAGCGGATTTTGATGGGCGATACGGACAGATACTTAAAGACAGTGTGATGCCAACTCGATTGAACGATGGCCTGGTTTCCGCAGCGGTTGACTCGCCCCAGCACTTTCATCTTACTCGTATTTATGCCAGCATCACTACGACAGCTCAAGCAGGAGGATAAGCTTGTCAGCATTGTTACCAATATTCTTATCCCCAGTCTCCATTGTCATCGATGCAGTTTTGATTGATGCTCATCTTGTTGGGATTTCCAATTCGGGTAGCCAGACATCATCCTTTGTTACCTGCCCACCGTCATTCATGACACCCGTACAGTATCTGGGGTATTGACTCTGCCGAGAGCGCTGCTAATAGACGCAAGAACCGAACAGGTATGTGGCTGCGATGTTCGCAAATCATGACCAAGCAATTGCGTGTTTGCTGTTCTTCCGGTTGCTTCCCTCTGTTCCAACTTCCCTTTGTCAAGAGGACGAAAGTGCCGAGTTGGCAAGGACAATAAACGGTGGTTGTGTCTTGCCGCATTCCATGCTGTATTGCATCCATCTATTCTCCACGATGATTCTGCCGCGGCCTTGGAGGAGTGCTGCTGTCTATTGACAATGATGTGCCTTCTCTATTCAGCACAATCACTATTCGGAGCAAGAGCAGCTCAATAGCAATGGCAAGAGGTGGATTGTATGCTCCTTCCTCTTATCCAACATCCTTTCTGCCTGGGATTATATCTCTTCTCTCTCTTCTCCGCTCGTCTTCATCTTTTCTTCTCCATTCCAATCCACTCTCACCAGCACTCATACGATCTTGATTTTGCATCACAAGTTTTCCGCCTCATCAACATCAGCTTCGTGCACATTGTTCCTCAGCTCTTTGCCTAACTGTGAGTCTCTCCCTTTGACTTCATCATGCCTTCCCCCTTCTCCGACATCATCTGTGTTGTCCTTGCTCGTACTTATAGTCAACTCTCCGATTGCTGACAGCACCTCTCATTCCCAGGATTCCTTGGCCTCGGTCGACATACTTCGCCCTCCAGGATTTGGACAAAGCCGCTCTTTGGTATGTCATTTCAGTCTCCCTATCTTCTTCACCTGGTCTCATCTCTGCTCCTTCGACTGTCATGTCAAGACCTCTGTCCTCTTGCCAATGCCACCCCTTCTCTGCTAGTCTGCCATATTGTCAGTTGGCCAGCCGACTCGGCACCTCGGCCAGAGTGAACAATGTTCTTTGGATTCGCTCCATATATTCGAACTGTAGTTCAGTGGTTGTTGTCTGTTTGAATATGCATCCCGACTGTCATGTTTCTTGACAATGGGAACTATCTGCTGTTATCACAATAGCAGCACACATCCTTCTTATTAACCCACTCACCCACACTGCTCCATCCATCCTCACCCACTCACTTACACATCCCTTCACATCTATCTAGTTTAGCTTTGTCAAGCATTCTCTACGAACTCATTCTATTGGAAATAACTACTTACATTCTTCCACCAGGTCTGCTTTTGCCCTTACAGTGGTATCTAAACGCAGTTCTCAATTCCCTCTCACGGAATTAGATGTAAGTCCTTTCTCTCTTGTCTTTCCGCCGGTCTTCCGCTGGTCTTTCCGCCCGTCTCGAGTCAGGACAGAGTGAATGGAATGAAAGCCATCCCATTGGCATGCATGGCAGCGAAAGTTCACATTCACATTCACATTCACATTCACCCAACTTGAGCAATTCCCACTGAACTGAACTTGTCAACTCTCGATGCCAGAGTCACCCTACTCCCAATACACCTTTTTCTTGATCTTTCTTTTACATTCTGCATCCACTTGCGTTCTTCAAAGTCCTTTGAAACTTCTCTTCCTCGTGCTCCTGTGCCATCTCTTCGTACACCAAAAGGCACCTGTTTCCAGCAACCCCTAAGTTGGTCACAATACATCTACTCTTCACTTCTTCGTTCCACTTCCACTTCTTTCTGCTACGCAGATCTTCATTTTCTCTGTTGCTTTCAGTCACTCTCAGTTGTTGTTAGCACTTCTTTTCTTCGCTTTCTCCCTTTCCCTATACGATCCCAACGCTTCTTCTTCCCACCACCACTTCTTCTTGCTTTCTTGCTTTTCCACCAAACAACTTTCATTCCCGCATTGCTTCGGATACCTTTAAGTTGTTCTCAGCACTTCGTTTCTCAAAAGTTTTCCCTATTCAAGTTCAGTTGCTGGCAAAGAGCTTTAATACCCGTTTCATCCTCGCAGTTCATCAATCATGGCTTCTCCCCCTAAGCGTCCAGCTGGCATCGACGCGCTTATTGTTAATCAGCTCATCGGTGCTCAAGCACTTGCCGCACTTTCTCGCCAGGATGAGCAGAAGAGGCTAATTTCTAGTGATTCAGCCAACATCAACATGAGCAACCTCCATGCAAACATGTCTGGTCGCAAGCAGGACTACACCCCGACCCATCTCACCAAGAACTATTCTGCAACCGGTGCGAACGGCTACAGTGGCTACGGGACTCGTCCTTACCCCTATCATTCTGGAGCGGGGGCTCAGAACGCCGGCGATGCCATGAACCACTTGGTCAACAATTTCGGTGGGCTTGCTTTGACCACTCCTCCTTCCTACAACCCTGTGGCTCATAAGCTTGCAGGGCACTCAGTTGCCGAATACCCTGCCATGCCGATGTATGGGGGTCACAACACCGGGATGATGTATGGCGGTGGACAAGTTCAGGCCGGATCCAATCTGTACGGTCAGATGGGACAGTTCGTTCATCCGGGTCAGTACACTCAGTACAACGGCGATGCGGCTCACCAGTGGACTCCGCGTGGCGTCTTGCCCTCTGACTCCACGATGGTCACACCCAGCATGATCAACTCTCGCCGGGAGAGCATTTCTTCCAATGACCAGGATGTCCCTCCCACTCCAGTTCCGTATGGAGCTGGCAGTGGCCAGGTGGCCGTCTTTGATCGTTCCACGCCGAACGTGGCCCTGACGCCGTCTCCGACCAACCTTCTGGCTTTCAATCTGGTCACTCCTGTCAAGCAGACGGCACCTGTTCAGCTTCCTTTGCATCTTCAGCTCCTTCTGAACAAGGAGCCTACCATTCCTCGCGCCATTCCTGCGCCTAGCTCTCCTGTCAAGCCGCTTGATCGTGCCTTGGAGAACAAGAATGGCGAGACCAATGTCTACATCCGTGGCCTCCATCCCGAGACCACTGATGACATGCTCTATGCCTATGGGGCACGCTTTGGGGAGATTCAATCTTCCAAGGCTATCATTGACATGAAGTCGAATCAGTGCAAGGGGTGAGTTCTTCGACCCTCCATCACACTATTCATTCACTGAAAGGAATAGCTTCGGTTTCATCAAGTACCACAACTACGAGGATGCTGAGGGTTGCATCCGTGGTTTCCATCACCTCGGGTATGAGTGCAGTTTTGCGAGGGTAGGTTGCTGCCACCACTCACTGTCCTCAACTCCACTGACTCTTGTGTACAGGAATCGTTCTACTCCAAGCTTAAGAAGTTTTCTGACGAGGGAAACACCAACCTCTACGTCTCCAACATCCCTCGGAACATGAATGAGCATGAGCTCTCTGAGATCTTCGCTCCGCACCATGTTATCTCCTCTCGCATCCTTCGTTCCTCGGATGGCCATGGCCGTGGAGTCGGCTTTGCCAGGTGAGCTTCTTCACTTTTCTCTCACAACAGTCTGACTCTCAGCACAGATTCGAGACTCGCGATGTTTGTGAGGAAGTCATCGGCACTTTCAACAACATTACGATCAAGAAGGCGGGTGGGGAAGACCATGTCATTCAGATTCGCTTCTCCGACACCCATGAACAGAAGCTTCTCAAGCAGCAGACCGCCGCTGCTCGTCAATTCCGCGCGGCCGAGTTTGAGTTCGGTGTGGCTCAGGCCCGTCTGGGGAACATTCCCGAAGTTCAGCTCCCTCGCATGGCTATGCCTGCTGAACTTGGTGCCGTTTCCTCTGATGGGTAACTCTCTCCTCCATACCCAATGATCTTCTTCGCTAACGTATTCCACAGCAAATATGCGGCACTCCAGACCGACCTCTTGACTCGTGTGGGCGGAGTCAGTGGTGATACCACGCCCACCGCCAACTCCACTGTCGGCTCTGCTGTCTCTTCTCCTGGCTCTGATGCTGGCGTCCGCATCACGGTCGAAGCAGACGACAACAAATTCCTTACATCTGACTCTTCCATCACGATCAAGGCTGAAGAGTAGACCCGGAATTTCCAGCTACTGCCCTGCACTCCATTTCGGCAGTCTTAAGTAAGCGTCATTGCTCGGAGTCGCTACATATAACTCGGCTTGCTTCCTTCATCCTGGCTTCCTCGGACTCGGGTCATGGGCACTTCTTCAAAGGCACTTCACACAGCACCATTAACACTAATTCTACGCATGGTTTCCCCAATCCTCATACACATGCCTGCCCCGGTTCCTTTTTCTTTTCATATTTGACAGAAAATCACAAAAAAAAGCTATGAGATGGACGGATGAGATTGAGAAGAGAGAATAGGTTGATCATGGAGGATTCTGAGAGATGAGTCGGGTGGTGCCCAGAGTGACATCACGATAGTTCGTTGCAAGGTGGATTAACAGATCAGAAGCATCAGATAGGAGGACTCTACAGAGGGTAGATTCTTTCATCTAGATAGGAGTCATGAAATGGAAGCAAGTCTTAAGCCACATGGTGCTCATCATGCCCGCGTCTTTGTGATATCTGCATTTGTATCACGCTCCGCTTAATGCCCAACTGTACGAGGAAACATTCATCTTCAAAGGTCTTTTGATGCGCATCAAGTCTAAATGATCTACCAATATGTACAGTGCAATCCAACTTTCGACGGTGTTCATCGTCCGGCCAACTCGATTGCCTTCGCGGCGGCCTCCTCGAAATCAATAAATGCATACAACGGCAGCCCACTCTCCTTGATCATGGTCTGCCCCGCCTCTTCATTTGTGCCCCGGATTCTCACCACGACCGGCACCGCCCCCTCTTTATCCAAACCCAACTCCCGGAACGCCTTAATGACACCCTCAGCAATCATATCGCCCAGCGTCAAGCCCCCGAAGATATTCACAAACACAACCTTGACGCGCTCATCGCGGAGGATCAGCTCGAACGACGTCTTCACGGTGTCGGACGTGGCCTTGCCGCCGGTGTCGAGGAAGTTGGTCGCCTGGCCGCCGCGCGCGGCGAGGGCGTCGACGGTGTTCATCGCGAGGCCCGCGCCGTTCACCAGGGTGCCGATGCGGGCGTCGGGGTTCGTCAGGTGGACGTAGACGATGCCGTGCGGCTCAGCGGCCAGTTCGGTGGGGTGGGTCCCCGTGGTGACGCGCGAGGTGGTGTGCAGGTCGGCGTGACGCTTGCAGCTGCGGAAGGCGGCGTCGTCGAAGGAGAAGTTGGGGGAGGTGATCTGAAGGGGTGGGGACGGGGTGGACTCGGACGGTGGAGAAAGTGAGACGTGCACGGATAGCGAGACGGCCTCGTGGGATGTGTAGATGTCGTAGAGGGAGTTGATCAGCTTGCCGACGGACGACTGGACTGTGGGTGGTGCAGAGCCGAGTTGCAGGTGGTTCAGGATCGCGGACACCGTCGTCGACGTGGGGCCGGCGCGGTGGTCGAAGGGGAATTTGGCCGCTCGCTTGTGGACGCCAGACGGGTTGGTCGTCGGCGATGCGATGATGCAGGGGGTTCGTGCCGTGCGGTCCACGGTGAGGACGAGAAGCTGGGAGTCGGAAGGGGTCGGCTCGTCCGCGGAGACGGGGAAGCCCCGCGAGGAGAGCATTTGGCCGGCTTGGTCGGCGCTGATGTGCAGGCTCCGGCGGTCGTTGACATGCGGAGTCGCGGATGGGAGAGTGGGACGGACAGGAGTGCGTCGGGACGAGGTGTGGTATCCTCTCCGTTGAGCAGCGCTCGCGGATTGATTCTGTTTCCATTGCGTTAGAAGAACGGCTACGGTGTCTAGGTTCAAGTGAACTCACGATCTTCTCGACATTTCGCCCGCTGTTGGCAAGGAGCGTCTTCATCACGCCGCCGAACTTCGATGGATGGTCCACCATGGCCACTCCGGCGTTCTCCAGTGCCCTGAACTTCTCCCACGATGATGATTCACCAGGCGCTGCCCATGCTCCCGCGTGGCCCATCACATAGCCTGGCTTCGCGCACATGCCTCCCACGAGGGCGGCGATCGGCCTGATATTTGGTCAGTTGGAACTCCTCCTATGCCCTTATTCTCGAAACTCACTTGGGGTTGGCCGTCCGCCGTTTATAGTCCGCGATCCATTCCGCCGCATCTTCCTCGGCCCGTCCACCCACCTCTCCCACGATAATGATGGCCTCGGTATCATCATCGTGCTCGAAGAGACGCAAGCCGTCCACGAAGTTGGTTCCGGCGACGACGTCGCCGCCCATGCCGATGCAAAGACTCTGGCCGAGCCCTTCACGGGTGAGCGACGCGACGGTCTCGTAGCCGAGAGTCCCGGATTTGGCGATGATACCCACATGGCCGGGTAAGAAGGTTGGGAGGGGCTGGAATCCGATTCTGCAGTGGCCCAGGGCGGAGATGATCCCTGGGGAATTGGCTCCGACGAGGCGCGATTTCGATTGCGTCTGCAAAACGGAGTGGATCTGGCTTCTCTCAGCTCCCATTGCGAGGCACGAAAACCAATGGCATGGTTTCGAGGTTTGGACTTACACGCAGGATATCATGTAGCGGAATATGTTCCGCCACCGCCACGATCAGCGGAATCTCCGCCTCGATGGCTTCCTCAATGGCCCCGGTGGCCTGATGCGCCGCGACATAAATGCCTGTCGCGTGCGGATTCAGCAGCTCCTTCGCCTTCCGCACGCTCGGGAGCACGGGCAGGCCCAGATGCTCGCCTTCCTTGCCGGGCCTCACGCCGCCGACGATGTTCGTCCCCCATTCGATGGACTGCTTCGCGTTGGCGGTGGCCTGGCGGCCGGTGAAGCCTTGGAAGATGACGCGGGTGTCCTTGCCGATTTTGAGGTTTCCGATCGTGTCGGAATAGTCATGGTGGACCGCGGATGAGGAAAAGAGGCGGGCAGAATGGGGGATCGAGGGGGAGGAGAGGAGATGCCGAGAGGAGCGAAGCATGATGCCGGGGAGCTTTTGCGGGTATACAAATGAACGGAACGCGGATTTCAAAGACGTATACGCTGTTTTACATGTCCCGTCCAGTATACATCCACATCCAAGAAGAATTCAAGCAGTTGTCACACAATTGAGGACCTGCCTCGTGTATTTATACGGACGGACATGATTATTCCCACGGCAATGCTCGGGGATAGCCAGGGAATAACCAGGGAATAACCAGGGAATAGCGGCTCTCCGGTTTCGGGTTCCCCAGTGTCGGCTGACGGCTTCAGGCCTCGGACTCTGCCGAATCACGGGATAGAGCTTTGAGGTGGAATATCGGAGGCTGGCTTTACCCATCGGCGGGTATGGCACGTCATGCCTCCTGAGTCCTTACTCCTGAGGTGTTATTTGAGGCGTGGACTCTTGAGATTTCGTTGGAACGGAGGATTGTCCAGCAGAGCGCCAAGCCTCCCCCACCCCCCGCGTTATTCCGCAATTTCTGAACCCGATGGATGAGAGAAGACTTAGTATTGTTCCTTCGCCGTTTTATATACTGAAAAGGTATTCGTACAACAATGATATAGTATAGACCAACCATCCACCGTATCCGCCACATCGACGCTCTCACGCCTGCTCAATCGCTTCGTATAACTCCGCCTCTCTGCAATCCCACCCTTCCCCATGGCCCCCAAGTCAGCAAAAGGTGTTTCAATGCCAGCCGCCCCGATCAGCACCCGTAGTTCGACTAACCTCCCCAGATTCCCTCCCCGATATTTCCCAACTCGAAATCTCCCCCAGAAACTCCGCCTCGAAAAAACCACCTGCCGAACCCGTCGCCGATTCCTGGGAGGACGAGTTCTCTGATGATGACACCGCAACCAAGCCTGAGAAACAGCCCACGAAAGCGTCTGCAAGCTCCGATGGAGGCGTAGTGCCGGCCCAGTCTCCCTCCCCACCACCGCCTACCCCCGCCTCACCATCCGCGACCTTCCCCTCCCACGACACTCACCTCTCCTCTCTCCACCCCTCCTACGCATCCTCCTCCAGGACGACACCCACCAGCTCCGGCGACGCGTCCGTACGACCGGACAAGTCGGCGGCGGTGGCGCGGCGGCTGATTGCGGGGGCGCTGGGGGTGAAGGTGGGACGGGCGACGGAGGAGGAGAAGGAGTATGAGAAGGTGGTGAGGGAGCGGGAGAGGAAGCGGAGGGACGAGGCGAGGGAGAGGGAGAGGAGGCGGGTGGAGGAGGCGAGGGAGGAGGAGAGGAAGAAGGAGGAGAGGATGCGGAGTGTTTGGGAGGATTGAGTGGGGAGGGAAGCTCCGGAGATAAGGTACACCCAATGCGCATCTTCTCTCATTTTGAGAGAAGTGGGCGCGGCGTCAGGATAGGTTGGGTCCGGTTGCCTTGAAATTCATACATGTAAGTCTAGTCTCATCACTTGGATGTGGGGATGGAAGATCCGATTCTTATCTCTCCATGACACGGTATAACCGTCTACTTTCATTGAGTAATGTAACATCCACAATGTGCTTGTCGTGCTTACGCCGAGTCTATGAATGATATTCAAAATCACTGAACGCATCGTACAAATCCCCTCCGCTCTATTCACGTCGGGCTAACTTGGCCAGTCCATGCAGTCAGCCAACCCATGCAGTGTCCCGCACCATCGTGATATCGCGCGCCATCCAATGCTCCTAGGTTCCGCCCGTCCGTTATCCCCGACGTCAATCATCAACGGTCCTCCGCCGACCGGTCCAATTCAAAACCCCGTACTCCACCGCCACCGCCCATCCACCGTCGTCCGCTCCATCCCGATCGCGCGCCCGCCCCGCTCCGTCGTGGAATCGGGCTCCTCGTCCGCGTCAGCGGCGCCGTCCAGCGCCATCACCGCGTCCCATTCCCGGAGCGATTGGTCGTTGGCGCCGTCATACCCGGTCACGCTCCGCGCCAGTGTCGGTGGTCGGTTCGCGTTTGCGTTCGACTTTCCCTTGCACATAGCGCGGGCGTAGGCGCTGTCCTGCCGTGGTCGCCGCGATTGGCCGTTCCCCCCGCCCGATTTCATCATGGCTGGATCGTTTGCGGACGAGTTTCGATGCGGGTATTGCGATGACGGCGTACCGTTGTTCGCAGGGGAGGTCTCGCCGCTGCTCATGATCGTGCTGAGCTGCTTGCGGGAGGTGGACGGGCGGAGAGGATGGTGGGGGGAGGCGAAGGCGAATCCGCCGGGTGGAGCGTGGAAGGGACGGTCGGGATGCTCGTGATGCGTGACCGCGGCGGTGACGCCGGTTCGGGATTTTCGGCGCTTGATGGAAGCGCTGGTGAGGGGCGCGTCGAAGAGGTTGTCGAGGGAGGAGAGCGAGTCGGTGGATGATGAGGTGGTGGCCGAGGACCCGGACACCGTGCGTGGCGCGGGTTTCCATTTGGCCCGTTGCGCCGTACCGAACATTTTTGAAGGTGTCGGTGATGGAGTCGCGGTGGAATTGGTGCTGATCGTCGTGGCGGAGCGTGTCTTCGTGATGGATTGGAACTGCGCATGCAGCCCCTGATCGAGCGAGATCCGGGATCCCCGGGACGTGGTCGTCGCGGTTCCCGTTGCCGTGCTCGATCGTTGGGCCTTCTCGTATAAAATCCTTGCGGCGAGATCTTTGGTGAGAGTGCTAGTACTCGCGTTCGCAAACGAAAAACTGCTCGCTCGTCCACCTTCGCTAGCGTATACCCTTCCATTTTCGGTCCGACCACGTCGCCTACTCGCCTCACTACCGCTTCTACTTCGACTCCGATTCCTCGGCTCTTTGCCTTCCATGAACGCGGCACTCGGAGGCGGCTCTTTCAGCCATCGTAGCGCGGTGTCGGACTTGTTCGCGTACTCCGCCAGACGCGGGGTCACGACGGGTTGGAGCAGCTCAGGCACCGTCGGCGTGCTGGTGGTGTAGAAGGAGCTCGTGGGCGTGGGCCGCGACACCACGCGATGGAGATGCGGATGAGCCAACTCGCAGGTCGAGTGGGGAGGGACGCCGCCCATGCCGACCGAACTCCCCATGGCGTTGCCTTGTCGGACAGGGCCGAGTCGAGATGCGTTCTCGGATGTGTCGTCGGGTCCATCGAGCGCCCCGCACTGTTCACCATCGGTATCCGTCGCATCGGTCAAGAACAGCTCCTCGTCCGCTCGTTGATAGCGTCGCAAATTCCAGCCGGGCCGCCCGAGATGCACGCTCTCTGGTCTCACCACCTCCATCATCTCCGTTCTCGACCCCGTCGTACTCGTCGTCATCGTCCGCATCCCGATGCTCATGCTTCGATCCGTCGTGGCAGACATGTTGGTCGCCCGCTTCTTGACTCGTCTCTGCGGCGGCCCCGGGCCCATCTCCATCTCCTCGTTCCAGTATGGGTTGATGTCGAAGGGAGACGGATGGTGATATCGGTCGGGGTTGGAACTCTGCTCCTGCTGCCGCTCACAGCGCGCTCGGCGCGCCTGTTTCTTGCGACGGGATTGATGCGCAGCGACATGACACGGCCCACAGGAGATGAACCAGAACAAGGCGGATTGGGCGCCGCGGAAGAGCCAGTGTTTCTCCGGCGGGTGAGCGGGGCGATCGCCCGGTTGCAGTCGGGGCATCGAGGTCGTGATGGTCCAGGGAGGTATATCCGGATGGTAGAGGAAGAATGGTATCTAGGGAAACTGTTCAAGGAAAACACATAAAGCAACGGATCAAGGACCGGAAGAGGATGCAACGCTCATGTATACATGTGAAGATGTCCAGATATTCTACCCATGAACCATGATGACCGAACAATTGGGTGTTATCAAAGAATGTAGCAGTATACTTGCAGACCGGTCAACATTGTCTTGACGTCGCAAAGTGCAGCATGATCCCTCCTCATGCGCCTTGGCCTCATTGATCAACGGCCAATTCAATGGCGCCTGGCTCTTCGAACCGTGTTTGCGACTGGAAGTTGAGGCTCAACGGGAACTCGGGAAGGCCCGACTGTTTCCGTGGTATGTGCAACCACCAGATGATGCGAACCAGTAGGTACGCGGTACAGGTACCGACGGAACCGGATCCGTAACCAGGATTCGACTTAGGTAGAAGATCGGACAGAAATTGAGACAAAGACGTCAATTGAGACTCGAAGAGAGTAGGAAGGACGACTTGAGGGAACGGGACTGATCAACTGTTAAGGTGCCCTGGAGGTTGGATTAGGTCCCTCTTGGCTTTGATAATTGATCGACGGGAGTGACGACAGTCGAACAGCGGTATTTTACGGAGTAATAATACCCTTCCTCCCGTCTCAGAAAGTCGGAATGCACAGCGCCTTCGTGAAATGTAAAGGATTGAAGCTGCACAAGACCATCGTGCCACTTAGTATTCGATGCGAGCGTTCTGTCTCCACGTCGATGCTCCCGTTATGTGTTGACACACGAGGTTCTGAAACCGCCGGGATTGAAATTGCGGCGGGCAGATAAATGGGCAGATAAATGGGCAATGGGGCAGTACCAGTAAACCAGAAGGTGTATGCAGTATGTGGCAAGGGATGGACCGGCCAGAGGGCAGAGATGCAGGGTCAGTCCACGGGCCCCTGATGAGTGATGACCCTATTCCAGCGTCCTCGTGTTCCCCCACACTTACGACCAGAAACTGCCTGTGGCCCTGTGCTGAATTCTGGTGTTTCTGGCGTTCTGGAAGCTGGTGGCGAAGGCCGAAGAGGCAACGGTTGCACGGGCGATCGTGATGCTGTGGATGGAGAGAAAAGGTGGAGGCGCGGGGCGATCGGGTGCGCCAACGCGCGGTTGATCTCTTACACTATTAAATATAAAATAATACTACGACTGGATTACACGTCACCAACCTTTCTACGTACAACCCGGGATACGGTATTCGGGATTAATCAACCGCAGAAAACAAAGGGCCACAGGGAAGAGTCGAGGTACATATGAAGACTTGACGACGGGTGTCTGTGATGATTCTTATCCCCGACGCCACCCCGCTCTTTCGAGAAGATCGATCGGCAGGTATTTAATCTGCCAGAGTGCCAGTACGAAATCCATCGCCGTCAGCCGGGAATTCATGCGGGTTATCGTATGGCACACTTAAAATGCCGGTTTGCCCCGCTGGTTTCATCTTAACCGTATTTCGATAATGAATCTGGACATCCGCCATCGGGATATCAGCCATCTGGGCATCTGGGCATCTGGGCATCCGGGCATCTGGGCATCCGGGCATCTGGGCATCCGGGCCACACAGGCGGTTGGGTAGTTAGTAAATCCCGTTGCTGGCATCGTCTCTCGTCTGTCCATATCTACATAAGGTATCAATCCCAAAGAAGCAGGTCGATGCAGTTCTCTCTGCAACGTGACCAGTTGCAGGATGCAATTGCCGCAAGGATGATAATCGCTATCCACAGAGGGTACAAGCCAACCGCACCTATCAGAATGGTCCTGCGTTAGTTCACAGACTCCTCCATATCATCGTCTCTACCCCCGCCAGCACCTCGCTCGTGCTTGTCTGGCTCGCCATGAAATAGATCACATTGCCCAGCACGCGCGAGTGAACCCCCCATCCATACGTTGCCGCTTCGGCCATGAGCTTGCGCTGGAGTCCAGCGGTGGCTGTAGATGTATATCCTATAACACGGTTATAGTCAGTAAGTGCAATATGCAAAGCAGTGAAGACGACTCGACGCAAGCCAACGTACCCGATCCAGCGCGATCCACCAACGTCACCGCTAGCACGCTCCCCAGCGCCCATACGCGCTCCACGTCGTCTCGACCGCTCAGGCGGCCCACAAACTGCTTGGACCAGCAGCTCCATACGTCCGTAGAAGTAGAAGCGAGCCCTTGTCCGCTGCGACTGTCTTCCCCTTGACCGACCTCTCTATCCGCCGCCCAATCCCGCTTCCACGCACCCCAATCCTCTCCCTCCCTCTCCAACTCTCCCAGCTTCCTCAAACTCTCCCTCCCAACCTCACACCCCATCGGATGCGCCGTATAGCTATGCCCATGCAACAGCGCCTCGCTCTTCTCCGCGCTCAGGAACGCGTTGAAGATGCTCTCGCTAGCCATGGTCAGGCTGAGCGGCAGCAGGCCGCCGGTGAGCAGCTTGGCGTGGGCGGAGATGTCGGGGGTGACGCCGAGAAATGAGGCGGCGGAGGGGCGGCCGAGGCGGTAGATTCCGGTGAAGACCTCGTCGAAGATGATGGGGAGGCCGCGCCAGTCGCGCGGGTCGGAGGGGTTGGTGTGGTCGGAGAAGAGAGAGGGGTTGGAGCGGATGGTGTGGACTAGGGTTGCCTGGAAGAGAGGGTCGCTGTGCAGTGTTAGTCGTCGAATGTGTCGAATGTCCAGAGATGCCGAGAAGACTTACGCGAAAAACATGCCTCCTGCGCCGAGTATCACCGGCTCCATTATCAGGGCTCCGAACCTCTTTCCCTTCTCTTGAATTTCCGTTTTCAGCGTCTCCAGGATGAATGCTTCGTATCGCTTTCGGTCATCCTGCCGCGCTTCCAGATCAAACACACCCGCAAGCTCATCAGCCACCATCCCTTCCCCCAACTCCGCCTTCAAGCTATCCGGCACCTCGACTCTCCACTTCCCATCCTTCATCCCCACCGTCGGATAGTCGAACCAGAAGCCCCTCCCCCGATACCAGCTCACCTTCTCGTTATACACCCCCGGCTCCGAGCAATCCATCACCCCGATCGTATCCCCATGATAGCTCCCCGTCAACCCCAAAATCAGCGTCTCCTCCCCCTCTTTATCTGTCCCTCTCGCGATCCCCGTCCGTCTTTCCCATGCACTCAGGCCCATTTTCAGAGCTACCTCCATCGCCGTGCTCCCGTCGTCGCTGTAGAACCCGCGCGTCAATCGCTCGTTCCCTAGCGTCTGAATCACATCCTCGATCAGCCCGACCGCCGGCTCGTGCGCGCCGGAGGCGAACATGACGTGACCATAGCGCGTCGCGGCGTGGGCAGCGGCCATGGCAAGGGAGGGGTTCGAGTGGCCAAGGCCTTGAGTCCACCAGGAGGCGGAGGCGTCGAAAAGGGGAGATAGAAGGGATGGTGGTGCGGATGATTCCGATGCTTTGTTAGATTCCGGAGCAGAATGCGATGTTGATGGAGGGGAGAGCGTCTGGAAGAAATCCCCGTGGGCCGAATCGATGGCCATGATGTCTTTCTCGGTCCGTCCTTGATGTTGCGTGAATGGGTACCAGACACGTTCATGTGCTCTCTGGGGGAGACTTTGAACCTCCTTGATCCGCTCATCATGTCGTTCTTCCATTCTCCCCATCACATTGCGCACTTCCTCCACGTTCTCCATTCCGCCATAGTACCCGCTCAAGTTTTTCTCATCTTGCTTCTCATCCACGTGTCTTTCCGGCGGCATCTCCCATCCCCACACCGGAACCCTCCTGCCCTCCTTCCAGAACCACTCCCGCAAGTACTCATAGTTCCCGTACCGCCGGTCCGCATGCGCGTCGCCCTCGCGGAACACCACCACCCCATCGACATCGTACCCCCGGATCCGCAACGACTCGTACGCGCTGATGGTCGCGCCGATGCCCCCCAGCTTCGGATCCCCGACGAGGAGCACCGGGAGCCGGAGCGGGCGGTAGAGGTCCGCTTGCAGGCTGCCGGAGGGGGCGGGGCTGAGCGTCGCGCCGGCGGTCTCGACTAGTGTGTGGGAGAGTTGAGATAGCGAACGGGAGGCATGGGAGTGAAGGCAGGCGTGGAGGGATTGGACGATGGTGGCGTCGGGAAGCGGTCGCCCGGCTGCTCGCGCTGCCAAATGGGGGCTCACGGGCTCATCGAATTGGAAGAGACATGTCGACTCCACGCCTTTCGCGTGTCGCGTTATGTGCCTACGTATGCCCGCCGTCTCGTCAGCCTGTGCCCTCCTAGATCCTCTCTACATCCAATCCACCCCTCCTGGCATGAACGTCGGTCCGGACCTAGCAATATCCCGTGCAAATCCACCAATTGACCCTCACGAGATGCCCTACTCACCCATCATCCGCTTCCCAGTCTGGTCCCGTGGACACCGGCTTCACATATCGCACCGCCGCGCCCTTTCGCCGGGACCGAAGTGCTCGGCACAGGACCGTGGAAGCTATGGTTTTCCCCACATTGGTGTTGGCGCCGTAGATTTGGAGGGCGTGTAGAGAAGGATGGAGGAAGGCACCAACATAGGGCATGGTGGGAGAAGGAATTGAGGGGCGATGAGGCCCAGGTGGAGGATAAAGGCAATACGGGATTGTTTACTGATGCAGTCCTGAGCTTCTGAGACTGGCAGTTACACTCATCAGTATTCCGTATTATTATTTATTATTAACATCACCAAGCCCGAGCCCCGACGTCGGTGGGTACATTGCTGCCTAGTAGCCTTGCGATATATGGTCCCTCCGTCTCGATTGTCAGGCATCAAAGTGGGATTTCAGCCGATCAATCCGATGGAAATCTCGGCGTAGAGAAGATTAATAGAGTTATGCTAAGCGACCATTGTTTAAACTACTCCTACATAAATCGTCGCCTCTAAATCCCATTCCGAAGTTGTCGTCATAGTACGGATGCCAATTCCAATGCTCTGACTCAACATTGGCGACCAAATTCAAGAGTCTGGTGGCGAAATTCCCCTGCTGCAAAAGTTATTTCTCAGCAACATCTGGGAAGTGGGAACATATATCTCCGCGCGAGAGGATCCCTCTTCCCAAATACACTACAATCACATCACCGACACATTCCGCCACGGGCGCTTCATTCAATATGGAGATAGACAGCGACATCGTTCCGATCCAACAGATCCCTCGGAGCGCCGCAACGTAAGTTATCCGTTCCTCTCCAAAGTACGACCCACGCTAACATCTTGAAGAATCCTCTGCTACAAATGCGGTGCTCCCATCGATGGAACCAGCGCTGCGGGCGCCCTCTGCGACGACTGCTTTAAACTCTCCGTCGACATCACCGAAGGCATCCAACGCGAAACCACCCTCCACTTCTGCAAAGACTGCGATCGCTGGTTATCGCCACCCAACCAATGGCTGGTCGCTCCGCCTGAATCGCCGCAACTCCTCGCAGTATGTTTACGGCGGCTGCTAGGACTGAACCGGGTGCGGATGACGGACGCGAAGTTCATATGGACGGAGCCGCATTCGCGGCGGTTGAAGGTGAAGATCACCGTGCAGCAGACCGCATCGCAGTTGGTGGGATATGGCGACACGCCGAATTCAGATGTCAATATGGGCAATGGCGGGACCAGCGGTGCCATCGTCCAGCAAACCTTTGACGTCGAGTACATCACGGCGTCACAGCAGTGCCCGGACTGTCAGAAGTCATACACGCATAACACCTGGCGAGCCGTGGTGCAGCTCCGGCAGAAAGTGCCGCACAAGCGGACCTTCTTATATCTCGAACAACTGATCCTGAAGCATGGCGCGCATAAGGACACCACCAACATCAAAGAAGTGGTCGACGGGATCGATTTCTACTTCGGGCAACGGAGTCACGCGGACAAATTCACGGATTTCCTGGCATCCGTGACACCGATCCAAATGAAGAAATCCAGCACGCTGATTTCCACCAACGTCCACACGTCGACCAAGTCCTACAAGTTCTCCTTCTCCGTGGAGATCATACCGATATGCAAGGACGATCTGGTCGCGCTGCCGATCAAGCTGGCCAACCAGATCGGGCAAATGTCTCCGCTTGCGCTCTGCTCCCGGGTCGGCACGGCCATCAACCTCCTCGACCCGAACACGCTGCAGACGGCTGAAATCTCCGGCAAGGAATACTGGCACAGCCCGTTCCGCAGCATGGCGGACGTCCAGCAGCTCGTGGAATTCGTCGTCCTCGACATCGAACCGCTCGGCGTCTCGAAAGGCCGCTTCTTCCTCGCCGAGGCTACTATCGCTCGCGCGTCGGATTTCGGCGTCAACGACACCACGTACCTGGTGCGAACCCACCTCGGTGGGATCCTCCATCCCGGCGACGCCGTGCTCGGCTACAATCTGACCGGCGGCAACTTCAATAACGAGAACTTCGACGCCATCGAGCAGAACCATCGATGGGGCTCCACCATCCCCGACGTCATCCTCGTCAAGAAACACTATCCCCGCAAGCCGAAGTCCAAGAAGCGGAACTGGCGGCTCAAGCGGATGGCGCAGGAAGAAGACGAGCTGGCGCCGAGGAAGCAGGATAAGGACCGCACCGATCGCGATTACGAGCTGTTCATGCGTGATGTCGAGGAAGATGAGGAGCTGCAGGCCACGATCGCATTGTACAAAGCGCAGAAGGAGGCGAACCGCGACGCCGACGTCATGTCGGACGTCGAGGAGGAAGACGACGATGAGTCGGAGGACGGACCGCGCATCCGAATGGAGCAATTGCTCGATGATTTCGATGAGATGAACATTGAGGGTGGCTGAAGTGCCGAAGTGCTGAAATACTGAAGGAAGCGGTGGACCAAAAATAGGACTCACCAACTAATATCGCATGCGGAAGCAACCGGGTTATTCCAGCCCTGGAGGCGTTATCAATGTCAATCACTCGCGCCTCAATTGGCGGCATCCGATTTTTCTTCCCTATGCACTCTTGCCTCCTGGCACCCGTCTTTCGAACTTGGTAACCTGATCGGAATGACGCAACACTGCAGAGAATGAATCTCACGAACGCCAAGATAGACTCGCCATGTGGCGCTCGGTGACACCAGCTGAACTCCGGGGTAAATATGAGCAACAACAGTGACTGCGAAGTGCCATTCATCTTAAATATGGATGACTCCCTGGCTATTCAGTTAAGATAACTTATTTCCAACGTTAATACCGTAATTCGAACCCAAGTTAAGTAACAGAAACCTGAACGTATTCCAAGTCTCCCAAACTGTCTCCCTCGCTCAAGTCTCCTTGCGTTCTACTAGTCCTATCCGAGTGTCAATCAGTCCATCATGCCCGGTATCTCATTCTTCAAACAAAACAACCCCCCGATCCCCCTCCCCGACACCATCACCCGCTCCTACATCCCCGGCCCCGCCGGCCCCCTCGAGCTCCTCTACGCTGGCCCCCGCACCCCCACCCCCCTCTTCTTCTGCCACGGCGGCTGCGGCTCCGCTCTCGTCTGGCTTGCCTTCCTCGAATTCTTCTCCCAAAACCGCAACATCCCATGCTACGCGGTCTCCGCGCGCGGGCGCGGGCAGTCGTGGGACCCGGGGTATCTACGACTATATTTCACAAGTAAGCGGGCGATCGCGGATGATTTTTGGCAGGGATAAGGGAGGCGGAGAAGAGGGAAGGGGAGGTAAATGGGGTGGATACGGAGGTGGCGTTGGTGGGGCATTCGTCGGTGGGTGGGTTGAGTCGGTTTTTGCTGGCGGATGGGGATGTAAGGGTAAGGGGATTGGCGCTGCTGGGCGCGGTTCCGGGGACGGGGAGGTGAGGTTATCTTGATCCGACTATACGCATCAGCGATGCAAACTCTTCCTAGCGGCCCGGCCTACTACAACTGGTTCTGGATCGACCCGTGGATGTACGTCCGCATGCTGTTCCACCTCGGCCACCCCATGTCGCTGCTCTCCTCCACCCGCCTCGTCAAGCGTGCGTTCTCCTGCGACGACTTTCCCATGGAGCGGGTCGCCGAGTTCGAGGCGCAGATGCCGGCGTCCGAAAGCATGCTCTGGCCCTGGGGTATGGCCTTGCCGTTCCTGAAGACGGCGAACGTCCTCACGCGGATCACTAGATGGGGCACCTGACCGCGGATGTTGATCATGGCGGCATCGAAGGATGCGATCACGTCGGCGGATATCGAGGAGAAGCTGACGGTGAGGTACCGGGATGATTACAAAACCTTGGTGAGGGAAGGGAAGACAGAGGGAAAGGCTGATGAGACTGAAGCGGTGTATCGCAAGAAAAAACGGTGGGGGAATAATGAGAGCAATGGAGTGAGGTTTGCACTTGTGGAAGGTTCGGGGCATCATATGCAGAATGATTTGCAATGGAGAACAGCAGCGAAGAAGCTGTTGGACTTTTATGAGGGGCTATGATGGGATACTTAGAATGTTGATAGGATTAGTGTAAAATAGAGCTCCTCTCCCTCTCAAGGACAGCACATGGGTGAGCAACGTTAGCAATATGTAACTGTAAATCGAAATACTCAATAACTATAGGGTATTGTTCTGACCGTACTTGACCGTATCTCGGCGACGGCCTTGTTTGGGTTGATATGTAAAGCGTCAACCGTTTTATACCAGGCAAAGTTGCCACTCCCCGGAGTACGTTGATACCGTTGGTAATAGTTTGATAGTTTTCCATACCCGAATGCTTCGGGATTTGGTGGTATTGAGTGCAGTTGTAAGAACTGAAGTCATCTTGCGGCTTTGATATCAGATGTGGACCCTGGCATGACCTCAGCCTCGGCAACGGGGTTGTTCATCATAAACGCCATCAAGACTACCTTCAACCTTCAAAATCTCCATAGACAATGCTCCGATAGTGCTGAAAGACAGAAAGAGTCAACACCTGCAAGATGGAGTTCATGTCCAACCTCCAGAATGGCTTCGACGACCAGAAGCCGTCGCTATTCGGTATACCATTCCACGCCGCGTCTTCGCAACCATTCCGCTCTCGAGACTAACCACGACGCAGAGATCATATCCGAAGAACAGCTCTCCTCCCTCCTCCCCCCATCCCTCCGCTACCTCCTCGCCGTTGCCACCCACCGACACCCCCGCTACCTCCTCCGTATCCTCAACTCCTTCGACGAGCTCTACGCACTGCTCATGCTCCTCATCGAGCGCCACTATCTCAAGGTCTACGGCGGCGGCTTCACGGAGAACTTCTACAACCTGAAACGCGAGCGCGTGCTGCGCATCAAAGGCGGAGAGGTCCCGCGCGCGCAGGTTCGGGCGGCCGGCCATGTGCGCGAAGCGTTGAAGTTGAAGGAGGTGGATGTCTGGAAGAACTTGGCGATCATGGTCGGGTTGCCTTATATAAAACGGAAGCTGGATGCCTCGTACGACGTGCATGCAGCCCATTCTTCGTTACTGGGCTCGAACTATCGGAGAGATGATCTCCCACCGAACGCGACCGTGAGGCAGAGGTTCATGTTCTACTACAAGTGGTTTCTGCGGAAGGTCTACCCGAGCATCAACGCGGCCTACTACTTCGCGATCATCGCGTTTAACCTTGCGTATCTGTTCGACGGCACCAAATATTCGTCGCCGTTCTTATGGCTCATTGGGACGAGAGTACGGCGGCTAGGGGAGGCGGATCACAAGGCGATTGAATTGTTGACGAACCCCCCATTACAACCACCGAAAGGAGCGAGACCGGGTCAGAATAGCTCCATGTTCAACCCGAGAGTCATGGCCGGCGCGATCTACCCACGTATCCTCTCCTCCCTCCGAATCCTCTTACCGACATCCATATTCGCGCTCAAGTTCCTCGAGTGGTGGCACGCGTCCGACTTTGCGCGACAACTCACCCGAAAGGCATCCGAGGGCTTGGAGCTGCCGCCACCCGTGGTTGCGAGTCTCCCAAGCCCGCCCAAAGTCACCCTATCACCCACTGATCCAAGCCATCCCGAGCCGGAAAAGTCGCTGCCCGGATCAACGGAGACCGAATCTAGAAGCCCGCCCATCTCCACCACGACCCTCCTCCCAATCCTCACCGTCCCTGCCCCGACCAAGGAGACGAACTCCGATTGCCCGATCTGCGGCAACGCTATTGTAAACCCTACGGTGTCGCCATCGGGGTATGTCTTCTGCTATGTCTGCGTCCACAAGTGGGTAGAGGGTACGCATGAGCGGCAAGAGGCGTTCATGGAAGGCGGCGGTGGGGAAGAGGGATGGGGCGCTGAGGAAGGGAGCAGGGAGGGAAGATGGGAGAGCGGGAAAGGTCGATGTGCGGTCACGGCGATGAAGTTATTAGGTGGGACTGAGGTGCTGAGAAGGGTGATCATTTAAGATGAGGTCATGTACGTTCATACACCCTCGGAAGCATTGGAGTTTGGTAATATCCTGGCATCTTGCTTCACAAATGTACAACATTTAAGACAAATCATCCAACATTCTACGTCAGGGATTTCGGAGTTTCGTAAAGACACACTGATATCATCTCTCGGATCTTGTCGATGAGGTGGGAGGCAAGAAGTTATACTAATGAAGCGTACCTTAGCACAGGGGTTCCCACAGGAAAATGATACACGGCTTCAGAAAGATGTGCGAGGACGGAAACGAGACTTGGTTTTAGTGACTAACACCGAACACCGTCCCTTAGAAATCCATATCCAAACCCGCAACGACGACTCTTGTGTACCTCGAAGGGATAGTGCCACTCGCTATAAACGAGACTAAGAGCCTCCATGGATGTGCTTCATGAAAAACAGATCGAACTCCCGGCAAACAGGATTGCCCATCCTGCTGCTCCCATCACCTCCCCTTCATTCCTCGTCCTCGTTGGTATGGTACGTCAAATTCACGCTCCAACGCCTTGAAATTGGGAATTTGGCCATGAGGGATTGATTGGTGGGCTCTCTGGATTCTAGATTCAATAGCTTCATTATCTTTCGGCATGATGGCGGAGGATAAATGGGCTTAAGGAGACTACCTCAAACTGGAAGCTATATTAAGTTATTGTTTGGACCGCATTATCGATTCGAACGTTGGCGCTAGATTAGGGATCTAGCGCCCACAATCGTGGATGAGGTAAGCTGGTTATTGGGGATGTAAACGGTTAAGGTTTGCCGTGTTGGGCAAGCGGTAGCGCACCAGTTGCTGGTGGTAATGGCAGATGGGCAGTGGATGTCGCTGTGGTGGTACGGAGTATTATAATGTGCTCTATAAAGTTAAGGTTGGAGAGAGACAAGTAGTTCACAATATTTCTAGATTCAGTACAATCAGTGCCAGTCAGGGGCTCCGTTTGGATTCGTGTCCCGACCCGCTTTTCTGGAGAATCTACCACACATCACGTGGTTTGGCGTTTGGCTGGCTTAATCGTTATCGATAAGAGCTGCATCCCTGAATCCTGCATTGCCCCTCACCATCACCGAAATGGGTGATCGGAATTGTGATGTGGTGGCGGGTGGATCCGATGGAGACTCCGCAAACTTTTGTGAACGATCTTACGATAAGGCAGTTAATGAGTATTTAATAAGTCTGTCCTATTTCCAATTCATCTTCAATCCAGAGAGGGAGTCATATTGTTACTCATAAGCGATTTACAATTGTATCTCTACTTCGTCAAGGCTACGAAACGACACCCCCAGAAGACCATTTGGCCTAGTTGGTTACTCACAATGGCCAACAATGTTGAGATGAACATCTGCGTACTTGGGTAAACCACCATGCACCTCCTTTTCCATCGTAGAATGCTAATCGACTCAAGGGCCGGTGTCATCGGGCTGACGTGTGCCCTAAATCTGTCCGCCAAACGAGGGACATCCGTGACTGTATTAGCGAAGCATATGCCAGGCGACTATGACGTTGAATACGCGAGTCCCTGGGCAGGAGCAAACTTTCTACCGTAAATCCAACATACCCTTCCAATGGCTCTTGGAACACCGTCTGACATACAAGCAGGTATGGGGCGGAAGGTACCCTACTTGCTCAACTGGAACGAGAGACATGGCCGGAGTTGCAACGTCTAGTCAACGACGTCCCGGATGCAGCAATCCATTATCAGCCGGTGAAGCTGTACAACCGAGCCAAAGATGCCGGCAGTCCGACCGGTGAGTGGTTCAGCAGCCTCATGAAAGAAAACCCGTGGTACCAGAACCTGGTGCCCGACTTCAGGGTGTTGTCTCCGAGCGAGCTTCCCGAAGGCGTCGACTCCGGGAAGGGCTTCACGTCGGTCTGCATCAACTCGGCCGTGTACCTCCCATGGCTCGTCTCGCAGTGCTTGAAGAACGGGGTTGTGTTCAAGCGAGCCGTCGTCTCGCATCTGTCCGAGGTCTATGGCATGCATCACACGGGAAAGCAAGCCGATATCGCCATCAACTGTACGGGACTATCGTCACTGAAGCTGGGCGGTGTCATGGATACCAAACTATTCCCTGGCCGCGGGCAGATCGTCGTGGTACGCAATGAAGCCGGCGTGATGCCCAGCATCAGCGGAACCGATGACGGCGGAGATGAAGTTACATACATCATGGAGCGAGCAGCCGGTGAGTATATTCGCCCCGAACGGCGCCATCCAATCGCTGACATGAACTAGGCGGCGGTACGATCCTCGGAGGATGCTTCCAGAAACACAGCTGGGAATCGCAGCCGGATCCCAACCTGGCGATCCGCATCATGAAGCGCGCCGTGGCGCTCTGTCCGAGCTTGACGAACGGGAAAGGCATCGAGGCGTTGAGCATCATCCGACACGGCGTCGGTCTCCGTCCCTTGCGCGAAGGCGGTCCACGCGTGGAGAAAGAGCGGTTTGATGGGAAATGGGTGGTTCATTGCTATGGCCATGGAGGGTATGGATATCAGTCATCGTATGGTTCAGCGTTGGAGGTGGAGCGGTTGGTGGACAGCATCCAGAACACTCGCGCGAAGTTATAAGTCGTTCCGGCGCGTCAAGAACCATCATGTAATTATATAGTACATAAAGAATTCTAGTGTCTACAAGTATTGGAGAGATCTCGATGATGGAGCGCATGCGAGTGAGACGCGAAACTGCGTGATGGCGTCAGCTGTCAGGGGTTGGGGAGACATCGGAGATGAGGCGCCCGCAACATCAGATTTGCCGAAAGCCCGAAACCGACCCCCTGCCCCCTGGAACCACGCTGCGCCAGGCAGTGCAGCTTTGGCACTTTGGCAGGTTGCCGTCATCAAAAGGAAGCTTAGTCCGACAACAACCACTTCGCCATCTATTTATCTGCCACATATCCCTTCCTTTCTGCATCCTCCCTCTTCCGGCGACCGTAGAATACGTCGTTACCGTCAACGGAACCGTGGAACTCTCCCATCGACCGTCATGGACTTCTCAGACATTTTGTGCGTTTGCCAGGCTCCCCCGATGCTGCCATCTCCAATGCGACCTCCCGTCGCACGAGCTAACATGTCTCAGTCGAATCGTCAACTTGGCGGTCGGGGTGTTCATAGTGCTAGGAGGCATCGGGCAGTTCTTTGTCGAGACTTCGATGTAGGTCGCGGCATCCCGCTCACGTACGAGGCGTGCGGAAGTTGACACGGGGAATAGACAGAGCTTCATTGTCGGAGCATACGTGATCATCTTTGGTTTGGGTAAGCACTCGATAGACCGCTGGGAAATCCTCATCCATATGCTAATGCGCATTTCCTACAGGCACCGCATTCCTTGGTAAGGCTGCTCTCCATCACCACTGCGCCGCATCGACTAACCCGCGCCAAAGAGTTTCAAATACCGCCGCAAATCGCCCGCTATGCGTCGTTCATGCTCTCCTTCATCGGCCGTGGCATCTTCTACATCTTCGTCGGCTCCATCGTCGTCGGCGACCATTGGACGAAATACGTGGCCGGGACGATTGTCGGGATCATTGGCATTGGATACGTGGTCCTCGAGTTCATCCCCAGCATTGAGCCGCCGGCGAATATGAGGTAAGGTTGCGTTGTTGGGTTCGGTTAGCAGTGGGGACTGATATGCAGCACAGGGACGCCGATGTTGGCTGGGGCGCGGAGCAGGTGTAAACGACGAGAACGACAGCAAAACGCCTTTTCAGGCGACTTCACAACGTCAAAACCGTGATGGTTGCCGATGAGATGATGGCCGGTTTCATGTCGCAGAAATGGCAGGATGGGTTTGCAAGGAATCGTCCCATGAATTGCTCTTCCTGCGATTCGAGCCCCTTGTTTATAATCTAATGTTTCCTTTGGGATGGCTATCGGATGGGTTGAGTATGTGTCGCGAGAGCGTTGGTGTGGTTGGCACTGTATAACTAAACATGAATACCAATGGGTTGATTCTTTGTCCTCTACAGGTTCTTATGCTCTATGCTGTTTATCGATGCCAGGCTTATGTCTTTGTGCCGGCCAGAGAAATCCCAGGCTGTGCCCGGTACTACACCCGGTACTGCAGGTTGGAGTTTGGACAAGGGCTGCACTCCAATTTGAATATCGCCCTACTACGCCTACTTACTCAGTTTACCTGTCCAAAGCAACTCCTTACCTCCATCCATTCGTAGCTCGTGCATGCGATATCTTTTTCTATACACGTGATCGGGCCCAGGGAAGTCATGTGATTATCCCCAAGTCCGATGCGGCAGTGCCAAGCGATCGGGCAGGGAGTCAGGACCGAAAACTCGGAATTATGATGGGTCACGTGCAATAATGATCCCTGAATAACCGAGATCGCGGGCCCATAATTCATTGAACGAACGGGCCAATAATAGCCAAGCGGTTGTAATCACTCGGTGTCGACGACATCCTCCGCGTAATCTGCGCCTTCACCTCTCCGCATTCGCATGTCGACTCCAGAGTCCAACTGCTCAGGCTTTGTTCACCGCGTTCCAAGCGTCTTGCCACTTGAAACGGATCCGCCTGTGTGTGCAAGGACGACCGGTACATGGTGAAGTTGTGGCAGCCAGGTACTAGGGGTGAAGAAGGGCATGTCCGCCATATGTGGTCGGTAGCACGTTGGATTACCACTCCTTGATTCGCAAGAGAATCTGCCACACCACACGCTTGGGCTATTGGTTATCTGATCGACTATCCGCCACTTGCGCCCTACCCAACACTCCTCCCACCCTCTCTCAAACTGTTCGTCATCACAACTCTTTTGGACTGGGTCATGCTCACATTCTCAGCAGCGTCATGCCATCCTTCTCAGGTCCGACTGCTGCCATAAGTCGAAGTTCGCCTTCCCTATACTCCTCCTCAGGGCCGTTCGGAAGAGAACCGTCACGCGAGGATCTAGAGACCGCCGGGGTTCTGGAGCTCCTCAATCGACCACACGATACCACTCTTGCGCAATTCAGACATCCAAGAGAACAATCGCTGGAGAGAAACCAACCCGCGCCGATGACTTCTTCAACGAGCCCGTATAGCCCGGCACCGTCCGCGGGACATTCTCCCAGCTCCACAACCCTACTCGATCCGCAAAACTATCCTCTACAGGGCAATCTACCCCCAGCAGCCCCCGTATCTGGACAGACCTGCAGGTATGATGTGCACCCAGTCGCTCAACGATAATGGAACTGACATGACCAGCAACTGCGGAACGAATCGCACGCCACTGTGGCGAAGATCACCCACCGGCGAGACCATATGCAACGCATGCGGCCTTTATCTCAAAGCGCGAAACCAGTCTCGACCGACGAATCTAAGGAAAGGCGCACAGCAGACGGCCTTGTCCCCGCAGCCCACCGAAGGCGGACAGGCGTCCCCTCCAGCGCCGACAGCGTACGCTGGAAGCGATGGATCGACCTACGTTGCGGCCGACTCGATCACATCAGGAACTTGTCCGGGGGGAGGGCGCTGCAACGGAACTGGAGGCCAGCGTGCCTGCAACGGATGTCCGGCTTTCAACAATCGTGTCTCGAAGACGACACAGGTCTCCATTGTGCAGGGCAACAGTCCAAAGCCATCCACGGACGCGGGCACGACTGCACAGCAGACCCCTCGAGCCGAACTCATGCCTGCATGCCAGAACTGTGGGACGTCAGTCACTCCCCTGTGGCGCCGAGATGAAAGTGGAAACACTATCTGCAATGCCTGCGGTATGTTCAGTATTAAACTCATGCCTATTCGAGCTAGACTAACCTGACCAGGCTTATACTACAAGCTGCATGGCCGACACCGCCCGTCCGCAATGAAAAAGCAAGAAATCAAACGACGAAAACGCGTCATTGCCCTTCCAGGACAAGCTACGTCCCATCAATACCCCTCATCGAGCCCCAAGTCCTCCGTCTCCCCCGACCCGCAACGATATCCGGAAACCCACCACGCACCACCTTCAATCGCTCGATCGGATGCCTACGGCGCCGGCTCCCCAAGCGAGTCTCATCCGAGCCCCCCAGATTCGGTCCTCGATGGTGCCGAGGAACCTTATGCTCACCCTTATGCGCCACCTCCGGCCGACTTCACGAACTATCGCCCGACACCGAGCATCGTCCTACCGTCCCGACATAGCGGTGGTCGCTCCCCGTCTCGTGACAGTCGACGCGCCGAAACCGTACCGCAGAAGCGCCGGATCTCCGAGATCGAGGGCGCAACTTCCGGGCGAGCCGCCGAGTCGCGTCCTTCGAATAACTCGATTGCCAGTTTGTTGAACGCGGAACATCCTTCGAGCATGGACACCGCCATCGATCCGGCGTTGTCGACACACCCTGGTGGGGCCGGGTACAGTGAGCGGACGGCGACCGCCGCTCGCGTGCAGGAGTTGGAATGGAAGCGAGAGCAAATTCGGCGGGAATTGGCGGCGGTAGATCGGGAGATTCAGGAGATGGGACGGACCGGTGCGTCCTAATGGGACGGTCATGGAGGGCGTTTGACTTTCGAAACCAAGGGAACCGATTATGCATTACGAATCATGCATACACGATCCTCGATTAATGTGGACCATCGCGATTGAGCGCCGGTGTTGGCTGGCGTCCAGTCGATTTCGAATTCATATTGGCTTAATGGCGCATAGAAATAGATGGTCTACACTCTGGGTAAACACCGTCACTGCCGGATATACACAGGGCGCGCGAAGGTCATGGGTGGAAATTTTCATCCAAGCAAAGCGTTATCAGTCATTTCAATATCTATTCATTGTTTTAGTTATGGGTATCATGACCAGGAACGCGCCGCTCATACCGCGATCTGGAGTTTTAATGGAAGGTTTCAGAACCAAATCTTTATTAGTTCTTCGCTCACAGCGCTTGGTGTCAGTACGCCGCCTTCCGTGATGATACCGGATATCAGATTCGGAGGCTATAGTAGTCAGTAAACCCGGTCATAAACTTCATCCGATCCGCAACGTACCGTGAAATCCACCGAATCGGCGATTGAGTTCTTCTTCATGGCCTTCCCATCCTCCACATCAATCGCCTCGTCGGTAAATTCGACTCCCTTCCCGGACTTCCCACTCGTCTCATCCGCCACGAACCGCAACACGTCTTGCTCAATCGGCAGGTCGAATTGACTCAAGGGATACAACCGGACGAACTTGTGACTCTCCGCCACTACGTAGAACGGCTTCCCCGCGCTCTTCGCCAGCAATCCCATCTGATATGTCCCCAGTCGGCTAATGATCCCCCCATTCTCTACCACCCCTTCCGCCCCCACAATCACCATATCCACCTCCCCCATCGCATACCCAACCGCACTACTCGGTATCGTCGCCACGGGCACCCCCCGCTTCCTCAACCCCGCCACCGTCGCCGTCCCCTCCGCCTCTAGCCGCTTCGCCCGACCACGATGCTCGTGCTCCGCCGCGGTGCACGCATGCAGATTATCGCTGTCCAGCACGTAGATCACCCGGAACCGCACTGACCCTGCGCTCGCCTCCGCGGCGCTCTGCAGCAGCGATCCCACGACGCGGCTCCCCCCGTTCGTCAGCACGGTCTTCCCGTCGCGCACGAAGTGCCGCCCGAAGTTCGCGATCTCCTCCCGCGCCTGCTTCGCGCGCTCGACGAACAGGCGGCCGTTGGTGAGGAGGTGGCGGCGGACGGACTCGAAGTCGCCGTCGGGGGAGGAGGGGCGCTGGAGGGAGGAGATGAGGTAGCGTTGGAAGAGGTCGGTGCCGGCGGAGAGGGAGATGGGGTTAGGGATAGCGGATTTGAGGGTGGCGACGTGCGTGGAGAGGAGGGCGAGAGTTTCAGAGATGGTGAGCGTGGGGGTGGAGCTAAGGGCGAGGACGAGGGATTCAATGGCCGCGACGGGCATGGTGAGGTCCGGGTCGGCGGAGAGGAGGTGGTGGTAGGTAGTGACGATATCGAAAGGTTCGGAGGGGGAGCGAGAGTTGTGGAGGGGGGAGGGCTGGGTGGGGGTAGTTGAGGTCATGGTGGGTAATGTTCAAGGACGCTTATGTTGAGGGTGTGTTTCTCCTGTCAAGGGTGGTGGTTGTCTGGATTGTATTTGGTGGATTGAATGAATTGCTACAGGGACATTTCATCCATAAGATTGAAGTTCGATTATCAGGATGACTGAGTCATGAAATTGTGGACAGGGGTCCTTTCGCTTCACTTCATTATGTCGCGCATTCAACCTACTAACCACCAACCACCGAAGACCCCGACTCTCCAGCTCTCCAAGCGCATCGTACACTGATTAACTTTATTATTGCCATTATTTCCAATCTTCATGTCTTCATTAGGGCAATTGGACCATTAAATAGAATAGGAACTGCTTTCAAGTCCCAGGCATTGTCACACCTGAACAGGACAGTATATCCGACTTCTACCCTCCGCTCGGATAGTTGACGTTCTATTACTTGCTTCTCGTCCCCTTGCCTATCGTTGGAAAGGCACTAATTGGAATACTCACTAAAATAGGGAAGTCTGTTGGAGTCTGGTGCATGTGGGGCTTGCATATCAACGTCTTCACGTTTCGTTTTTCGGAATCCTGTCTTGCTCGAGTCTCGACGCGTCTGCACTACGCGAATTTTTGCGCCACTTGGGTCAACCCGGGATTGCAATTATTCCTATCACCCAGCTCAAACTAGCTGGAAAAGTTGAAGCAGGATCCTGCCCAAGCGGTTCGGCAAACTCAATCAGTCCGGGTTGAGTTGTCAACCAGACCATCCCGCGTGGAATGCGCGATTTTTCATCACCAACCAATCCAGCCTCGAACCATTTCCCTGATGGTCGACTTTATATTACCATCAACACTGCCCCCTTATATGCATATTGCATACCGATAACGTGCGAATGTGCCCGTGCAAAGGTTAATCATTACGCCTAAACTGATGTCATGTCACAGAAATGTCTCTCTATCACATCGTCTTGTATAAGCTCCGAGACAGCTTCCCCGGTCCAGTGGCCGCCTGCATATGCATGGAACTATGGCTCCCGGAATTGTTTCCTCATCCCTTGCCTTTTTCTTTTTATCAGACCATTGCACTGGTGGGCCCATCGTCATCAACACAGTTTCTACCATTGCATTTCCGCTCGCCGACTTGGCTAGTCGGCAGGATGGTCTAGCCTTCGGCGGCTCATGAACCTCATGATCGCTGGATAGACCAAACCGTTGCATCCTGCATGCAATATGACCACATTTGTACGATGCACTGCCTCCGTCCAGAACTTCAGGCCGTAAGTTTATATGCGCGATTTTTGGTTCATGGGGGCATCTCAGCACGATAAGCGTCTGACCTGGTACGTCCAACTTGGTGCGTCCAACCTTGGGATAGGCACCCTTCCTACTACTGTTGCGGAATAACACTCGTCAATAATCACTTATGGGCTAGGGATGGTGGGTAAATAGGATATCTCTCTCAAGAGATTGGGGATTCAGTTGATGGACGGTCACGATGAGGGTCGAGTGAAGCGCACTGGGAGGTCATAACCCCTCCATCTTTAGTGGTAACCCCTTTCAATGTTATTCATTCCAGAACTAGTATATCAGTCTACTCCCGCCATTCAAATTGACCTCATTGTCTTCTCATTGTCTCTTCATTGTTTCTTTTCCTAATAAATCCAACTGTTTCCCCCTAGCATTTGGTCTTATCTGGTCTTGTCCTACCCGATCGTTGTGGCCCGAATTGATTTCCCCGCCATGGAGAAGAACCATGATGCCCAAGCAGATCAGATCAATCCTGTGGACAGGCCAGCGACTGGCATTTCATCCACCAGTGATCCCATTCGGGATTCTAAGATCAGAAATCGTACCTTGCAGAGGGAACCGGATCTCGAGTCCACATTCAGTGACGATACAGCTACGCCTGACAGTCGTGACTTTAGGAAGAAACAGGCCAATCCCTTTCAAGTTGGTAAATGGCTCTTAGAAACTAACCAGTGCTAGACTTTCAAAGGATGGGTCCTAATGTGGTATGCGTTTCGTTCCTCGCAGCTAATCGATCTCCCACAGTATTAGCGTCAACCATGTAGGCTTGCATACCAATCCACAGGTGTTATCTATGGAGACATTGGAACATCTCCTCTCTACGTCTACTCGTCCACCTTCACAAGCGAACCCTCTCATGAGGATCTCGTTGGAGCGTTGTCTCTAATTATTTACTCAGTCACTATCATGGTTACGATCAAATACGTGCTGATCATCCTTTCCGCCGACAATGAAGGAGAAGGCGGTTCCTTTGCCATGTATAATCTCCTAACCCGCTATGTATGGCACTCCATCTCTTTACTCAGTCATCAGTATCTAATCGCCCCTTGTTCAGAGTCATATTACCAACCACGATCCAAGAAGAAAATCCCAATTCACATTCGAAAGGTATGGAGATGCCGAGATGAAGTCTACGAATCGAGCGGTTCGCAGCTTCATTGAACGTGAATGGATTATGAAGATTCTCCTCAAAGTCCTGGCAGTCTTGGGCGTCAGTATGATCCTGGCAGATAGTATTCTCACACCAGCACAATCCGTTCTTGGTGCAATACAAGGTCAGTTAATGAATTTATAGACACCCTTAGAGCCACACTAAAGCTTTTATAAGGTCTCCGAGTTGTCAATGAAGACATATCCACTAGCACCATCATCGGGGCGTCATGCGCTATCCTCATCCTCCTCTTTCTTCTACAGCCGTTGGGTATACATCGTCTTGCCAGTACTTTCGCCCCAATTGTGATCATCTGGCTTACATTCAACATGTCATTCGGTATCTATGTATGTTTCCCTTCGTCCTTTAACTGATCCGGGACTAAGACGTTGTCAGAACCTTACTCATTACGATCACTCCGTCTTGAAAGCGTTCTCTCCATATTTCGCCGGCAACTACCTCATGCGAAACAAGACAGACGGTTGGATGTTCCTTGGAGGCATTCTTCTCTCCTTCACTGGAGTGGAAGCAATGTTTGCAGATATGGGAGCATTCTCTCAACGGTATGCCAGGAAGCGTAACGGTTTATATTGCCCCGCTGACTCCTAAATCAGAGCCATTCAAATTTCATGGCTTGGATTTGCCTATCCATGCCTCCTCCTGGCCTATATCGGGCAGGCTGCATATATCTCGGTCCACCCGGCAGCGTATTCGAACCCATTCTTCAACTCGGTTCCTCCGGGAATGTTCTATCCTGCCCTCATTGCGTCCATCCTTGCCGCAGTTGTCGCCAGTCAGGCGTTAATCACAAGTACGTTCCAATTGCTTTCGCAGCTTATGAACACATCTTACTTCCCTCATATTTCGGTGAGGTACACTTCGGATCGGTTCCATGGGCAAGTTTACATACCTACTGCTAACTGGATTATGATGTGTGGGACTGTGCTTGTCACTGCTGTGTTCAACAATGTAAGTACCAATTCGTTCCCATCCATTTTACGTCCCGCCCCTTTCGACCTGAACGGGCCCCTCAGATAATAACGTCTCCAGACTACGAGTTTAGGCCATGCGTACAGGTTTTGTGTCATTGTGGTAACTTTTATTGACACATGGATGGTATCCCTTGTTGCCCTGATCGTATGGCAACTGCATAGTCTGCTCGTGTTCATCGTATGGCTGCCGATAGTTACCCACGATGGTCTATACCTCTCGACTGCTGTTACCAAGATCCCTCGAGGAGCTTGGTTTACCCTCATGCTCGCTATTATCATGGCGTCCTTCTTCATAGTTTGGCGCTACGGCAAGGAAAGGCAATGGACAGCAGAAGGAAAAACCTGCCAAATCTCAAGGACATGCTCACGAAAGACATGGATTCGGAGCTTAAGTTCACGGATGAGTGGGGCGGAGCTGAGATTGGGTATTTCAGAGGTTAGAAAATCTCCCTGGTGGCGCGTGATCTGCTGCTGACTGACCTGACAATAGGGATGGGCATTTTCTTCGACAAGACAGGAGATCGTGTTCCAGCTGTTTACGAGGAGTTCCTCCGCAAATTTGAAGCGCAGCCTGAAGTCTGTGTGTTCATGCATCTGCGCGCTTTGCATGTTCCTTACGTAAGTCCTGACGAGTCGGTCGTTTTGAAGTCGATGAAACTAAGTTAATATCCACGGGGCAGGTAAGGGAAGATCAATACACCGTCACCCGCACCCAATTCAAGAACACCTACCGCGTTATCATCCGATACGGCTATAAAGACCAGGTCATCCACCCACATCTAGGATCGCACGTCTACTCTGCCCTCCGCCGGGCCATCATTCCCACTGCTCCTGCGCCCCCCCTCTCCGAGGGTGCCTCCATCGTGGTACAACAGTTTACATTGTCGAGTCCTACTGCAGAAACCCCTGCGGCGGCTGACCATGACTATCATGCGGGTATCTTTAATGGGATTGATATCCCGACCGCGAGACGGTTGACGATGTTGGATGACTCTTTTGAGAAGCAGGTGATTTATATCGTCGGAAAAGAGCAGTTGCATGTCCTACCAAAGAGGAACAATATTTGTAAGAGGCTGTTGCTGGGCCTCTTCGTATGGGTTAGGGAGAATACAAGAGAGAAGATCGCGAGGATGCAGATCCCGATTGGGAAGCTTGTCGAGGTTGGTTTCGTGAGAGAGATTTGAGGTCGACTTTTGCTTGGGTGGGCATGAAGGCATACGGGTATCCTATACAGACGACGATGAGCTTCTCTTACCCAATCACAACTGTTTCTCCTGAAGAAGGTAGCTCCAGTGTCCTTTTTCTGGCTACCCATGCCGATCCGTAGATGTGGCTTGACCGCCCACAATCAAAGTTGAACCGTATGAACCATTCTGTTTTCGCCGTTCTTTTTCATCGAGCGAGCAGTTTTGGAACACGAGTACTAAAAAGCGGGCAAAGCTGGAAGCGGCACGAAATAAGGCCCAGTGCCAGGCAATCCTGTGTTGGCGGGACCGTTAGCCGTGCATGTCACCAGCCTCCCATCCCAACGCCTTGCACCAGTCGTTATAGTGGTTTTAACAGATATTCCTCCTTTCTTTGTTTATGTGCCTTCAATATATTCCACAAGTTTAGATGTATCCGTGCTTTTGTGTCCATCCTTCCCTATCCAAGTCCATTGACTTTTAATACTCGCATGTCCTTTTGATGCCTCTTTATCAGTACACAACACTGAAACATGACGAGATCCGGCTCCTCGAAATAAATTCAGGGGAATTTGACGACGAAATAAGTTTCTGCATTTCCATGCTCTCTCCTAGTTCTGTAGGAAGAGGGTTCCAAGAGGCTGCCGTTGGAAGAGTTGCAAAGACGCTTCCGGGAGGTTGGGTCATCAGTGGAACTCTTAAAGGTCAGCATATCTTCGTACAACTAGGAATGAAAAAGCTCACCAAATTTGTGGGCATGAACATCTCACGCCAAGTTTTCCGTCGGAACCTACTGGCCTTAGCACTTGAACACTGAAACGCAGAGCTATCAGAAGATGACCCACGATTCCCTCCCTTAACAGCGAGTCGGAACAGTGCTACCAGCGTGACTGAAGGATGATTCTGTATACTCAGACCCGGCATACTCCAGGGAGTTCAGGAACGCACGGACTAGGGAGGTGATGAGAGCCGACCCAAGAAATATTACCTAAAGTTCTAGGAGCACGAGAGGTAATGTTGCAGAAGCCTCGACTTATCTAGCGGTGAGTGTAATCTGACTGAGAAGCTGTCATTTATTGAGATATATGTTCGTTATATGCTGTGTATTGATAGCCACAACCAGGATTTCTTTGACCCTAACATTGTAGTTATTCAGACAGAGTCCCATCAGTGGCCAACGATATCGCCCAGCTCGATATTCGGCACAAAATACGGCCGTACTTTATTCCTCGTCATCGTTTTCTATTCTGTCTATCAGTAACTATCTACCACCGTCGGCATCCCGAAAGTGGACTCACCTGCTCGAACGCATAGGCCATTCCAATCAACTTCGCCTCATCCCACTTTCGTCCAAGAAAGGAAATGCCAAAAGGAATGTTCGGCCCTGTCGCCACAAGGTTCCCTTTCTTGTTAAACCTCACTGGGTGCAATGGCGGGTAGAAACCAAGGGGTACGGTGACGACCGGGCTACCGACTACGGCTGGAAAGCCGTTGGCGAGCTTCGTAGGTATAACAATGGCATCAAGGTTAAATCTCTGCAATGCACCAAGATGCCCACCGTCACCACCAAGGTGTACACCTTCTTTATATGCAGTCCAAAAGCGCGGATCAGTGTTGTTGAAGCCGTACTTCTCTATCAATTCATCCCACCTGCTAGTGTCACGACTAGGATACATCTCCGCCGCGAAAGTCCGTGTGAACTCCCGCAGGCTGATGATATCCCTCACTCCAGTTGGATTAAACGTCAATTCCGAAAGATACGTGGCGAGATTGCTTATGAAATCCGCACCTAGAACGATCCGCTCGGCGTCCGACTCGGACCAGCCTCTGATTCCGGCGTATTTGGCATTCTCGATAACGGTTGCGCCCAGTTCGCGGATTGTCGAGACCGCGGTGTTGAATTCCAGCACTTCGACGGCCGAATCTGGATTCATGCCGAGTTGGATCAAGTTTCGAGGGACGCCGATGCGAGTGCCACGGAAGGCGCTGAGTTTGCACGCAGCCACGTAATCTGGGATTTTGCCGTCGTTAGGGATGCCAGAGGTGTAGTTGTCGCGTGGGTCGGGGCCAGCAATTGCCTCGATGGTTGTCAATGGAGAGGCCCTTGTGACAACACCGACTACGAGGAAGACAACCTACTTGGAGGATATATGCAGCGTCTTTCACAGTCCGTGCCATCGGACCGACAGTGTCCTGATGTTCACTGATCGGGATTATCAAATGGCGCGATGTCAATCCGACAGTCGGCTTGATCCCAACTACGCCGTTCCTCTGCGACGGAGAAACAATCGAGCCATCGGTTTCGGCTCCTAGGCTTGCGAATCCGAGTCCGAGTGATGTAGCGACACCACTACCGCTCGAGCTTCCGCTCGGGGTTTGCATAGGATAGTACGCGCCATAGACTTGTCCACCATGAGCGCTCCAACCATCGTTGGAGTTGCCGGAGCGGAAACTGGACCACTGGGACATATTCGCTTTGCCGAGAATGATAGCTCCGGCTTCACGAAGCTTCGCAGCAACGGTAGCATCACGTGGGACCGTTGCTCCAAGGAGAGCGTACGATCCAGCTGTATCGGGGTCAATTAAGTTTCATCCATCCAGCCAAGAGAGTGGTACCTGTGTTATTCATTTTGTCGGCCGTTGCAATGGTGTTCTTGATGAAAATTGGCACGCCATGGAGAGGTCCTCTCGTCATACCAACAGCTCTCTCCGCATCTAGCGCAGCAGCAATCTGTAAGGCATCCGGATTGAGCTCGGTGATGACATTGAGCGTAACATTGGCCAGAAGTGTCCTTGCAATATACGCCTTGATTCAGTTAGATCCATGCTCTTGCAGTAAGTTCTTTGCCACATCTCACCTTGACAAGGTCGACACTCGTAAAAAGCTCGCTTTGTAAACCGTTCTGTAGGTCATCAATGGTTACATCGATGAGACTTGGGAAAGGGGTTCCTTTCACTGCTTGGGATCGGCGTTATCAGGGATATATCCACGAGTATAGGCGAGAAACTGACCGGTGAGATGACTACCGGTACCGGGATCCGACGCTTCTTGTTTTGACCAGGCATGTGCCAGCCATGCTATTAAGCAATGGAGCGCTAAAATGACGAAACTCCCGTACTTCATCCTGAGCGGATCCGGTGAGAACTATGATCAATCAACTGCTTTTGACGAGGTCAGGCTGAAGGCAGAACAACTCAATGAACAGTAATTGGTGACAAGTGATTCTACACAACGACAACAAAAGAAGCATTAGAAATCTAGGATTAGTATGTTCGTGAAGGGAAGGAAGGAGAAATCAAGTCAAACACTGGTAAGGTAGGTCTCTACCGCCCTACCGTACTAGTATTCCCATTCTAGGAAACGGCGATAAGGAACTGAACCAGCCCCGAAACTGGATATCGAGCTTTCGGTTGCTGATGCATCTAAGACATCGACGGGGTGTAACTTACCTATCATGATCCATATCGGTAGGAGCTGAGATTTCTTGCAATGTGACCGTCACGGTAGAACACATAATTGTTCAGCCTCCTGTCGTGGTCAAGCTTCTAGGGGCCTAGAGTTCTCACAGGTATAGGAAATGGATGTGGCGCGTGTACGGTATAAGCGGAAGTGTGATCAGGGATCAGTGGAAAGCTGCTGAACACCAGAAAGTCATAGGGAGCAGGCAAAAATATTATGAAGTCACTGCTTCTTGCTTCTCAAATCCGATGCGAACATTGGAACCTCATTGACACCTGTAAGTTACGAGGGAGGCTTCATAGTACATAACCACTACCATACATTTCCCCTAATTATGCGGCTTGCCTGCCGATCGCACTGAAGATAACTTCTTTCCACCTCCCGCAACACTATCAAGACAGTTCGGTTTGTAACAGGAAACGCATGAAGGGATACTCAGAATAGGTGTTGCCGGGTGGTGGAAGAGGACTCCATGTGTAGGTGAAATGTTTTTGCATTTGGTTTGGTATCGCGGCGGGGTATATGAAGCCGGTACGATGTCGCATGTAGCGCGGTGTATGGAGTTGGACCCTGCGACTCCCTGACCCGGCCGAAGAAAGGACGACAATCGAAACGAGATCCCCCAAGGAATTACTCCTATTTTATTCCATCCACGTGGCTGACAATTTTGGTGTCCATGATCCGTCTACACCCTCCGTACTGCCAGCTTCTGGCTCTTCGCTTCCGACAACGCGTGTCGATGCATTTTATTCCATTCTGTTCCATCCTCTTTCCCATTTTCCTAGTGTCGAATGAAAGGATCGAAACTCGCTTGCGAAGGGATATTTTATTGCACAGGACGATAAAGGCAACGCTCGAAATGCAGAGAAAGCAACGCTATGACCGCTAGTATCGAGTATAAAGGTTTGGAGGCGAAAAGGTGCAGTGGCCGGCACCGGGATAATGACCGAACAAGTGCATGCGCATTCATGAGCCCCATGACGATGACATGTGCGAGTGTGAAGGATTGGAGGCACCGAAGTAATTTGGAATTCGAGAATGTGGCCGTAAGTCCTGACGCTGATGGTCATGTACAGGCGACGGGGAAGGCGTATAGAATTGCGGCGCTGGTATGGCGGCATCTTTTTCATAAACCGCTGAGACGTACTGATCGCCATCGGGTGTGATCGGCGGGGTAATGCAGCCATTTGCCATGACAGATCCGGCATACATTGTCTTCTGGGGGGTCTGGGGGACCTGGGTACCAACCTGTGGAGCGACACGGTGTTCCTCGTGGGTGACGGTGACCTCGACTGGAGCGACCGCTGCGTTCCTCTGGCTCAAAGCGAGTTGCTGCTGTAAGAAGTCTTCCACTGTGCTTGCTACACCAGATAACTGGTTTGACGAGTATTTGCGGACAAGCACCTGCGATGGTTGGTAAAGGCAGTGGGACAGGTTCATGACTGTGCTGTGGTCGTACATTCCAGCCCAGTCCGAAGGCGATGCCTGCGGACGGGATAGGATATGCCGAGCAATGGCCATGGAGGATCGAGCAAGGACCGATGGGGTCACCGACACGAAGTCGCGGTGGAACAGTGCAACTTCGGCAATGTAGAGCGTCATATGCTCCACTTCGGGATCTGGAGTCGACGAGGACATAGCAATCTGGACGAAGGAGTCCACCGTGGAATGGCCCACCATCCAGTTCAGGGTCTGAAGAACATGCCATTCCATCTGGATGAACATATCCTCGTCATACAATGAACAACACATGGACCGAAGTTCCTTAATGGTCGGGACATGTTCCTTCCGGTCACCATACTTTGCTGCGATAAGCAGAGCCGCACATCCGACCAGTTGATAATGGCGCTTATAGACCACTCGCTTCGAGCAGTAGCGGTCGAGAAGATTGACGGTCAGGAAGAGGGTTTCGGGGAGGAGCTGGAATGCAGCATGTGCTTCGACGAGGAAGTCGAGGAGGTATGGACGCATGTACCATTGAATTTCGGTCTGAATATCGATGGAGCTAACATCAGGCATAGTCGCCGACTGAACACATTAGCGAGAGCGATGGAACGAATCAGACAATGACTAACCTCCATCTGTACCATGTGGGCGAGAACATCATCTTGGTACTCCTCAGCTGTAAGTTTCGACAATTCCTGTCCCATGGTTCGTTGCTGCATCTCGGCGATAGCCCTCGTACGCCGTCGCTGCTGCTCTCGAGCGGCATAGAGAGCATCTTCGTCTGACTCAACGAAAAAGCTGTCACATGGGACATATTGGCCGTATGAACTTTGTCGGAAAGGCATCGTGGGTGTGATATCTTCCGATGTGATAGAAGGAGGGGACGTCTAACACCTGGACAGACAGGGAAATAAAGCTAAAAGAAAAAAAGAACGGCAGGTCACGGCAAGACCTGGATTAAAGGGAGTGGATGCCCCGAGTAGTGGGCGTGGTAAAGACCGAATTAAAGAGAGGATAAACAATTGAAAGGGACAGTGAAGCAGCTTACTGCACCGAATGGAGGTGCAGGCAAATTGATTCAAATGTCAACTGAAGAGCAGCAACCGTTAGCCATGGTGACACGTGAGGTAGAATGTTGGGTCCATACCTTGGCAATTACTCAATTACACTAGAAAAGAGGAGAGAAAACTTTTGGTTGGATTCGATCCCAATATTTGTTGCAAGGGGCATTCAGAATGGCAATCCAGAAGAATGCTTTAACGGTCCAGATCTCTCCAGATGAGACGGCGGATTCCGAAACCTGGCAGGCAGAAGACACGACCGAACGTGTTCTGCAAGTCGATCCTCGGGTTCAACAATAGGAACGGGGAACTAAATCGCGGGGAATGAGCCGAAATTCTCGAAGGGATGCAGATCGTGGTCCAAGTAAGGAGGACCAATACATAAAATGGCGAGGATTTGGGATAGATGTTGCAACATACCGAAGTCGTTTCCCTTGTTTTGAAAATGACACAGGGATATCTGTATCTACACCTAACAAGGCAAGGAAGAAACTAGAACGCACAGCTAGTGTTAGCATCCTGATACTGTACCCTGTGAATCGAATGTCAAGGTCTTGATGGCCAGCATGGAAGACACGTCCATCGCCTGGCACGAGCACAGCCGAGTGAGGAATGAAGCCGAGTTGGAAATGCATTGAATTAATGCACAAGATCTGAAATATGAGAAACCGAATTGAACCCCTATTGTGTGCAGTGTGGGGTATTGGACGGGATCCCTAGATTGCTTGTAATGGAGGAGCATTCCACAGAGTAGGTCGAGAGGGATAGGATGGGGTGAACGGAAATTGGACCTCGAAACCGATTCAATCCGATTCTGCTGCTCCAGTGCCTCGAAGTGGTTTCGTTGGAATTGAGTGAAATAAAGGTGGCGGTCGGTCTAGCAGGAGAATATTGCTTGGTTGTCCCATGATTCAAGTATGAATCTGCATCGAACCTCAACCCGGCATTACCGACCACCCTCATCATCAAACGAAAACGTCGTCGAGTGAATGTTCGGGCAAGGAGGCTAGTCGATTCCACAGGATCCAACACATGCATGCAGACCGAAGGGGGCTTGACCGGACAGCGAAAAGAGACTCTCCACGTACCAATTGAAACACAAAAGCTTATCCCACGCAATCCTTCCAAACAGAACAATCAAATCAATTGCTATTCAAGCAAGAAAGGACTATACACTCGTCGTTTGTTGGATCCACGTTCCGAATCGGCAGGATACGAACTGGACGAAAGGATACAGATCGGCCGTATTAGCTCATGGATGAGTGTTCCGACGGGGAGGTGATCCGTATAAGGGAGGAGAGGTCGAGGAGAAGGAGTTCGGGGAGGAGGACCCGTGAGGATAGTGACAGGACAGTACGGCGAGACGGATCGACGGAAGACGACCGAGAGAGCAGGAGAAGGACTTGAGAGAGCTGAAGGACAAGGCCGATACAGAGGGACCAGCGATGCTTTCTACTCTAACAAGTTTCTCGAAGCTCGACCGTACATGGAGGAGAGAGAGAGGAGGAGGAAAGAAGAAAGGAAAGGAAAGGGAAAAGGATTGGTGATGAGGGAATGGGAGGATGAGATGGAGATGGATAGAAAAGGTCCAAGGAGAATGGAGGGAGAGGTCAGGAAGAAAAGAGGTCCTGACGCGGATGCACGGCTCTCCTTCACACACGAGCGTGAGAGTTCACTGGTTGGTCAGTGGGCCTCGCTCTCACGCTTCTTGCGTGCATCCATTATCCATGGGAGTCTGCACTCTGCAGCCGTGCAGCTGGTCATCAGCCAAAAGCACCCACAACTAAACTTCCCTAAGTTAGGGCCCTAACAAAAGCAAGTTCCCTTAGGTGAATTCTCTTAGGCGAAAGCTGCTAGAGGTATTATGTAGACCAGGAACAGCCCCGTATCGGAAACCTGTACGCATCTCGCGTGGGCGGATAGCGGTAGCGATAGCTCCGCACTCCGCAGCTCCCAGCTGGCAAGGCAGGCAAAGCATGAGAGCAGGCAAGCCTGGCACTCGTGCTTGGCAGGTCTGTGGTGCAAGGAAGTTGAATGGTCAGTGGTGGATCGATTTCACGCCATGGCAAGGCCTGGAGGTTACAGGTTAGTACAAAGTTACAAGATCCAAGGCCAATGGGGGCCAGATGAATTACGATGGCTGCCGGGCTGCTCGGAGGTCCAGAAAAGCACCGATAGCGTGTTGGCCACTCGACCAACGACCATCGCTGCTAGTTGACGACTTGACGTATCGTAATATTGTTCGACTAGGAGCAGGGCTGGAGAAGAGGAGGCCATTACGCCAATGATTGGCGATAGACACGCTTGACACGGATAGTATTCCGTCCTTTGAGCCGACCTCCCGACCTCCGTACTGTGTATCGTAGCGTTCTTCTGGTCGGTCTGGTGCCGGACTGCAGGTATGGGAATCCTCGATAACTCTCATAGTTTACCGTTCATATTAGCAGTTCTGACGCATCGGATGGATTGAGTGCAGCGGAGTGGCAGGAACAAAAGCGCCTGCCAGCACCCAGCCGGTTCCTGCCTGTCCTGGTAGAACCAAACGCGACTTCCCTGTCTCATGCCTGGTCGAGTTTTGGGCAAGAACGCGGTACGCCGAGCACGAACCCACGATGGCTGTGTACTACTGGCGACTTCGTACTGGACTCACTGGAGGTATTAATGTATGTATTCATTATTTATTACTACCAGCCTGTAACCCCCACAAGAAACAACAGGACCAGCCTTATCCTTTTTCTCTCCATTTTGCCCATTTACCATCCGTGGCTGCGGATCTTTTCTGGATTCTGACCGAAACCTGGTTCTTGTGGCGTTATTCTGTGGCACACTGGCATACCAACTTGTCAAAAGGAGCGACAAAGTGACAGGATGCCCTGCACTCCTCTTGTGAAGATAGTTATGAGAATAATACGGAGGTATCGGGATTCAGACCACCAGAGCCCAGAGGGTATACCGAGTCTCGGCCGCTTGGTGGATGGTTTCTTCTCTAGTTTGTTCGGCTTAGAGAGGTTGCTGTTGAGACGGTCAAAATTCGACGATAGCGTTATTACACCGGAATTCAATCATCGTCATATGAGCCCACCTATGCTCAATCCTTCAAGTTATGTCCTTGCAAAGCCCCACCGCGTAGTGACGGAGTCGACTGTCTACCAAAGTCCTGTGTACGTGTCCGGAATACTACTGTTACAGGTTAAAGGGACTAGGAAAGAACACCCGTTTGTTTGCTTCGATTCCACGACAGCCGAAGCTCTGACGGGATGCAGGCCATTCTGGAATGGCACCGCCAACGGTTTCTCCGCCGTTCAACTGTTCTCCCGCTTGTTAAACCATAACCCATCTGCTCCTGGGAACCCGCACATAGCAGTAGTCCAGGGCAATTGGCAGGTCACGGAAAGCATGGACGATGAACGAAACAACGTCGTGCCACTGACTACCAGACGGCTTTGCTGCTCGTCTGGCCGGAGCTCCATATCTCGTTTCCGCTGTTCGCGCTGACGGTACGTACAGTTTTCGGGCGGAAGATGGGGCAAATGATGCCATGTGGAGGAGGCCAATGGTTTCTACTTTTTAGGCTCGGCGGCTCTCAAGTCTCAACGCGTCTTTGTGCCGTCAGCAGCTGTGCAAATTGATTTTGGCAGGTCGTGAACAAGGTGACAAGCCGAAACGCGTCGCGAGTCGCGACACAAACCAGCAACAGTGGAGGCTCATTTGCTGGTTTACACGGATATGGTGCTGAGTGGCGACCGATTCGTCAACCGTTGGCCGCCATGAATGGCCATCTCGCTCACACCGTTTTCTCAATCTATCCGGCAGCTTTTCCTCCCACAATAATTCCACGAGCCACAACGGGATTTCGGCTTGAAGTCCCTCAATGGAAAGACCCTTGCCGTGCCCCACAACAGCAACAACTTACATCACTCGGTTTGAAGATTTGGAGAGGATGTGAGCCTGAATGGTTGATCAACACTTCTCCCAGCCCCTCCATTTTGCCCTCACCTCTCTGCATTCTCAAACTCTCCATGACACCCGATCTGCAGCTACATAAACACTGCATTTCGTGAACCCCGACCCCAACCAATCCTCTCCCCGACCTCACGTCTCTGCATGAGCTCCAGACCTTGCTTTTGTACCCTTGCCCTGCAGCCAGCATGCAGCTGTACAGGACAAACAGGGCTTGGAGACTTTTGGACACGGGTGTCACCCAATGACCACCCCCCAAGGCCAGGCTTAACTCCCCCAAAACTTCGGTACCGGCCCATGCGAATTGGAACCGGGTTCCCCTTTACCAGATGATCCCGACTCGACGGAATATGGGGGAGCGATCTGACCTGGGCCCTTGGTCATATCGTGGTCTCATAATGCTATTATTGGTGAACCACTGTCCTAGCTTCTTCGGTCTTCCCAGCCTTCACAGTTTCATCATCTTCAAGTCATGGACAGAAATCCGATGCTAAATCGAATAGTCATTTGCGTATGCACGCTTGCTAATCCTTCTCATGCATCATGATGTTGCGGTCCATACTGACCGGAAATGCACCATACGAATGATTTAGCTTTCTCCACATGTAACCGCCCAGCACAGTCCGGTCTCTGGTGATGGTGGACCAGGAGTGAAAAACCTGAGCAGCGAACACTTGAACGGAAGTCCGATGCATTCAACAACACGCGACGTGACATTGAGCGCGATCGAGCGCGTCTGCCTAACCCAAGCGGTTTCCCGTTTTTCCTTTAGATTAGCAGGTAGGCTAGGTAGGTATGGTTAACAATTGTGGCTGACGTGCTATGACACTCGAAATGGGTGGGATGGTCCTTTCACAAGGAGAGAGATATTAATATGGGATATTGCCGACGTCGGTGAGTTGGCACGCCTCAGACCAATGAATTGATATCTTCAGATATCGGTCTTCACTCTTCACTGTTTCCCGCCACTCTATATTCAACTTTACAGAATCTCTGTCTCCATTGTTCGGGTTTCAAAGCCATTGATGTTCGAGCAGGATTTCCGAACCAACCGTGCCAAATATCCTTCGTATTCGAAAGCTTCCATGTCCTCATTTATGCACAATTCGTGTTAATACCATGCTTACTCCACAAGCACCTTGGCTGATGCCATCGGATGATATGTCATAATGCGTGCCGTACGTTTCAGGATTGGAGATCTGGTGGATATATGTTTCCCAAAGCAACTTACCAGAATACAAATCCAGAAAGTCCCGAGGCCCCCTTGCTTGTCATCGGTGTCTTTGTGTATGCTACATGCAAGCCATACATAAGGTCCCTGTATAGGTATATCCGGATGCCGTGTCTCTGAGCCTGCTTCGATTTCTGGAACCAGTGCTCGTCAAACGTGCAAGTACCTGTAATAAAATCGACGACCTTAGCCACCTTCGCAGCACTTGTGCGATGATCCGGGTCTCTCAAGGACCAGATCAATTGTTGTCAGACATTGATCTATAGATGACATGTCCTTTTCCCGATATCGATGTATTACGGATATGCGGCTTCGAGCTTAATATTCAAAGGATCCGGTAAATCGGTGCTACTCAATGCCTTGTCGTCTTCTACATAAAATCATGACCTCAGCGAGGAAATTAGCCTCCCCTCGAAACTCTAATCAGAGCTGTTGGTGAGATGATACTCCTCAAGCACGTTAGGAGTGCGACACTACAAGAGGTGAGCCTTCCAAGTCATGTCGGTTTCAGAAATTTGGAGGGCATCGTGTTGCGAATGTCCGATCTGATCCCGCCCGGTGCCAGCGCCATGTCCCCAACCCCGCCGTGCCTGAAACGACATTAATAATAATAATGATCAAGCTCGACGCGTTGGACGCGTCTGTCAGATGTCTTTCAGGGAGCGTCGGAGCACACTAAGCCCACGGAATCTGTACTTCCGCGGTTGAGAATTTATGTTGAATTGTAGCACAATATTAAGAGGGTGGATCGTAAGGATTATCCACTCATTCGGCGACTTTTATGATTTATCGGCCAACAACTGATACTTGATACAGGTATTTACCATCATACAGCATGCACAATTGCCCTCCTTGCTTTCCCGCCCGCAGAGGAAACTGTGATGAACTGGTCATGACAATGACCAAGCCCCAAGGGCTCTCGAATCTCGAATCAATCTATGGGGTACGCCTAGACAGATTCCCCGCTCTAAGAATAACCGGCGTGTCCTTGTTTCTGCAGCTTGATATCAGCTTGCCTAAGTCGTAAGCTTTCAAAAACACGAAGCACTGTGGATATAATTGGCTGGGTTAAGCACGCGAGATTTGGTGGCTCTACTCACTCCTGACTCCGGCAGGGTCCTTACTGGCCTTGGGCCTTTGGACTCTCCTACTCGAGCTCCCCTTCGGTGGTAACTGCTCCCATCCCCACGGAAGGATTCGATTCATAAGAGTGTATCACTACTACCGAGGCAGCTTAGAACAGCGACTAAATTCATGCGAGATGTGGTGAACATATGTCATAGTGACCGTCAATGTTTCTCCATCTGGATTCTAGATCTGTTCCATACGCCTGCTTGGCCTGTTAGTCACATATGGTAACTATAGGAAAACGTAACATTAATCTGATCTGCCCTCAAGCACAATAATCACTATTGTGAATATCCCGCCCCCTCCTCGATTCCCCGCAGGTGCTGACCAAGTCCAGCGGAAGATTCCAAGACAAAAATCATGCGAGAATCTTTTCCTCTCTCTATACGAAGCAGATTTAGAACAAATTGAACCCTGAGATATCATTCACCATCCCAAAGATCTCAAATTCTCAACAACCCTTCAAGCTCCCAAAAGGGCCTAGGTAACTGCAGCCACACCTCTCACGGAAGCAAAGTACTACCAAGACATTGAAATTTCAAACCCAAATAGGAGTTTGTACCATCTCATTCTTTGTATTCCGTAATATTCCCACACCTTCAAGTGTGATAGCACCGAAACGACATCATACGTCATTTGCACAGCTGGCTCCATCATGGAGCACTCCCCAATTATTCCAGCTATATCACTCAAGACTGGAGAATGGAGATAAGTTTAGGCTTTAGAGCCTCGCCCGAGCCGTGTTGTGGAATGCTGGCGACGTCAACCATCCGATCTTCCTCGATCTTCGATCACCATCCTCCATTCGGGATCTCAAGTTTGCTCAATGGGCTAGATCGCGCCACACCAAGCGGGGACTCGCATCCCGTTCGCGTCAACTTGCCGCTCTTCGAAGTTCCAAAGTCCCAATCGACCCCGGTCCCCAAGCCCTGTGGCTGGAACAGATCCTATCTGTGGGGCATGGAAAGGGGCATTGAAGATTTAAAAGTTCGGATTTGGACAAGCGAGTTGTCGCATCTAGCTGGATAGGGAGATTAATTTGACTCGGCTCAATGAAAGAATACTTGACGTAAGGTACGGGTATTACTTCTGAGTTCTGGTAAGTACAGTAAATGAAGGTTGGCTCTACGTACTGGTTAACAGGTGAGGATCATCGCAGCAGCGGTAGCACCAGTACTTGATCTTGGATTTGACTTCAGAAATAGCCTCCGCAAAGAGCGTCATAGACTCATGATAAACGCTTCAACGGCCCGAGTTATTTCGTTTACCACCCGCTGGCTTGTACCATTTGGCAACACTACGTTAAGGTAAGGTACGTACTGGTTCAGCTGTCAGAATCACGCACTCCAGGCATGATATTTAGGAAATTAGAAATGACCAGTGTCCGGCAAGGCGGCAACACATCTTGATCTCGAGGACAATTTCCCGATCTTTGCTTGCTTTCGTGACATTCCCCAGGCCAGTGGCGAAGATGTCCCGCCTTGGAAGTTGAAACAATCATGCGTCCACAACTCCACATGTGAAAAAGGCGAAGGCACCTCCCTCCTAATTGAAGATCGTCCAAGGAGAACGGCACCTCCGAGCCCTCCGCCCAGGGCAAGCGAAATCAAGCTGACCAGCGTTAAGAACGCGTCACATCAGCGCTCAATCTGATTGCTGATTGCTCACCTGGGTCTAGCTCTATGCTGCACTAAAGTATTGCTAAGCCCAGTGAGCCATGCAGAGACCCCCAAGGAGGATTGCTGATCCCGTATTGTGCAGCCAACTCCTGAAGTCCTGATATTGCAATCTAACAATATCCATTTAAATCCATTCCTGTTCTTATTTCATTAACAGCCTGCTCACGGCTGCCAAATTCCTTAGCAAATCCCTTAACAAATCCCACGCTTGATGGATAAGTATCATCAATGGCGCCATCTTCCCAGTGTTCCACAAACCCGCGCCTTGGGGCATAATAATATCCTGCCCAATCTTGAACACGAAGGCCAATATCCACTCCAGGCCTGGCCGACACCTTTATGTGTCCGATACCTTACCGCTGGGACAATTTCCGTACCCGCATCCAATGGATCTGAACCCTTACATCGACATGCAGGCAGTGCTGTGTCGAGTAGATATTTAACCTTCCGTTTCATGCTCGTTACTTTGCCGCGAAAGGCATGGTTATCGCTGGCTGTGGAGATCATTTAGTTCTTTGATATCCATACCATCCTGTACCCCAATCTGCGTTTCAGTTCCGTGGCACACCACTTTATGTTAATGGCATCATGGATCACACCTGCCGCATCGACGTGTTTGAGCTGCAACAACGCTGCCAAGTATAGGTGCCTCTGGAAACCCTTGGGGCGCAGAGTAGCGCAGCAAAAGTGGGGTCATAATGCTCCCTATGCATTAACAAGAATGACTTGGGCTCGGGACAGTATCTTAAACAGGTCAGCCCTCGTTTTATGTCTAGCAGCGCTTCCAGAGCATCCTCTAAACGCGTTGCCCTGATGCGTCATGCACACTTTAGTTAGCTCAGTTCACATCGTTTCTTCGAGTTGTGGCAAGCAGCTCTGCATTGATGATTTAAGCGTCCGTCCGACAATGAGACCAGCCCAATTGCTGGAAAAAGTTCATCCCTCTGGTTGTCAAATGCAGCGTTGTATTGTGTTCTCGTTCATCAGAGGCCGAATACCCGACATCGCTTGAATTAAAACAGGAGACTTTAAACATATAATCATCAACCATGAATCCCAATTCAACGCATTAACCCAAACGCCATGCTAAGCTGTCCCTGAAGAAATCAAAACGTGTAAAGGACGGCGGTAATCCTAACACGGCCTCTTGCATCACCCGGGATACAAGAGGCCAACTCAGTTCGACGGGCAGGTACAGACGCGCCGAAATAATCTGGATGGAGACAGCCACTAACGCGTATCAACGAGCACACTCGAGGCAAGACCGCATGTCCCTAACCACTGCACACCGGGAACACACCGTCCGTCCACACGACGAACACTGGGAGTCTTCTGCCTCTGAGCTCGGAACGAAGCAATCGCAGTCATCGCATTTGACGCCCTCATTCATCACACTGGTTCGGTGAGGTGGCCTGGTGGGCATATTGTGTGGAGTGCCCGGGAGAGACCAGAATGAGTGCAGGTTCGTTCTTTGAATGGGATCCGAAGGTAGTTCCTGTCGAGTGGCATTGTGGAGGCGGGTAAAGAAGGGTACGGGTGGTTCTGGTTGGCGTTGAGCGTCAAATAGCTTGTTGATTGTATTCTCTAATAGACCAAAGATCAGTGCCCTGTCACACAAGAAGAATTCCATTAGCGAAACTCATACCGTGAACCGTTGCTTCGTCCGGTCTGTCGTCTCGAAACCGCTTTCTAGTCCTGCCGCTGTCGGTCGAGTCAACTGACACCGAGCTGCTGGAGCTGGGACTCCATGATGATATGTCTTTCAGCCGCGGCTCGAAGGATGCGTTGAAGAATTGTTGCGAATATGATCGGGTGTGCGGCCAGACAGGAACGGTCTGATTCAAGGCGTCGAAGAATGGAGACAGTGCGAATGGGGAGTCGTCATCCGACGCTTTACGCTTCAGTGAGGCCATTGTGAAGGAATTGAATAGATGTCGCTCTCGAAATCTACGTCAATAACAATAGTCCGTTCAAAAATGGTATGGAAGATGGGATCCGTTGCTACCGATGTCGTAATGGAAGGTTCAAGACTGGTATGGTTGGAATCGGGATGATGTCGCGTCGCGTGTCTTTGTTCACTGAACGCGTGCCTTTCCGCGTGCCTTCCCCACTCTCTTTCTGAACAGAATTGATTGGAATGGATTACAAAAATTGTGGCTGCCTTGGTGCCTTGTGAATGAACTGGAGGACTGAATTGAACGAACCAGATACGCCAGAACCACGAACCCCAAATTATTCGCCCCACAGTTCAAGATTTCAGTTCAGTTCAGGTTCAACTGTAGACATTAGTAAACTCAATAGGACATGGATTTTGCTATGCCTATCTATCCCCAGTGAAGAATTAATGGTTACCACAAAGAACACGCCAGTATGGATATTGCGCCCGAATTTCCCGCCTGGCCATTTGGTAGGATGATGATATTCCCCAGACAGTGACATGCCGAGACTGATAGTTTACAGAACTGCTGGAGTTGTGGCATGAGAATCGATTAAACCTTCTCGCTGCAATCGTGATAGTTGGCCTTGCTGTGCGCCTAATATCCTGGAAACGGGAGACGATAAAGGAGACTCGGCCGAAGGAGACCACTCAGTTGCACAATGAGAAGATCAGCTCTGGAGAAACATCACGGCGTGTCTTGGAAAACCGGCTCCCAAAAAGAGTGACTGGTGTGAGACAGAGCAAGCCAGCAAGAGATGCGAGCATAACGGGCATCCGTGCAATACAATTGCATGTCTTCTACTTCTCCTTGACGACTACCACGGAGAAAACTGCGAAAAGGGTCCAGCAGGAACTAGATGAATGGAGTGGAAAGCCGTCCTCGGCGGGCGGTCCCGATTGCGATGTATCAGTGGTTCTATATGACCTCTCTGAGATTGAGTACGACGACTTCTTCGTTTCTCCGCCCCGTCATACAGAGTCGACGACGAAGTCATTCTACCTGATGCTTATCCCCAGCTACAATATCGACACCGTCATGGATACGTTCATTGAGCAGCTAAAGGAAACTCACCACGACTTCCGAATTGATACCGCTTCTTTGTCCGGCCTGCTTGGGTACAGCGTGTTTGGCATCGGCGATAGAGAAGGGTGGCCAACAGAATCGGAAGGATTCTGTTGTCAGGCCATTGAAGTGGATAAATGGCTTGCCAGGCTCACTGGCCAGAAGCGCGCGTACCCGATGGGTTTAGGCGATGCGAAGAGCGATGCTACGGAAAGGCTGCAGGAATGGGTACAAGGAATCGAACGGGCTGTACGGGACATCTTCCTTGCGGGAGGACTTGGAGAAGGTGTGTCTGGCAGTGGAGAAGCTCTGGAAAGTGGTGACGAGGATGATGAAATTATGGATCCAAAGAAAAACCCTTCAAAAAGAAGACGCGCCGAACGGATCGATGATATGGAGGACCTGGATCGAATGATTCAGAAAGATGCAAGCGATGATGCACCGTTGGCGATCGACTTCACTACATATGGCAAGTCCAAACCGGGACCGCCTATTGTGGAACGAAAAGAGATGGTCCCGAAGTCATCTCCAACATATGCAGCCCTAACGAAGCAGGGCTACACAATTGTGGGATCGCACTCAGGGGTAAAAATCTGCCGTTGGACAAAATCCGCCCTCCGAGGTAGAGGATCATGCTACAAGTACTCCTTTTACGGAATCAAGTCGCATCTATGCATGGAGACCACGCCCGCGCTCTCATGCAGCAATAAATGCGTCTTCTGCTGGCGACATGGCACCAATCCCGTCGGTACCACATGGCGATGGAAAATCGATCCGCCCGAACTGATCTTCGAGGGGGTGAAAGCAGGGCATTATAAGAAGATGAAAATGATGAAAGGCGTACCGGGAGTGCGTGCTGAACGGTTCGAGGAATCCATGCGAATACGACACTGTGCCCTCAGTCTCGTCGGCGAGCCGATATTCTATCCACACATTAACGAGTTCACTGCAATGCTTCATAAAGAGCATATTTCATCCTTCCTCGTTTGCAATGCGCAACATCCCGACGAACTGGCCGCTCTCAAGCCCATCACCCAGCTTTACGTATCCATCGACGCATCGAATAAAGAGAGTCTGCGAAAAGTTGACCGTCCGCTTCACCGGGACTTCTGGGAACGCCTAATGCGATGCCTGGACATCCTCCGAGAGAGGAGGTTCCGACAGCGGACGGTTTTTCGCCTGACGTTGGTGAAGGGATTCAACATCGAAGACGAAGCGGAAGGATACGCCGATCTGGTCGAGAAAGGGCTGCCATGCTTCGTGGAAATCAAAGGCGTCACGTACTGTGGAACCTCGACGTCCGCTTCAGCTGGATTGACAATGCAAAACGTGCCGTTCTACGAAGAGGTCACGGAATTCGTCGTTCAGTTGAATGCGGCTTTGGAACGCCGAGGTCTGAAGTACGGGATAGCTGCGGAACATGCGCACAGCTGCTGCGTTCTTCTCGCCAGTACACGATTTCATATCGATGGAAAATGGCATTCAACGATCGACTACGACAAATTCTTCGAATGCCTCGAAAGTGGTAAGGAGTTCGGGCCGGAAGACTACATTGGTCCTCCAACGCCAGAGTGGGCAACCTGGGGCAACGGAGGTTTCAATCCAGAGGACACGCGAGTGTTCAGGAAGGGAAAGAACAAGACCATTCAGCAAACAGTGGAAATTTGAATGCATTTCTAGTTTGTAATTACTGTAGCGCTTTATATTGAACCGCTGTGTGAAATGGGTATCGGAACCATCGTCATAATTCATATGGCAATTCAGGCCGCTTGCAAGTCGTGCAATATCTTACCCACGCTCCGCACCCCTTGCAACGCGTTCTCATCTGGCCCCTGTCTAGGAACGAAGGAAGCGTGCGCAAAGTCAATGAGCTTTACGGCCGTAAGCCTTGGGAAAGTATCCTCCTCTTCGTCATCATCATCATCGGATTGCGCTGGCGGGTTGGCTTCGTAGTCCTTCACTGCCTTCTCGTAGCCCTCGACATCCCCTTCATAGACAAAAAGGATGCTCGCTGAGTACATCCGGCACTCCATGCCCATCAATGCTGCTTCAATGCCTTTGACGTCCTCTTCCAAGATACCGAACACCTTCTTTGCGTGGGCTGCTGTAACGCCGGGTGCGGTCACGTATTCCTTGAACGCCTCGTTCACGTTGTCAGCATTGAATACCCGCCCATACATCTTGTTATACACGCGATAGCCCGTGACACTATCCATGCTCATGTAGTCGGACGCCTTATGCTCTGGCGCGTCTCCTCTGGCGCCATATACCCTCATCCCCGCCACCCGAAACCCCAGGCTTCCGCTCGTCGTCTCCGCGCTCACCTTGTCCAACCGCGCGCGCTTCTCCGGCTTCGCCGCATCGTCCCACAGCTGCGCCCCGAGTTTCAGATCCAAGATGTTCGGTTTCCGGAATCGGGCCGCTACGTTCTCCAGGACGATGGACGTCTCGGTCGTCAGGGCTTTGCCGAACATGGGGCCGGCCTCGTCGAGCGATAAAGTAGCTGCAGTCCCGGCTGCGGTGGTGGCGGTAGGATCTGGTGCAGTAGAGGAACTGGTGGTGGGGTCGGTGGCTTCGGCGGGCTTGTTCAACTGTAAAGTGCCCATGTATGTTGGGATGTATTTCGCGAAATCGGGGCTTTGCTTCGGAGCGGCTTCATAGAACGCAATCTCTTTGGCTGTGCATGGCTTGATGACTAGACCACCGGACTCGTCAGAGAGTACCCCGTCGCTACACCATAGGTCAGTTGCATGTTTATATTGACGCCCCGAGCGAATGAATAGGGGCTCGATCAGAAAGGGGTAACTCACTGCCCGGCAGCAACATCTCCAAATGCCTTTAGTGACGCGGGATCAATTTGTGCAGTCATTGTATAAGAACTTAATCGTTTCGAAGTTTCAATGCCTCAGACCGGGAGTTCATGGCGGTACTTCGTCTGTTGTTCAGTTGTTTCAAACGGAAGCTCTGCCTTCACGTGATGCAGGGTTGAAAGTAGAATCAGGACCCTGTCGATCAGTCACGTGCAGTCGTGTTTCGCTGGTGGCTAGGTAGCGTCGACTCGAAATCACGTCAGTTTGATATCAATCCATTGCCAACACGCTGATGCCGCGGAATAACCAGCGAATGTTCACTGTCGCGCAGTCTGCCGTCTTACGGATGCTCGTCTCACCATGGGTGTTACCGGCCTCTGGACGGTCGTTCAGCCCTGCGCGAGACCGATCAAGATCGAGACGCTGAACCGGAAGCGACTGGCGGTGGACGCGTCCATTTGGATCTATCAGTTCCTGAAAGCCGTGCGTGACAAAGAGGGCAACGCCTTACGAAACAGTCACGTTGTCGGATTCTTCCGCCGTATTTGTAAATTGCTTTTCATTGGGATCAAGCCGATATTCGTCTTCGACGGTGGCGCGCCGGCCCTCAAACGTCAAACGATTAATGCGCGAAAAAGGCGACGAGAAGGTCGTCGAGATGATGCGGTCAGAACTGCTGGCAAGCTGCTGGCCGTGCAGATGCAGCGTCTTGGCGAGGAGGAGGAGAGGAGGCGCAAGGAAGAGTCTGCCGCTGGCCGGCACGAGGACAACGAGGAGGAAGCGCCGCTCCCCGAGAATCTGGTATATGCCGAAGAGACTCTAATGACGCCTCAAGAGCGGACACGAAATCGTACCTTCAAGAAGAAAGATGCCTATCATTTACCGGAGCTCGATGCCTCTCTTGCGGAAATGGGCGGTCCGGCCGACCTACGCATTATGTCACTAGAAGAGCTAGAGGAATATGCTAGGCAATTCAATTCAGGAGAAGACGTTAACCTATATGACTTCTCCAAGATCGATTTTGATGGATCTTTCTTTCAGAGTCTTCCGGCGAGTGATCGGTATAACATTTTAAACGCGGCACGGCTACGAAGTCGGCTCAGGATGGGCTACTCAAAAGATCAACTGGATAGCATGTTCCCTGACCGCATGGCTTTCTCAAAATTTCAGATCGAGCGGGTCAGAGAACGTAACGAGCTTACCCAACGACTGATGAACCTCAATGGAATGAACGACGATGCGATGTGGGGGGTTCATGGTGGTGGTAGAGTTGCCGGCGAGAAAGGCAGAGAGTACGTCCTCGTCAAAAATGAAGGCGTTGAAGGAGGGTGGGCTCTTGGTGTCGTCACGAATCGCGACGAAGGCAACCGGGACAAACCTATCAATGTTGATGAGCTAAAGAAGCCAAAACCTGACGATGAACCGAGCGAAGAAGAAGGTGAAGAAGATGAGTTTGAAGATGTGCCCGTTGAAGGTCTGAACCGGCTTCCGAAACAACTTCTTCGGAACAACGGAGCCAGCCGAACAATCGTTTCAGACACTCAGCAACATGTCGTTGCTCCGGCTCGAAGGGCAGAATCAGAACGCAGAACAGGGGAGAAGATTAATCCTCTGTTCGTTGCCGATACGTCAGAAAAGGAGGAACAATGGGAAGATGTAGAGATGGATGATGTTGATCAACTGTTCGAAGAACCACACATGACCGGATACGATTCGGAGGAAGAACAATTGCAACGAGCAATTGCTATGTCTCTTGGCCAAGAGCCTGGGATCGATTCCGATCACATAGATGACGACGATTTCGCGGAAGTTTTCCAGCAATCCCGAGTGGAGGAAGCAAAGTCCTTCACTGGAAAATCAGGAACAACCATTGCACGGATGGCTAACGAAAGGAGTCGTAAAGGTGCCGCCGTCTCAGAACCGATTCCAATCAACGTACCTAAGCCCCGCCCAGAAGATTCTGCCGAACATTCGGAGAGCGAAGATGACTTTGACTTGCAAAGGGCAATGCGAAGTTCTAAAGCGGTTCAAAAAGACTCGAACCTGCCAACGATGCAGACCCCCCCAGTGAAGGATACAGGTGCAAGCGCAGGAGCTGCAGCATCGCATCTAAAAAAACCGTCGTCATTTGATGGTCCTTTGCCGTTCGAGAGACTAGACCTAGGGAGCTCAATACTGGGAAAGAAGAAGAAAACCGCGGCGGCACCGGATGAAAATGCAGGAGGCTTTGAGAAGGAGCACGAAATCCAAAGCACCGCGAGACCAGTACCGCCATGGTTTGAACGCACCCACAAGGACACCTTGCAACAGGAGAAGACATTCGATAAGCAGGATAGGGACAAGGCGAAACAAGATGGCCGCTTTCAATTTGAAACACCTGCTAGGATACGCAGGCACGATGCGAATGATATCATCGACATCGACGATCCTAGCCAAGAACCTCCGATGTCCATGATATTAGGGCAGGATGCGAGTACTCAAAGGCCAACGACTTTACCAGAGTTGCCCCAGAAACCGGATGAGTCCCTGTCGACACAGCAGCCTTTTAAGCCAAGAAGCGAGCAACCACCAGAAAGTCCAGAACTGGAACAGTATGAGTGGGAAGAATCCCCCCCTCCAGAAATCGTCCAGCCTAGTTCTACGCAGGACGATTTGTCTGGGGTCGAAGCGATGAGGGCGAAGAATGCGGTCGATCCGACAGATGAAGACCTTCAGGCGGTAGAGGATGACCAGAACGTGATTGCCACTCAAGAACACGTACCACAGGTTCCATTAGACGATGCAATGCCTATACCGCCTGAGAATGAGGACTATGACGAATATTTCTCCGATCCTGAAGAAGCCGAGCTCTTCCGGCAACTGGAGACCGAGGCCGACGAGCATGCTCGGTTTGCATCGACTTTGAATAACAAGAGCAAGGAGCAGCATGCCATTGACTTCGATCAGGAGCTGAAACAGTTGCGGGATCAGCAGAAGAAAGATCGCCGGGATGCCGATGAAGTGACCCAGACCATGGTCCAGGAGTGCCAGCAATTACTCACCCTCTTCGGGTTGCCATTTATTACTGCACCTATGGAAGCAGAAGCCCAGTGTGCGGAGCTTGTGTCCCTGGGTCTTGTGGACGGAATCGTCACCGACGACTCGGACACTTTCCTCTTTGGAGGAACACGAGTCTATAAGAACATGTTCAACCAAGCAAAGTACGTCGAATGCTACCTTTCCCAGGACCTGGAGTCAGAATTTGCTCTAGATCGTGAGAAACTCATTGCCATTGCCCAGCTCTTGGGCAGCGACTACACTGAGGGACTTCCAGGGGTCGGCCCAGTATCTGCTTTAGAGATCATTTCAGAGTTCGATTGCCTGGAAAACTTCAAAGAATGGTGGCTTGCGGTTCAGAATGGATCGCGGCCGAAATCGGAGGATACCAAGAACCCCTTTCGTCGCAAATTCAGAAAGAACTCGACCAAGCTCTTCCTCCCCGTCAATTTCCCTGATCCGAGAGTCGAGGATGCCTACCTACATCCAGAAGTCGACAGCGACCCCTCCACCTTTGTCTGGGGTGTGCCTGATTTGGATCGCCTTCGAAGCTTCCTAATGGCCACCGTCGGTTGGAGTCCGGAACGGACGGACGAGGTCCTGGTTCCTGTCATCCGAGACATGAATCGAAGGGAACTCGAGGGAACGCAAAGCAATATCACTAACTTCTTCGGTGGCAGCGTCGGTGCAGGAGCGTTCGCGCCGCGCAGGAAGTTGGAGACCAAAAGCAAGCGGATGGAAAATGCCCTGGGACGTATTGCAACCAAGGCTAAACGTGGCAAGGATAACGCTACGGAGGGATTGGATCAAGACCCGACGGGCGAAGATTCGCCTGGCCAGTCGAGAGGTCAAACAAGGTCACGAGCCCGAAAGAAGAGGAAAATGTGAGTGAACAGTGGTAAACTCAAATAATAGTAATTTTCATCAAACATCACCACAACAACAGTGCGGGAGTCTTGCTGTTCGTCATGAACTCATCAATCGCGTTACATGTAGAATAGTCGATGCGAAGCAACCACTCTCTCCGGCACCTCATAGTTTCCATGGAATATCAACCCTTTCGGCCTCGCTTGATAAGACGTCTCTTCAGGTCCAAGACTGACTCGGCCCAAGACGAACCGGCATCAAGTCTGGAGCCCATATGTACCTTTAGAAACTCGCCCATCTTGCTTTCATCATACTTCTCTCCATAGACCACCGAGGCCGTCACATCTGAGAATACCTCGACATGACCGTCTGAAATGTGGGCCGTGATCACAATGACAGGACGGACCTTCGTCTGAAGGTTCGGCAGCACCATGTTCACTTTGATCGACAATCGCTCATCACTGAGAATAGCCTCCTCTGTGATACATAGTTGCCGCAATAGCCGGACAGCATTCGCCACAGAATCGGCGCAATCCCATCCCGAGCTGACCGTCCGAAGAAGGTCCGGTACCGACGTCTGGTATTGAGGAATCGAATGGAGATGTGCTTGAAGAAGCTGAAGAAAGAACCGCTTGGAGGTGGTGAGCGGCTGCGGTTTGCGTAAAGCGTGATTATCGCCAATGTAGCCGAGACTGATCGGTTGGTTGCCCGCCATAGGGTCTTCCATGCCACCAAGGAATGCGGCTGGATGGAGAAAGAGCTCGAGTTCCGATTTGTAAGTCATTGTGAGCGTATGCGGATCCGCATTGGCAGATGTGATCGTCCAGCCTGTCTTGAGTCCAACAGCATCAACTTTGGCTAAAGACCGTTAGTTTATACCAGTATTCAATGGGTTGTGGATCATACCTTTGAGCATGCCGACCTCGTCTGCAGACCAGCCACGGCACTCTTCCCGCACCCGCTCTGCCGCCTTGATGGCTTCTGAAGACTCTTCTTTCCGGTCCCTTAGGTCCGCAATCGCCTGTTCTTTTTCGTGCATAGACTGCTGCAATTCGCTGAGGAGCCTCTTCTTTTGCGCGATCTCCTCATCTGCACTTTGCAGCCTTAGTCTCGCAGCCTCAAGCTCGTCCTGGTCTTCCTCATTAAAGTTCGCTGCGTGCTCTTGTAGTCTCCCCAGCCTCTTTTGCAATTCGTCATTACGTTGAAGGAGACCTGGTAGAATGGATTTCATCAGTTCTTCCTGTGTTTGCAATGCATTATCGTCCTCATCAAGGTCGAGCGAGGACTGTTTGAGTCCTTTCGTGAGCTCTGTCAGGAGCTGCATCCGCCATGAGTACCAGCCGGCTTTGCTTTGCAAGCGAGCATTACTTTTCATGTTCTTGAACTGGTTGTCCATAATCATCCGTTCACCTGGAGGTGCGGATATATATTCTTTGAACAATGGAGGCTGGTTTTCAACGGCTTCATTCTCAATCATACGGACTTCGTCCTTCCCACCCGAGATATAATGCTTCATCTCATGACAAGACTAGGGTCATGTTAATCTTTATAACACCCATCGCATGGGCTGTACTCACATGTTGGAAGAGACTCAGCAGTGGTACCGTGCATGCACCAGCAACAGCCGCATTCTCAATCCGGTGAGAATCATCATCTGCAGATTCCTCCTGCAAAAATTGCTTGGTCAGAGCAGAAGGTGCTCCAGTATGTCTTCTCTTCGTCGTAGTAAGATCAAGAAATCGAATGTTCGTTAAGCGGAGAAATTCCTTTAGCGAAAGGTGCTCATCGACAGAGGTGTCGTCCTTCACTGGTGACGCTCTCGGAACGGGTTCTGAAATCGTCACGTTCTTTTTTGGCCCCTTTCCTGGAGTCGTTTGCTTTGGCGTGAATGATTTGACGGGACTCCGCTGGGCCGGGCTTTTTGGGGTAGAAGTGGACTTGAGTACAGGAGTCCTAACTTGCTTTCTTGGAGTGGAGAGCGATTTGATAGACTGGGACAGATTGTTCGCCTTGGGAGTTGTATCGGGTTGCAACCAATAGGGGCTCTCCTTGACCCTTGGGGATGGATTCTGCTGCTGGGGAGCATCGGGAACCTCCATCTTGACAGGCGTTTTGGGTTGGCTTTCGGGCCCCTCGTTGGTTTGTTTCTGCGGGCGCGGGCTGAAGCGCACATCTTTCTCATAGCTCGCTCCAGTCTGCTCAGGCGTCATCGGGACTATGCTAAGTCTTCCAGAACGTCGAGGAGACTTCCTTGGTGTACCTCCTATTCCTGTAGTTTGACGTTTCGGACTTGGTTTGATCGGTGACCGCTTAGGTGGAGACGGGGTGAGATTTAGAGGCGCGGCGGCTTTGGGTTGATGTTCATCAATACGGGGCAAGATCTGATCTTCTGAGCCGTGTCGTTTCACCACGGGTGCTGTTGAGGGAGTGGAGGCCTTCGCTAACTTGCCCTGATCGATATTTCCAAAATTCGAGGTCAGCTCCATACTCATGTCCTCCAAGTCGCCCTCGTCGTCTTCGATTTGAGCATCGAGTTGTGTAGCTTTGACATCCTTGATGCCGCCGACAGCCATCGTAAAGTCCATAGCGTCGTCGCCGAGTGTCATGTCCAATGTTGCGGCGGGCTCGGAGTTAGCCTTGAATATCATTTCCTGGATGCCACCAAGTGACTCGGTCAAATCCATAGTTTCATCATCGATGGCCAAATTGCCGAGAGACTGTCGATGATTCATGCTTGTCCGGCGTAGGCTCTTTCGTCTGGAGGGACTACCGCTGGCATCGACAACACTCGCAGGTGCTGGAAACACGCTTGACCTCCGTCTCTTGATTCCGCTACGCTGAGATGCAGGCTGCGCATTCTGACTGAACTTGATGCCACCGACCGCCGTGGTGAAATCCATCGTTGCATCATCCGCTTCCGTGTCTTCTACGTTCCGCTTGGACAGAATACCACCGACTGCTTGCGTGATATCCATACTCATCTCATCGGAACCTTCGCTTTCTGGTAGCATTGGCTGGTTGGTTTTGCTGCCAACTGTCCTTGTGCTGATGGCTGGAGAAAACGGATCGATGTTCTCTTGATCCAGATCAGGGCGGGGTGCTTGGGCTTTGGCCTTGAATTGAAGCCAGGGCTGGAAGGCTGCGGTTACCTCTTCCGAAGCTAGATCCATGGATATCTCTTCATTCTCGTCACATTCGATTCCTCGTGTTCCAGCCTGCGTTGCCGCCTGCCGCAACGCTTCTTCCAAACGCCCACTGGAAGATGTTGTTGAGCCGTCCGGACTCGTGCCGTTGTTTGGTCCATCGGCATGAGATAAAGTGTTCTCATTGCTTCCCGTCGAGCTTTCGATGTCGTCGCTTGCGGCGCTCGAGGTTGCGCTCGCCGGGCTCGATGATGGAGCGTCTGAAGGGCTCGATATTTCAGGTGGAACTCTAGAGACCCGGCGACGCTTCCGTTGGTGCATGTCTCTCTGGTTTGCTGGCGATGATTCGGGTATCGGAGATTCTGCCTGTTTCGGAGGCGTAGAGGGCGATTGCGCCGTGGCATCTTCCGCGGTCGGCGATGGATCACCATTTTTCGGCGTTTTTCTTGGGTTTTTCGGGGATTCTGAAGCGTTCCGCCGTGGGCTGGATGAGGAAGATGAAGTTGTCGCATCGCGCATGTACTCGATGACGTCCCAAGTGTGCAGAGTTGCCTCTGGCGCAAATGACACTCGGCGATTCGCTTTGGATGTCAGCAACGGATTTTGGGAAGTCGATTCTCTTTACTAACCAAGCGACTTTCGCCTTGCTTCCTTCCTCTTCGCTTCATCTTCCCGGCTCGCTAGAATGGACTTGACCGCAGGGACGAATGCAGACTAAATCCAGTTAGCGTTGTTCGCCGAATATTGTTGACATTATACATGCCTTTCGCCGGTCCTTAGTCGAAGGCTTCAACAAGACATCGTCAAGCCCGCCTGGTCCAATACTCTTGCTTCGGTTTCGTTTGCCCATTGCTTTTGGATCAGCTGTGGATCGCGGCGATTTCGCGTGGTCAATCGTGGGGAGTAAATCGTGCAGGAGATTCTCTTTGTCGGATTCGGCAGCCATGTTGATGTGTAGCTGATCAATAATGCTCTTGCTACTCGCTCCTAGCTTTGGTGCGGTTTATAGATCGCCGAGGAGGTATTCGCGAGGTTAAGTATGCATTGATAGGGGATGTCCACATAGACAAGGGCTGTATTTGATATGGTATTATCTTGCGACCACTGGCCAAGCGCAAACTGGGAAGTTTATGGACTTAGGATATGTTTCGTGATATTCGTGGTCTCGTGCAGAACCACGGATGGATGTGAAGGTTGAAGTGGTGGATGTGTTTGTCCAGGGTTCGGTTTGTTTACACCGCACCTAATTGGGGTTAGCGCTACACCGCCACAACAAACTGCACTAGCCACATTCTCAAGGGCACCAGCCACATCAAGCCACTCCGGAATTTCAGTTTTTCCACACCGACCGTCCAGGCGAACCATCAAAATTCCACCTCACTCATCGAATTTAACATCACGAGGAAGATCTCCGCACATCGCATCCCATCACCACCGAACGGTCGCAAACATGGCCACAGAATTGACCGTCCAAAGCGAGCGTGCTTTCCAGAAGCAGCCGCATATCTTCCTCAACTCGAAGGCCCAGAGCGGCAAGACCAAGCGCGTCGGCAAAGGCGGTCGGAGATGGTACAAGGACGTCGGGCTTGGGTTCAAGACCCCGAAGACGGCCATTGAGGGCAACTATATCGGTACGAATCCCTGTGGTTTCGAGACGGGCGTTCGCGGAGCATGTTTAGCAAGTCGAGAGTGCTGCTTATGTTTGCATGCGACTCGCGATGCCTCGCACAATCGATTATTTCCAGGGGGATGAATTACTGACAGAATCACTGCAGACAAGAAGTGCCCCTTCACCGGGCTAGTCTCCATCCGCGGCCGTATCCTCACCGGAACCGTTGTTTCCACGAAGATGCATCGAACTCTCATCATCCGACGCGAATACCTCCACTTCGTCCCCAAGTACTCGCGATACGAGAAACGACACAAGAACCTTGCGGCACATGTCTCCCCTGCCTTCCGTGTGGAAGAAGGTGATCAGGTCACCGTCGGCCAGTGCAGACCTTTGAGCAAGACGGTAAGCGAGACATCTATCCAACATAAGGGTTCCTAGAATTGTGGACTAATATTTTGCTTCCACAGGTCCGATTCAACGTTCTACGAGTGCTGCCAAGGACTGGAAAGGCTGTCAAGAAGTTCAGCAAGTTCTAGATTCTGTTTCTGCATGGCGAGAGGCTCTACATGGTTCCTTACGGTAAAAATGGGTATTCATATCGACAAACGGCGATAGGCATTGAGCTTTGAATGAAATCTCGCACGTAGTGCGATTCCAATTCATTCTACCCTAGGTGAATCATCTACGTGCTTGATTATATCTAATCATTGTTTGTCTCTGGTCCACTAAGCCAGTCCATACCTCGAATCCACACAAAATCGCTACGACCACCGCCATTCCCAATGAAATTGAACGCTATCCATGTTTCATTCCTAGTCGTTCTCGTCCATGATAATATACAACAGCCAGACTTCACCGCCTCTATGACCCTCTACATGCTAGGTGGGGTTTGTAACCAGATAAATACAAAATTCGCGTTGCTCGACCTTGAGCAGCGCTACCAAATAAACGCCTTCCCTATGCATGCATCGCTCTCGTAATGTTCCGACAAATGTTCCGACATGGAGTCCCTCCAGCAGCTTCCGGTGAATGAGGGACATGGGTATTGGAGATGCATCTCAAGTGACCGTGTTCCTAGACTAAGATCATTAGGAGGCGGCTTGCAAAGCCGGAGCCGCGGCCATCTGTGACATTGGTGTATCCTCCATTACGTCTTCCAGAGCCTCTCTGTCAGGGTAGACCGACACGTATGTTTTCATCTTGGTATGTGTTGGGTGGTTCCGCGCCTCCTGAGTTCTGAGTTGGATTCGGTTCGGTTTCACGGCCCTCGCCTGACTCGAAACTTCTTTCTTATCTGTGCGTATTCGGTGCTTATCGTATACGTCGACAATACTCTTGCAGAACTGAGCCACCCGCGTCGCAGCCGTCTGAGCGCACAGCCCAGAGGCGACCATCTGGTCAAGTAGCACGCGGAACTCATCCTTCATATCGCACATTTGACACAAGGAGAGCATCAGGAAGTATGTTTCGGAACACGGTCGCCCTCCGTTCTCCTTGAGAAACGAATCAACCAGGCTGGAGAACGCCCACCGACCTCGTTCCCAATCCCGGTACACCACGCATTTTCGGAGCATGAGACGAAACGACTCTCTGTTTTTCCGCACTTGCCCGGGTGTGATGGTATGCCACCATTGGTATACGGCATTCATATTCATGAAGCGGAGCATCCCGCGGACCATTTGCTGCAAGACAAGAGGGTCGGGGCGCATCACAGCAACAGCCTTGGAAGGACTCTCCCCGCTCCATCGAGCAACTTGGGTGTACTCGGATATTTTTCCGGCCGGCAACTTAAATACCTCTAGTCCGCCGAGTTCGCCCTTGGTGAGCCGATAAAAATACCAGAATTTGACGGGCTCGTTCATCATCGAGAAATGGTCGAAGACCAAGGAGCGTGTGACCTCATTGACGTGCTGGCGGGTCTCGAGAGCGGACGTCAAGACGGTGTTGAAGAGGGAGGAATGCTCGGGAGAATTGAAAGCCGCGAGGAGGAGGTTGTAGGATGTGATGTTTGGTGGCACAGGACTCGACAAGAATACCTCGGTCACTCTTATCACTACCTCTGGCAGTGATATTTTATCGTCCTTAAAGTCCCTGAGCGCACGTTCCAGTAACTCGTTCACTTCAACGACCACTTCATGATGACTCCCGTCGGGGCTATGCTTGAAATATGGCAGGGGCACTCTCGGGGTCGGGTAGCTGCTCCGCTGATCGGGACGAAAACGCAATCGTTTCAAAATGTCCTGCAGTTCTAGCAGCGTGGAGCCCAATTTTGCCTCTCCAGTCTTTGAATATGAGCGGAGCGTCGATACCCCCAATCTCCGTATATGCTCCGTTACATCAGTCCAGCAGCCGCACGATAGAAGCAGTTTGCAAATCATCGCTCCAACGGAAACATCGAGGATCGAGAGTTTTCGGTCCGCCCAGGGAGGATTGTCCAGAACTTTTCTGCGGTCAATCCCCTGAGACCAGATCGATTCGGGCCCGAAATGAAAATCGCGCCTCCGTATTCGCCACGATGTCGCGCCGTCGAGTCGAGGCCAAGGTGCTCCGGCCACGGGCTGATGGTCCCGGACGAAGTCCAAGTCGACCTGATCGTTCCCGTTTTCGACGACAAGTGCGTTCAAGGCTTTTACTGCGCGGGTGTCAATCCCCATCGACTGGAGAACCCAACCATCCCGAAACATGGTTCTGTGCTTGCGGTCAAGCCACGAGTACGGATGGGAGAAGTCCGCATCGACACCGTTCTTTCCACTATGTAGTGTTTTGTTCAGGTGATTACGAAATTGCGCAGACCCCGCTCCATTCTCTGTCCAATGTTCGACAAACGGCCGAAGGCCATCACTGATATGTGCGTGGTTTGAAATTGTCGACTTGATTCGCAAAGTGTTCTCGGAGGATCGCATGGGCTCAGGAGCTGTTTCCCAGCGCTCATTCCAAGGCTCTTCATACTCTTTGCTGGTCCCTGCATTGCCATCCAGGCGGGTTTCTATGGTAATTGAAGGGGGGTACTCCGCGTATCGCATATGTTCGGCAAGTCCATCGTCCGTGGCCGTGTCGTTCCCGAGCTCTCTCCGAGCTTCAGCAATGGCATTGTCGAGTTCGAGTCGTCGTTGTTTCTTCGCTCCACCATCCACGACCGCGGCGCTAGCGAATACCGCGGAGTAGAAGAATGTCGCGGAGTGGATCGGCTTCAGCAATCGCCAACGGGGGGTGCTGGTGGTCACTCGTCGGCTTGAGGTCGAGGTGGACCACCTCGAAGGGTGGCATTGGGGGCAGATGCAGTGGCTCCGAACGTGCGCAATGCGGGTCCAGAGCGTCTGCATATTCCCCAGAGGAGGAAACCCGGAGTGTTATGCTCTTGTCCAGGTCGCAATGGGGGTCATTCTGCTGTCCTGGAAACATCATGCGTGCCGATAATAATAATCACGATAATCACTAGAATCCATGGTACCTGGATTGTTAGTGGTCCAGGCCACGTGATACTAGAGTAATTTTTCTATCACGTGATTAGGTTCTTGATATGGCTGGATTCCCACTTGTCATTGGTCAGTTTTCTACCAATGTGCTGAGGTCGATCGCTCCAAATATCTACAAATATCTACAAATATCGCGGTCAATGTTCGTTCACTGCAAATAATCCTTGTATTCTTGTCTGAGAAAACAAATCCAAGTTGTAAAAAGCTATCAAAATGTTGGCTTTAGCACTGACCGCCGAGCTGAATGGGTACATCGCCGTGAGCGAATCGAGAACAATTTCCTCCGCTAATACTATCGAAGCGTGACCGACCTCGTGCCCGACGACACAAGCGACAAGCCTTTCTATTATACATTTAAGGTCCAATGCACATCCTGCCGTGAGGTTCATCCCAATTGGGTGACGATCAGCCGTTTTGTTCGTGAACATCCACCTCCAGTCGACGTAGTCTAGAGGAGACGAACCACTGACGGCCCTGAAGGAGCAAAACGAGATCAGCGGAAGCCGTGGCGAGGCGAACTTCGTGTGGAAATGCACGTTATGTAAAGTATGACTGTTCACGATTACTATGATTCATGAGTCGTTGCTCACGGAAACATCGCTGGGCGCAGAGAGAACACTCTGCAACCATTCAGAAGGAACCCGCTCCCTACCCACATTCATCACCACCAAAACGGCAAAATATCCTGGAGTTCGACTGCCGAGGGCTCGAGTTCATCGAGTTCAAACCGGATGGGGACTGGAAAGCGTCGGCGACGGAAACGAAGTCACGGTTCACGGAAATTGACCTGACTGACGGCGAATGGTATGATTATGATGAGAAGGCGAAGGAGGAGGTCAGCATTAAGGATTTGAAGTGGGAAATCAAGCGTGCATGAGCATATAGTGAATATTATATGTCTATAACATGTCAAGTAAAGTGCATTGTATCGCTTGCAATACATTTTGCAATGTCCCCATCTATGACTCCGTCGACTCGGATTCTGTCAACCCGTTCCGGATGGCAAGCACACTGTCTACAATGACCGCATCTATGCCATGTTGGACTTGAGCCTGGACCAATATTAGCGGCGGTTGATGATTCTGGGATGGGAGACTGACCTTAACATTCTCCGGGTCGTTATTCAGTGACCCGTATGTGACGCACACCAACCCACTCTCCTTTACCACCTTCACAAGTCTAGGGCACATCACGAGAGGCCGTGCTGATGTCACAATTCCAAGCAAATTCCATCGCACCGCAAACCGAATCGCCTCCTGCAGTGAGCTTGCTCGCACGTCGCTGACAGGGGAGGTCCCCGCATCCGTTAAGAAGAGGACTGGAATGGATGGCTGCTTGAGTGAGAGCAATATGCAAATGTCCGGATGGAACGAGCTGAAGATGATGTTCCGACCGCCACTAAGCTCATAGACCTTCTTGAGGACGGTGTCCACGAAGGAGTTCAGTTCGACGCCGTACGTGTCCATGTCGTGTGCCTCGGATTCGAGCAGCATGGGGTATTTCATCTCGATATTGAACCCCACATTTTCGGGCAGCCTCTGGAACATCTCTTCCAGCGTGGTAAATGGAGCTTGGATGAAGTTTCCACGAGTGTTGCCTTTGAAACCTTGCGCCTTGAAGTCTTTGGTATGCTTCATCCGCTCATTCATAAGCACACCATCTTCAATCACAGAACCAACGGAGAAGGAGCGGGGTTTCCATGTGGATCTGGCACCGTTACTGCCCGCCGAGTCATTTCTCGACTGTCTTGGATTGGGAGGTCTCGATTCTCGCTGGGACTGTCCGCCATTGACATGGAGGAATTGTTCCAAGGTCAAGGTATGCACTGGCGCATCGATGCCAGTCTCGCTGACCAGAAAGTCATGGTAAATGATCGGAATATGGTCCTTGGTCAGTTGGACGTCGAATTCAACATAGCTCGCACCGAGATTGGCGGCCGCGACGAACGACTCGATCGTATTCTCGCCCAGCTGTAAGCTCTTCCGTGCTGCAATGTTCTTGCCGAGTCCTCGGTGGCCGATGACCATCGGTGCGGTCAATGTCTTCCAGTACGTGTGGCCTTCGGTGATGCTCATATTCGGATGTGAGAACGGCGTCACCACAAGAAAGTTGAAGTTCACCTGGCCGATGACGTTCAAGGTAGGTGCCGCTATGATGGGGACGCTCAGATCGCCTTGGAGTGACATCCTCTTGGAGCCGATGGACGGCTTCACAGCCTCGAGCATGGCCACTCCTCGGCCCAAGACGCGCTCTTTCGAACCCGAGTACGTGGGAATAATGTCGAAGAGAATCTTCACCTTCGATAGGTCGCTCGTGATAAACGCGATAGGGTCGGTGGCCACGTTCTCCTGGACAGGAAGATCTATGACAACGGGTTCGCCTTCGGCTCCGAGAGCGGAGACCACAATCGATAGCGCCGTGTCGAGTTGCGTGGTATGCGCCTCTCGTATGGAGATTTCGTCCAGCTTCACCGGCTCGATCGCCTTCCGCATATCCAGCGATCCTAAGCTCAGCAGTACTATCGGTTGGTTCCGCAAATATCGATGTCCGAATGTCTTGATGGCGCTGGTCGGCTGCTGTAGCATACTTAAGCCGGGAGCCAGTGGGGTGCTAAGCCCGTCTTCTTTCGAGCTTACGGTGCCAGTGAAGGTGCCCGGGACGGAAGCGCTGGAAGGAATCAATTCGCTAAGTAGTTCCGCAATGTTGATATGACCACGCAACGCCGCATGCTCTTGTGCGGTCCAGCCAGAAATATCCGTCCGCGTCAGCTCCGCTCCAGCGTCTGCAAGTGCCTGGACTGCACCCAGGTGGCCATCCACGCAAGCTACGAACAGCGGTGTCCAGCCAAATGTGTTTTCAGTAGCTTCGAGGTCCAGTTTCTTGGGGCCTGTGCCTTCTAACAGGACTTTAAGACATTCGTCTCGGCCACATCGCGCGCATTCGTGAAGGATAGTCTCCCCATTGCCATTCCGGACGTTCAAGTCAAGCCCGGCTTCCACCAGTATTTTGATAGTGGAGACGTGATTGGCTTTTACTGCAAGCGCAAGAGCTGTTGCGGTATTGTGCCGTGACGTTTGAGTGCTCTCAACAGTGGTCTGGCTCCCGCTGCCATACCTGGCTTCGACAAGCAGCTTCCCGGTCAACGGATTGCCGTTGATGATACTCAGGTGAAGCGGAGCAAAGCCATCATCGTCCAGCCACGCATCGGCCTCAAAGTCTTGACCATTGTTGACGAGATTCCAAGCCAACATTCGGTCGAGGAGTTCCCGGCAGACCTGCACAGTCCCTTGTTCGGCTGCATAATGCAGAGGCGTTCTCCCAGATGCATCCTTCGCCAATATTGCAGAGTGCTGTGTTGCGGATAAGCCATCGAGCAGGAAGACCAGGAGCTTAAAAGAGTCGTCGTCCAGCTTGTCTTTCTCCGGACCACCGGATTTCGTACGCCGCAAGATGGGCATCTCTGCAGGTGTGATCAGCCCCGCACCCAATGTTGGAGCCCCTGGTTCATCGTTCTGGGGGGATGGTCGATTCGCCGAACGACCAATGCCAATAATAAGCCGGTGAATGCAATTCCGTTTATTGATATCCTCGTCTTCGTCTAATGATTTGGTTCTCTCTAGTAGTCTGGTGATGCAGTCCATCGACCGATTAGTGATAGATCGTTGCAATAGATTCAAGAGCAGTCGTGGATCGTCGGCGCTTCCAACATCATCGCCAACACTCGCCTCCTGGAGCAGCTCGACTAAGGTGGTGGCATCATCGTTCCGTACGGCCTGGTCGACACTGTCTAGCAGCGCAGAGGGTAGATTGGAGATTGCGCGCGAGGAAACCGTCCGAGCCGAGCCCGACGACATCGTTGAACTTGTCTCGCCACCGGCTTTGGACCCGGATAGAGCGGACAGCCATTCGTTCAGCGCGTTCATATTCGTGTTCAAGGAAGTATTCGACGCAAACGGCTTGGGGTCGACTTTCGAGGCAATGTAGCTCGGTTGGGTCCCAGCGTTCGGCACTTTCTTGTCCAGCTTCTTCGTGATCTTAATGAAACCCCGTCGATTGACTTCTCCGTACCACTGGAGCTTTCGCAATTGGCATCGAAGCTCCAACAAAGCTCGGACGAGCTCCTCGGCTTCATCTTTATCGAGTGCATCACGCGGCAGTTTTTCGTAGGTGTCTTCCAGGCGCTTCAGGCGACGGGTGTACTTGGCGTATTTTCGGTTGTAGAAGCCATCTACGTCTTCGAGGTTGCGGTCGAGGGAGAATAGAAACTCTAAGATAAAATATCGCGTCAGTTGAGTTACGAGACCGATGACCGGACAAGACTCACCAGTGAGGTCGACCTGTCCTGAAGACGAGGTTTCCTGGGCAAGTGCCTTGATATGCTTCTTCAAGCCCTTATAGTTAATGTAATAGGATGCCCACTCGGGGACTTGATTCCTAGGCAAGTTGTGCCCAAACTTCATCCTCGAGAGACGACCACAGAGCTTCTCGAATGCTCAGCAGTCACCACGCGACGATAGACGGTGAGATGATTGGAGAAGCTTAAAGTCGGTGTGAATCCTTTCTTCTGTTCTCGGTTGTCTCGATTGTCCAGAATGCGAATTCTTCACTTCACTTCCATTGACATCCGCTTAATTCACCTCAACCGCACCCTAAGAGTGCTGGAAAAAGCGATCAAGGTGGGCAAGCGGCGAGATTCCATTGTCGCTAGGAAATATCAGCATCACTGCAGTATTAGCATGGGGAGCGTAAGGGAAACGGAAGGAAAAACAAATACGCCACGTCCACTTTTTAGTACTTATTATCCATGAACAACTGAATCGCCCGGCACAAGGTGGTCTGCATGTGGGTACTCCGTAGTTTGTAGGCCGTAGGAATGGAACAATGGATGTTGGAGTCCCAATTCCGTGCGTTGATCGAGCGCCCTCGTTGGATGGATCTTTTGGAGCTATACTCATTACGTCATCCGAGAAAAAGAGCGTGGGATACATATTCGTAGCGGAGGAGGTGGAGTGCTTCCGCTGCAGATAATATTGGTAAGATGGACGGAACTCCGTATAGAATGAGACGCTTATTGCTCAATCCAGCACATGGTCGAAAGGTTAAATAATATGGGAACGAGGGATGGTACAACACATGAAGTATGTAATGGTTTTTTCACCCCATATTCTCATGTCGCACGGCAGCAATCCCTTGCATCACCTTCCGCCAGGGATCCCAGTGCAGATTGCGGCTGTCCAGTCAAGTGGAAAGACGCCCGACGAGGTCACGCGAGCATGTTGAGTGCAAACCGAGGTGACTACTGGCCGTTAGTCACCGACCAACTAAACTGACGGTTTGCAAGAGCGTCCCGCGATATCCGACAGGACAACGTGGTTCCTCATGTAACATAGACCAGTAAGTAGACCAGTGCATATCTACGGTTCCCCCCCATTCTCCTGAGCCTTCTCCTGTTTCCATTTGTGAGCCATCTGGAGTAGCTTCGACATGTTCGCCTCCCGCTCGTCGTCGGCGGGGAAGAGGTAGTCCATGTACTCTTCAAACGAATCGTCGTCCAGCTTCCTCCGTCGCTTTACCCGACGGGGCATCTGCTTCTCCACCTTCTCGATATCCTCCGCCAAGCCGTGAGTGTTCTCGAACGACTTCCAGGCATTCAGGATGGCGACGCGCTGAGGGGTGGTCAGAATAGTGTTTTTAGCAACGGTCGGGGGTGGACGACATACCTCTTCTTTGAGATCCTTCTCCTTCATGCTCTTTAGTGCCCTTTCGAACACCTTCCTTGCCCTCACCTTCGCCGCTTCGCTCACCGGTGTCTCCTCCTCCGTCTCCTCTTCGCCCTCCTCCGGAATGTTGATTTCAAAGTGCGCATAGCTGGTCCAGACTTTGACGTGATCGGTCTTCTCCAACAGGCGCTCGTAGAGCTCTCGTGTCCGATCGTACTCGCCTTCCTCCTCCTCAAAGTCGATGTAGGCCTTCCAGACCAACTCCGGCATATCCAGCGGATCTTGGTTGACTGCCAGCTCGAAGATCGCGCGTGCCCGTTCCAAGTCGTCCAGGCCCCTCTCCAGCTCTGCGAATTTGATCCAAGCCTGGCTGTTGGACGGGTTCCACTCGATGTGCTTCTCGTACAGCGTCCGGCATCGCACGAACTCGAACAACTTGAGCTCCAGCTCGATGTAGCCCCGGAACAGCTTGTCCTTCGGGCACATCCCGATCGCTTGACCCAATGTTTTCCGTGCGGTCTGCAGTTGCATCTGCCGCACCTCGAATTGGGCCTTCATCAGCCAGATCTTGGCGAAGGTGAACTTCTTGTGCGGTATTAACTTGAGGCATTCTTGATATATTTGCCGTGACCTCTCGACGTCCCGGTTCTCCATCTCTTCCCATAAAGCGTAGAATATCCACAAGTAGATGTATCTTCTCCAATGGCGTTTCTCCTGAGTCGGTGGCAGTTGAGCAATGGCTCGCTCGTAAACGTCGCGTATCCGCTCCAGGTCCCCTGAGCTCTCCTCCAGTCTAGCAAAATCGAACCAAGCGTCGTAGTTCTTCGGGTTCTCCTTCACTTGGTCCTCGTATTGAACCCTTCGCTTCGCAATGACCACGTCCTCCACGCCTTCCTGGTCACCGAATTGCTTCTCGAACTGGGTGTAGGATTTGTGAAGGGTCATCGATTTCGATCGTGGCATCCGGTCTAGAGCATATTTGTAAATAGCCCGGGTACGTTCGTATTCCTTCAGCTTCGTTTCAAACCTCGCGTACGCCATGAAGAGTTTCTCATCCATAAAATGATCTCCGAGAGCGCTGATGGCGTTCCCGTAGACGTCTCGTACCAGGTCACTCGTCCCGTTTTCTTCCTCGAATCTCGCCCATTTGATCCAATTCTTCGGCTCGGGGTGGACGATGGTGAACCGCTCGAAGATCGCCCGTGCACGATCGAACTCTCCGTACCGTTTCTCGAGCTTGATGTATGCGCTCCACGCCGCCTCATCCGGCTCCCACGACATCCACCGCTCGAACACCTGCCGTGTCCCCGGGATATTCCCCAGGGTCTCCTCCATGTACACAAATTTGTACCAGAGCTTGTCCACACGGGGCTGGATCGTCACGGCGCGATCGAGGAGATTTCGAGCATGATTGATGTTCCGGTTCCTCATCTCCGCCTCGATATACCGAATCCACAAGACCACACTCGCCGGTTCCACATCCAGCGCGCGCTCGAAGACGGACCGCGCTCTCCGGAACTCTTTCTGCTCCAGTTCCCATTGCGCGTACCGCATCCAGTTGCCCATGTTCAGGCGGTTCCGGCGGACATAGTCCTCGAACTCCTTCCGCTTCCGCCCCTGGAACTCATGGAGTTCTTCGAGATCGGCGAACCGCTGGGTGGGAGTTTGGAGCTTGGGTTCCTGCCGGTCGACGGCTTCACGAAGCAAATGTTCGGCGGAGATTTGGATATCGGCGGCTTGCTTGTTCTTGACCCTCGGAGGGCCGCGTGAGGCGTCCATGGTTGCTGGTGGAAGGTGTTTACACCGTTGTCTTGTCAATGATTCACCAGCTTCCGCTCCGGATTAAACTACACGAAGCTAGACGACGGTGTTGCGGTGGCACTTGAAGTTGGTTGTTGGGTCAAAAAGTTCCCTGGAGACTGAAGTTCGCGGAGTGGATCTGATGCATGAGCTGGGCGGGTTCAGTTGGGTGGCGTGGAGGTCTGTGCTTTCAACGGACTGGACTGGGCCGACTGCCTGGAACTTCAACATCGCAACCTCCAACATCAACTTCCGCCACGCATTTCAAGAACTTCCTTTATAAGTTCCGCTTCAACTTCACAAGCGAACTCGGTTGAAGATGGCGTCACTTGCTGATGAACTGTTACAGGATTTCGGTGACGATGGTTCCGACCAAGAGGAAGAACAAGCGGGAGGCTTCGAGCAGGATGGCGGAGACGATACAGCCGGCGGTGCCAACGCCGTTCCTGGGATGGAACTCGATGGTGATGAGGAGGAAATTGAAGATGCAGATGCTATGATGGAGGATGTGGAACAGGACGACGCAAAACGAGCGGAATTCCACGAGCAAGCGGCCAAGGCCAACGCCGCCGAACTGAGCGATGTCCGAGACGCAAAGGATATCGCCGCATTGATGAAGACGCTTCCCCCGGTGATGGAGGTAAGTCCAACCCATTCTGAACCTTTCAGGTGTATGATTTACAGTCCATCGAACTCCAGCCTGACTTGCGACGCCGCGTTACAGAAAATCGCCTATTTCCAAGGCTTGCCCTCTGAGAAGCAGACGAAGAACATCGGATCGGTCGAGGATAATCCCGAATATAAGCTCCTGACCCAGTCGAACAGCCTATCAACGATGATTGATAGTGCGATCATATGGAACCATAAATTCATACGAGACCACTACTCGATGCGATTTCCGGAGCTCGAACAGCTTGTCACGAACCCGATCGACTATGCGAAGACCGTCGCGATTATTGGCAACGGACCTCTCGAGAATCTGAAGCAGATTTCTACATCCACCGATAACTTGGTGGGACAGACCCTCAACTCCGTTCTCGATGGCCCTAGCTTGATGGTTGTTGGGCTGGAGGCTAGAACAACCCGTGGTCAAGAAATGAGCGCGTCGGAGCTAGAGACCGTGAGAAAAGGCTGCGAAAGAACCCTTCAGCTCGCGAAGGCCAAGCGGGTTCTCACTGAATACGTCGAATCTCGCATGAACATTTTCGCGCCGAATCTTACAAACCTCGTGGGTTCCTTAACGGCCGCTCAATTCCTCAACTTTTCGGGGGGACTGGCAGGACTCGCAAAAACTCCAGCATGCAACATTGCGCCGTTAGGCTCCAAAAAGCAAGCTCAAGCTGGCCTTGCTACCAATGTTGGGATCCGGCACCAAGGCTTCCTCTATCATTCTCCCATCATTCGCGACATTCAAATCGACCTCCGAAAGCAAGCCATGCGGATCGTATCCGCCAAAGTCGTCCTGGCCGCCCGGATCGACCGAGTCCACAGCAATCCCGACGGCAGCGCCGGCGAGGAGCTCAAAGAGCAGTGCCTCGAGCGTCTCCGCAAACTTCAAGAGCCCCCTCCAAACAAGGGCGTCCGAGCTCTCCCGGTCCCAGATGACAAACCGGCCCGAAAACGTGGTGGTCGTCGGGCGAGGAAGGCCAAGGAAGCCGTCGCGATGACGGAGTTACGGAAAGCGCAGAATCGCATGGCATTCGGCAAGGAGGAGAAGGAAGTGGGGTACGGCGACACGACGAAGGGCCTGGGCATGATCGGATCGGAGAATGAGGGTCGCATTCGCGCTCTGCAAGTCGACCAGCGCACACGCGCGAAGACGAGCAAGAAGAATCCCGGATGGGGCGGCCCGGTCAGCGGCACGTCCTCGACGTTCGGGCAGGGACAGGGAGCCGGGAATGCGACCGTCCTTCGCGGTCATGGCTTGCGAACCGCTGGTGTCAATGCGCCCTCCGGAACCGCGACAGCTATCGGGGCGTTCACGCCCTTCCAGGGTCTGGAGCTGGTGGATCCGAACAAGAAGGCGGAAATGGAACGGAAGCGGAAGGCGGAGCAGGATCGATGGTTCAGCAATGGGACCTTCACACAGATCGGGGGCAGTTCGGCGAAGCCGAAGATGGATGAGGGCGGCTTCAAAGTGCCTTCGTTGCCATCGAGGAGAGAGTAGATACGGAAGCGACGAAAACGTAACCGGATGGGAACGATTACGGACTCATCAAAGCGGGATGTTCCAGATGTTGGACCCGCGTCCTGCAGAAGACACCAGTTCCAGCAAGATGCCATCACGCTGCAGATCCTCGTTGCTCGCTTTTGCGGGCAGCATTTGTCAAAGGCGAGACGAGGCATCCTTGATGGATTGTTCAGTGGCAATCAGGGGTAATTCAGGAGGTGAGAGACTCCGACTTTGGGAGAAATGCTGGCAAGGTCACCCCGCTTACCAACCACGATGTAAGAAGTTCAATATCTCAGAACTCACAGATTGTGGTCGTCCCCTAGGGACCGAGAAGAACTATGGTCGAGTCCCCTTCGGCGAAGCGGAGGCCTGAGTAGATATCCACATCGCACACTTTCCACCATGAACGGACGGGATTCTCTAGGTATAATAGATAGGTATTCAGCAGTCTGAAGTAGAACAGATGGATCTGCTTTGAGAATCACGCTTCCAATACGAGATTGGTGAAGAATCACCACGATTCCCAATCCTGTTCACTGAATTCTACCTGTATCATTTCCCCATTGAATTTGCTAGTTAAGCTTTATCCACCTAGGCACGAGAGGTTGCGAATTGCTCCACGCGTCCCTTAGTTCCGCCGTGAATGTGAAGCACCACAAGGCCAACGACTACATGATGTGTACTCTATCCTCACAATTCTACGTCTCGTAAACTACTAAGGAAATACGGATACGCCTCAGATAGTTACCGATATCAACTACTAAACCTTGATAATTCCAGTGGCGCTCCTGGCCCCTCCAAGCGGCTCCACCGCAACCCCTCCCGACATGTTTCTTCCCCCCTCCAATGATCGTCGCCCCCTCCCCACCACCACGCCGACCAACATGCGTGTGCGCTATGCGCTGGCCAACATACCCCACCGGTTCGCATGTCTCGCGCAGTCTCGCGCGGTGCGAATCATCGGCCTACGATTTTGGGACGGCGTTGGCTGCGTTACCAAGGCCATTCGTTGAGTTTCGTCAGTGGGGGAGAGGCTAGATGAGGTGAGGATCTGGTCCAATTGATGCCCCGAGTATTAGGTAAGGCACGAGAATGATGTCACAAGATCTCGTCGTCAACGGCGTGCTCGACGGTCGACGACTTTCCGATGACAGAGACGAGTAGGCGGGGCTCTCCGGTGCAAGACAACGGAACACCCCGTTCATCTGGAGCGTGTGCGGCCACTAGATAGGATGGACTTATAGTGATGTCTCAGCAGTCAGGAATAGCCATTGATCATGTCTTTGTTTGTCACAGACATGGCACTTTACATTCGAGACACCTCCTGGAATCGTGCTGGGTAGGTTCCCTATCGGTCAGGCTCCGGGCTGGGCAGTGGGAGTGACGAGCTGGTCTGGGCCGGGTGTGATGCCTTAATTACTTCGGTGACCGGTTTACCAAGAATGACATGGCTTGGAGGTTAGAGACACGATCTCCGAGGTTGCATCTCGGTTTAGCTATTATCCAATTGCATGATGTGCGCCCCTCCCAAACATTGTCGACTGCAATACACCAACTCGCCGCATCAATGCATTTCTTACCTTGCTTCTAAGTTCTATTAGCGGCTTACAGCAGGATTAATGCGGCCCTCCAATTTACCCCACCTTGAAAGAACGGAACGAAGGCCCGTTTCCAAGCGAACCATCCATCATAGTACGACTGCCAACGAATCACTCCATCCCAAAACAAAGTTTAGCTCCCGTGCCCGTGTGACCGATTCTGCGGCCGGCAGGCGGTAGGGCCAGCCTATCACCAGGGACATGAAAGCGCTATGGAGAACAAATCCGGACCGGTTCCGCGATGCGAGCGCAAGTAATAGTAATGATAGCACTGCGGCCTCTTTTAACCATACTATGTATGTTTCAGACTTGCATCTGCAGATTGCAGGCAATGTTGGATAGAGAGCGCAAGTTAACTCCATTGGCATGGTTTCACGGCTCCTCGATGCTGCGCACATCAAGACTGTGCCTAGCCGCTGGGCGCTGGCAGTTCGTTTGCAAACCGAACGAACTGGACCGCTGGAAAGTGGAGGGGCATCCTCGCGTGACCCGGTGATGATGGAGGGGAAGTACACAGCGTCGATCGCTGCGTAGTCCGATTGACTTCCCATGGACGCTGGTGTCGTAGATGATAGGTTCTGTGTTTCGGAGTCGGCGTCTGTACCGGTCCTTCGGGTCAAAGGGCCAAAACATGCCGTGCTGTTGACGGCCGTCAACTGTGAGATGAGAGATCCATCGGACGCCTTGCAGGAGCTGAGCTGCCGTATCCCGCCCGTCGAGATATCGAGCATCGGGACGCTGCATTCGGTGAAAATGCGCCCAGGTCTGGATAGGATCGCAGGTGCATCTAGGCAGGCTCTAATTCGCGATCCTCCTGGTTGACGGGAGCCATGCTGTCATCGACACGTCCGCCGCATGCCTTGTACCTATCCGTGGAGCAGCGGATGGGCTCTGGCTCAGGGTTATCACATCCCTTACATGGAAACTGCAAGGCACGGTGAATGAACTGGTCATCTGGGCCGCCCCGTTCACCGATACACGTTTTGCGACGGCAAGGGAGGGATTCATTCCGGACCAGATACAGAACGGAGGCAATGATGAGATTTCTCAGCTCTGAGGAGGGGCCTAGAGCGTCGACCTGGTCGACTGCAAGGGCAAGGCAGCTTCTTCCGTTTATTGACTCGTGTGAGTCGTGTCCCAGGACCATGGGGTGAAGGGGTTACGACGCTCAAATTAATTGAACCGAAGGAAACGAACGGGTTGCACCACCTTCTTGAAACGTGCGACGGTCCGACGCGGAGAAGGAATCAAGGCAGCACGACAGCGGGCGATATCCGATGTGGAGGGTGTGGTAACTGGTAAGAGACGTGAGATGACCCGTGGAGGCTCATTTGCTTGTGCTACTTCCGACGGATAGATACGGTGGTCATCAAATGATTTTGTTGTACGATGACAATCCAGCAGGACGGTATCGACAACACGAGAGGATGTTGGATTTGTTACACAGTTAACAGCTTTCAATAAGGAAAACTCAACGGTGCTGTGGTTTTTGATGGTAAAGAAACCCAAAACTCTCTACTACCAGGCTCGAGAACCGGCTGGCATTGATTTACTCTGAATGCGGCTTTGCAATTTGATTCCGTCATACATTCCGCTGATGCACATCGTCATGGATGATTGGCAGCGATTGGGAGTCGTCACCTAAGAATAGCAACATCTCACCGATGCCCAGCAGATGAACCGCAGTGGATTGCAGCTGACCATTCACCACAGGCACTCCATCCTCGCTCATTATGACTGTTAGTCTGTACAAGGCAATCTGGTATAATAAAAAAACAGCCTAAATAAAATCTCCGCTGCTGCGGCTCAGCGGCTCACCTCAGGGCTGGGTCCGTTCGTGTACCCGGAGCGGCCGAGTTAGGATCGTTCAGCGACACTGGTCGCATCACGTTGCGAACAGGAATGACTTGTCAACTTCACCAAGCGACGAAAGGGAATCCCTGAAAGCGTGCGAGAGACGGACACCGGAACGGCTCGAGTCGAGAGTGGCTGGCGAGGATTCCCCACGTGCTAGTGTCGACGAATTCAGCGTCTTGAGCGTCGTCTGTGAAACTGTGGCAGGAGAATCCCCTGGTTCCTCAAATGAGTGAAGACCCATCGTCGTGGGTGCTATGCGATATAGATGCGAGGGGAAGCCGAAAGAGGCGAGGATCCGTCCTTCCCAGAGCGTAATATGGGTATGGATCAACAGACCAAGGACATTATTACTGCAATGCAAGTGTTCCTCCATATTGCAGATGTGACATGTTCGGAGGAGCCCCCATCAAGTGTACGATCGCCCACAAGGACTGGTATTGATGGATGATTCCAGAGAGGTCCATCATCGTGCAGGAGCCGATCCTGTTCTCTCCATTCGCAAAATGGCGGAAGGCACGGGACGTGGAATCCACAGGCTCAGATTCAGAGCGATGACTTGCAGGCTCCTGTCCTCCACGGGGGCACTCCCACTTTCGCGTCTCGGCCGCCGATTGATCGAATGCATTAGCGCGGGGGGTGAGTGATACGTACCCGTGATAGGTGTGATACAGTTTGGTGGGTGGTTGGGCAGTTGGATGATGGCTGGATGGTGGACTGTGATTCGTGGATCCGATCAACGAGTGGGCGTTGGTCGGATGCTTTTGCGAGATATCATTTGGTCTGTGATGGTGGAAATGTTCTCCGATGCCTCACCAATCCTCTTGGGGAAAAATGAATCATCGCTTTTGCTACTGCCTAGAATAGGAGGGAGACACTGATCGCGGTGTGACTATAGACTCCCCGATCCCCATGGTTGACGAAGTCCGGTATCGATTATCGAGTCGTCATCGGCAAAGCCATCAATTGGTCATGGATGGACGAAAACGCAAAGGGATGAATCCCGAATGGAGGACAAGGTCGCTGGGATACGATGATTGGCAGAACACTCGGTCGAACGGCTGCATGTGGTTGGGATAGAGTTTGGGTTGGGTCGGATTTGACGAAATCACAGATGCAGGCTGCACTGATCCACTGGGCAGATATGAAAGGGACAGGAATCGAATATTCGAATCAAGGGGGGGTGGAAAGGGATGGTCAGATTCCTCTGGCCGGTCACATTTTCCAAGAGACGAGATTCATTCAATCTAATGCGTGGTAGCGAGGATGCATCTGAGACATCTGGTTCCTCGTCACATGGGAGTAACTTGCATGTTGTCAACAATCACGCCAATGATAGTCTGCAAATTGATAGAAAATGGTTGCTTGCGCAAAATACTATTACCTGTGTCTAAAACCTGATGAACAACATTCCAACAGATCCAAAGTTCAAAATCCAGCCCAGCCAGTAACAAGAAGTCAAAAACGCCCGAGCGACTGTCTGACCTGCCCATCCGAAGCGAGGCGTACAGTGTGAAAAAAGAAAGGGGTATAGTGAAAGCAGAGCAAATGGTCTTCGAAAGCCAATTCCGTCCCAAAAAACTTTTCCGGTGAAACCAGCCCGCCAAAGAAAGCCATTTTATCCCACCACCCAGCCTGTTGTGCTTTTGTATGACCGGACCCAAATGCAGTGAACCCAAAGGATAACATGAAAGGCGCCACCCTTGAGTTGAAGGCAATGCATGTGCTCGGAAACCGTGAGAGACATGAGGCGTACATCGCTCCAAAGACCCATCAAGAAGAAGCGAACACAAGCCAGTGGGTATCATTAATGAAACGGCTCGAAAAAACATCGAAAAAGCCAAACTAAAAGAAAAGCCCATCCAAACCCAGCATGTGATGGAGAAGATGAAGTAGTTGATCGTCCGATTCCGAATACAGTGGGACCTAATATTCCAGGTCTATTCCTCCCAACCCATCCGAGAAGTCCATTCATCGCTAAAGCAGTGGGTATCGTCTAAGCGGTAGGATTCCGTAGGATCTCGTCCACGTTGGCATCAAAACGCAGGCTCCAAAGACGGACCGAGCTCATCAGCTTCTCCGTCTTATCGAGTTCGCGATCGCGTCCGAACATGGTATCCACAAACTCGACGCCGGCATTGCGTCCCATGGATGACGGCTTCTTCTCGCCGTTTTCCCGCTTCGCGGCGCGCCACATGTATTCCTCACAGATCTTCAGGAGCTTCTTAAATCGCACTAGGAGGCGGTCGCCTGACTCGAGGAATTCCTCGACAGTGTCACGGTTCTCTTCCCGGCGGATCCGCGGCATGATGTGGTCTGCTCGCTTCACCTTACCGGAAAGGTGGATCAGGAGGAGCCAGAGGTCTCCCGCGACGTCGGCCATCGGTGTTGCGGGACCGAAGCGGAAGACGGTCCAGTCGTAGATCCACCGACCGATGGAGTCGGGCGAGAAGACACTCCCAAGGAGAAGGATCGGTTCCTCGGTCGGGTCCCAGTGTTTTAAAGAGTAGCCGGCGGGAATCCCCGCGCGTCGTGCGTCTTCCTCTGTGGCCTTGGGCGACTCTTTCTTCGGAGTTCCCTTGCTCTTCGGAGTCGGCGTTGAGGCATGATGTGAAGTATAAGGCCGTGCCTGGGTGCCGGTGCCTGCTCCATGGGATGCACGGCGTGCGCGTGCTGATCGGTCATGGCCAGTCGGAGGATATGCGTGTTGAGGAGTCGATTCATATATGGGCACCTGTGTTGAACCAAAGGGGGGATGATCAGCTGCTCGCCCGTGATATTGATAATGTTCGTAAGGCGGGGGCGGGGAGTCCCGGTAGACGTTGTCGTCGTCGATAATGACGTGGTTGACGTAGTCGGGTGTGCCAAAGTAGCCATGATAGTAACGCGCTTTGGTTGTAGAGGGAGGAGAGTCCCCCATCCCTGCTGTTGGCCAGTAGCCGGGGTATGTCCCTCCCGCAGCGGTCGCTGGTCGCCATGATGCCGTGGCTCGACGCGGGTGGAAACGCCGAAAACGATCTGAACTGCCACTTACATAATCAGGTTCGCGCGGCCGTGAGTTGGCGGCATAGCTCGCGTATCGGGGTGAACCGTAGTTGTGTGCAAAGTGGTAGCCGGATGCCGGATCATGGCTCGTGCGACGGGCGTGAGCAGACGATTTGCCGCGAGGAGAAGGAGTCGAGGCATAGACGTTGTACCGAGGAGAAGAAAAGTACTGCGCACCGCCTGGGGGAGGGGAGACAGGAGGGGTGCGAAACTCATAAGATGTGCCAGGATATGGCGGAGGAACGGCGTATGGTCCGTAGTTCATGGTGGGGATTCATGCGCCTCAAAAGAGACGTGGAAAGAATTGAGAAATGAGACGAAGATGGGGAGGAAGAGAGGTGTTTATATCGTTGGTGTCGCGTCTCACCCATCAACGTGGCGAACAATCGCCTTGACAGGGACGTGGTATTCTGCGAATGTCCGAGGAGAAGAAGGACTGGGAGAGAGGAGAAGATTGGGCCCTTCGTTCACACATTTGTGGGTTGGAAATGACGCTTTTGAAAAGCTGAGTATAAGGACCGGTAAGAGTCCTTGGAGATGTGTTTAAATTGTGGATGAACCACGAAGAATGATGACTGGATGGGGACTTTGGGATGAAGATATTTGACAAAATGTCATTAAGGATGGTTACGTGCCAGCGAAGCGGGAGGCAGGACAGACTCTTATGGGGGAACAAAGGGAACAGGGCACTGCAGAGGAGACCAGGGCCACCAAAAGCCGTGAGTCGCAGGGCCGCAACCAACAGGCCAAACCGAGAGAATCCTTGCTCTATCGTGCAGCCGGCGCGTCAAAATACTCAAGGAGTCAAGGGTGGCTGAACTGCCAATCTGTAATACCTCAGGTTTGCCCTCCGGTATTTTATGTAATATATCGTCTTTGGCCCGGAGGGTGTCCCGACTGGGTAAATCAATCAGGCCCGGATTGGGGAGACCGAGAGGAGAGGAGAAGAGTTGGGGCTTGACAAGTTGAGATCCTGTCTGATCAGGCTTTGAGTGGATTGGAATCACCGAGACGATGGTGACCAAACCGACGAAAGATGTCCTATGACATTTGTTCAGCTGTTCACTCTGAACTTGCTTGACTCCATCTCCTTTTATATTCGGCCGAAATCCAGTCATGTCTCTAGAACTATCTCGATCATGCTAGCTGTGCCTAGTGACGTCGTCCAGTGAGACGGCGAAAACTGTGGCTTGTGAGAGAGCATATTAGAATTGATAGGGCCTAGTTAGTGGAGTATTTAGGTACAAGTGCTGAGGAATTTCTAATATCGACTTAGAGTTAGGATGGTCGTGAAGGCGAAAAGCCCCGACTGCTTGGTCAGCACTTGCCAGCATCCTCATCCAGCGTACTACGTACGCAATAACGCAACCCTTCCGCCGCCTTCCAGAATCCGATCTCCCAATCCTCCGCCTGCAACGTGTTGGATATTGGAGCGGACTGATTTTTATATCCGACTGTACGACTTCCACAACGTCATCACCGTATCGCCGCATAATTCTTGATTCCAACACGGAGGATCTCGAACTCCATATGCATATGTATCTTTGGTATCACCGACCAACATCACATAATCACCCGGTCCGCACATTCCAACAGATCCTATGAATTCCTCCGGATCTATTTCAAACTTTCTAAGCCTCTTCATCACCTGGCTCTTTACAATATAAATGGATTACGCCGTACACTGTTGACTGTACTGTGCATAGGAGGCCAGAGAGCGACCAAGCCACACCACAGTGGACGGTCCGACGACCGACAGGAATACAAGATCCATGTTAATGGCCGATGACCCATCAATGCGGCTTTGCTAATGCTAGACTTTGCAATCTCCATGTCCTTGCGACTGGGGAGGTTACCCAGACAGGTAGGATCATGATATTCCCATGACGTTCCAAGGTCATCTGCGGAGTGTGTTTAAAGGAGAGACGATAATATTACCGTAGTCCGTTCCCAGTCCTCCGTAAAGTCTCGCTGACAGCCGATGAGAATGTTGTCGACAGCTTCGTCCAAGGTAAAGGATCCTGTGGTGCAATGATGCCGTTGCCCTGAAGCGGGAGGTTGAACAGTCACGTTGTGCAAATGAGCACCAAGGCCCATTGCATGTCCGGCTCCCCTTTCAATTCCAAAGGATCCACTGGCTGCCATAATTCGTGTATCAGTGGACACTTGCATGGAGATTGGGGACCGTTCCTCCTCCACAGCTCCACGCGGATTTGATGGAGCGCAGTCCTGGCCCGCTCGAAAACTCAACGGATCTCAACACAACAGGTCCGTGTGTACGCGTTCCGCTGCCTTAATCCTTTTACGTTGGACAAACTGGAGAAAAATGTGTTCCAATCCAAAACCTCGGGCCCTGGTGGCGCTCACCCATGTTGCTTTTGTTTTCTTGGAACCGAGAGCAATTTCGAACTTGGATCTTTCAGGTTTAACTTCCTCCACTCCTCCAGGCTCCATATCGCACTTTGGATGGGATTTGTCGGCACTGGCCCTCCTGTGACACTGCCCCTTTCCTCGGTGCGACATTGGGCCCCTCCACTGCCTTTTCTTTGAGCCTCAATTTCGTTCCATGTTCGTTTCTAGGCTCCAGAATGGTCGGGAGTGAATTCCCTTGGTCTTTGTTCTTCCATTCAGCTCCGTTCCAAAGGTCTCATAATTTCGGACAGGATAAATTTTCGAGGGTTCGATTTCGGTGAGTCTCACTCCGTGCGGCACAGACTTAGATTTCGTGTCGATATCATCAGTGCGTTTTTTGGTGATATTTTTTATTTTTCCCTTTGGTATCGGCTTGTGAAAGTCTTCTTAACCCCCCTTTGTGTCTTTGTGTACGAGTAATGGACACACATATCATTGGATTTGGCTGCATCACTTCCATCCTCCGTTCTAGCTGCAGTGGACATCACTCCTGCGCCTTGTGGGCCTGAAATTTAGGCTCGGAATGCGAAAATCATCCATTGAACAGTGAGAACAGGAGCGCATATGGCAATTTTGGAGGAGTGCCATCCATAACGATTGTCACTTCACTGGTTGGTGTTCATGGTGCTGATTGATCGGACTTTTAGTGCCACGATTCCACAACGAGGATTCGCCGTTTAGCGTCGCAGCAGAGAAGATTAGCCCAGCCCCTGCTCCACTGCAGTATCGCTATTGGCCCCAAAGTCATGTCCATCGTTCCGAGCGCCGCATGGCCCCTCTCTGCAAGCCAATCGACAGGCGGAAATCGTATGCGTTGGCAATTTGGGCTGCAAGCCACATTCCCGGGCCGAACAAACATTACCATTCGGCTTCTCAACTGTCAGCATCCTTGAGACAACGTGAAGTTACCAACACCCAGGATATTTAGGAGATTATTACTGACGGTGTCGTCGAATCGTGCATTAGCAACGGGCGGAATTTAAGGTGGTGGATATTCAAATTCCATTGTGGGACCCGTGGCTGCATAACCGATGCCAACTACGGGCCTTTAGCATGCAGACATATTGCTAGAGGATCCAAGGCGGTAAGACGCCGCCTTTTTGGGGTTTGATATCCCTCCATGAATCGCATTGTTTGTTGGACAACTCACACACCGCACTTCGGATGCTGCAAAATTGTGGAAAATTTTCCTCTGCAGTACCCAATGATACTTCGAAAGTACATGACTGTTTCAGCCTGCAGATAAAAATGGAAGAGCATGGAAAGCCATAGAAGTGGCACTGATTGAAGGACAGTATCGGTGAACAATCGCCTCGGCGATCTTTGTTTGATGGATGAGCATGTGAGTAATTGGTGTAAGAGATGGGAAAAAGCGTCACATTTAACGAGAGAAATCATTATTGAAATATTGCCATGACTACTGGATCAGCTGCAGATCATGGTGGTCCAAAACAAAGAGCCCGGGTTTCCATTTCATCGGTAACGGTTAACGACGCGGGAGTCAAGCTTTCGAACGGTGCCTTTTGCTCCCGCTGCATCCTTAGGCGACCCACTGCCGGGAAGCTGCATCCCTAGCAATAGCGCCTCACTCTATGACTCTGTCTCCTGAATCCTGATAGAGGCCGCCTGAATACCTACCTACCTGGGTATGCATCGCCTTTCCCAGCTGCTGCTGCATAGCCCGATCTTGCAAAGTTACCGTCAATAGGCCGCCTACAGTCCTCACTCGGCCTCCGATGATGACTGTTACTGAGTGTCACAGTGCCACCAACGGACATGCGCAGGTATGTGACACAGAAGTGCGGCACTCGTGGCGTCTTTTCCGGTTTCTGCCAGCTAAGCCGCACTCATTTTAGAACCAGTTTCAACACCGATATACGACTACCGTTGAACGATCAAGGCGCCTTTCTTCCATCGACAAACGATACTATGGCAACGATGTCAAGTTACGGAGCTTTAGTAACATACCTTGTGCTCTAGGCCATTATTGCTGTCCTAGAATGTCTGTATCGAAGGCTAAACCACCTTGACCAGCCTCAATATCGCGATGCTGCCCGAATATGGTGACTCACTACTGATGGCGAATAAGGTACGTCCGGTTACGGGGACCAGTATCCCCGATCTTATTGGCGGGATAAAGTGTGGCTAACGGGTCACAATAGTTGCGATGAGTTCCAATTAACGACAGCAATATTTGAATCACATGCAGCAAGGAAATATCGAGACGCTAGATGGCATACGTCAGTGGCGGAGGCAGGTTGGACTTTGTAGAGCATCAACCTGACCAATGGCCGATGTTGTTGTCCGGTGGCTAAACTGCGGGTGAATGAAGAGTGGCGTTGACCCAACTGCGTCTCTAGTTCCGGTGCCACCCCCTTACACATCATCCTGCTCAGCATCCAGGCGTTGCCTTAGATGGATGGGAAAGGCTCCTTGAAAAGTCGTTGGAACATGGGATGAGTCAACGCACCTCAAGGGTAGGCGGATTGCGTGTCTACTTACGCACGGGACTTGTTCACCTGACGAGCGAGGAGCGCTCTGACATGGAGCTGTCCGACGACGGTGAGTTTCTACTCTTCTCTTGAATTATCCGCGTCCATATCATCCTCGGTTCTCCCGTTGAGCCTTTCTCTAAGTTGAATATGAGTCAATTATTCAATATGTTGCGCGAATATGTCCACATCTGGTCCTACACTGTTCACAGCCCACGTACCGTACTCTCATCTCCTCCCTCAGCGACACATAGCTCATGACAGGAGTCTCACTTGGTAAAACATTAAGCAATTAATTTTCTCGTCTACCATAAAACCCTTATACCTTTCGGCGAGACTATCACACTGTCGCAGTGTAGTACAACTCTGCTCCGGTCGGTTTGAGGGTTTCCTTCCCACCATGCACTGGGTTCTTCACGGAACAGGTGGGATTCATATCTTTAAGGGCCCACCTACCTAACGACCATGCCCTGCAGAAGAGACTGGTAAGTTGGCGATGCGAGATCTAAATGTTATTCGTTTGATGCTCGTCCCTTTACCCCCCAGACCCCGTCCCCAAGTCTCCTGCGTCTCTCTTTAATTTTTATTGTCAAGGCACTCGGCTACAATTTTCACGCGGTTATCGCTCGTTTTGCTCCTCCGTTATATTTCAAGGTCATTGCTTGCTAAGGGTAGCCTGACTCGAGAGTACCTGATCGAATTATCTGGACCCATCAGTCGGTATACCTCATATAACCAATCTGTTCAAGTATCGAGTACTCTTTGCAGATTATATGCCCTTTTACCATTAAATTATTGACCATGATATGTGGTATTATCTACCTCCACAAACTCCACAGCCGTTGCCTCTCCCATTCCACTTGCTACACAACTCCGTATCCCAAACTTCAGTCACATGTTTCTAGCCCTAGAGTTCCTAGTACAATCCTTTCTTAGGATGATGGCAACTTTCTTCTCCACTCAATTATCCAAGATACCTCAACATACCAAACCATCTAACCCAACAGCAGCACAACGAGGCCCGAAAGAACCGCCAAACCCCCTGACGTAAGCTTTTCCCCTACATTCGGTGTATCTGCGGAGCGCCCGTTTGTTGGTGCTGGAGCGCTTGGCGAGGGCAGAGTGGGTGAAATAGCTCCTGCAGCCGGTACAAGCGCTCCGCCAATGATACCATCCGGCTGACTGCTTTGATCGGTACTACGGGCAGCGCCGAGATACTGTTCGAGAGTCTGACTTCTGTCAGATCTGTGTTGTCTCTCATCAGCAACCGAGCAAGCAATGAGGAACATCACTGTCCTTGAGGATATCCAAGGGAGATGCTCACGGTGGATTGACTACAGCCACTTGGCCATTTGAACAATGATGCGGTGTACTACAATACAGCCACAACGGCTCCGTATCATTCACTTCCACCACGAAAATCTGAGCCGCCCCCTGTTCTTTATCACTGGCGTCCACCCATCCCGAGAATATGCCTCCCCCAGTTGCCGAAGACTGGCAAGGCGTCCCAAAGGGACCGGATGCAACGTTGTGGTGCCCGGGGAAGAAACGGAAGATCAGGAGGTCGCCGGGAACAGCATGGGTGACGTTCGGAGCAATGTTTAGGCCGCTGGAGCCAATACTGATCGTATGGTTGGCTGCGAGTGCAAAGGGGAGTGAGAGAAGGAAGGATAGGAAGACATGAGTGCTGGCTTGTGAGAACATTGCTGGAGGCTTGTAAATGCTATATGGCGATTGGTATTTCTGAGTAGAAGGTCAAGGGGGTAAAAAAAATCTGGGATCTTGACGGTGATAAAAAAGGTTGAAATGGAACCCAGCGGTTCTATTTTCATGGCGATTGAAGCCTCCTGTTAAATAACTTTTGTCCTTGTAGCACACAAACAGGTATTGTGGCTATACGAACGACCTTACGCAGTGTGGTGAAACTCCAGGTCTTGATAACTACCTCTTCCGCTCCTCTCGGGTTTCTCGGCATGACCGAAGTCCCCAGCACCGAGCGAGTTCCCCAGAAGTCCACTGCGGTGCAGATTTCCCAAGTCCTAAACTGGGGGTTTCAATTCTATTTCCAAGTCTTTCCTAGTCACAGCTCAGGATGTATGGTTGTCGAGCCCGGATCCCCAAAGGCTGAGTTGGACGGAGTACCGCCAAGACATTGGCAAACACGACCGGATGCAGGTAGACGGATAAAATGGTATGGTATGATGGTATATGCAGATGATATAATTCCGTCAGATGGTATATACGTAAGTTTCAACACGATCACTGCTTCTCACTGCCAACCCTATCTCACAAACACAGCCGGTATTGGAATCTCTGGGGGTTCCGGGGTAACCGGTTTCGGCGGCTTTGGGATCTTGATTTCCTTTTTCCCGTTCGCACGATAGTAGAGTACCACATCGCCGCCACCACGCCAGACATGTGCGCGGATTGTGGCTAAGGTCATGGTTGGGGGAATGAACTGTTGAGTCGTGGTGTGGTCAGATCGATTGGCCCCAAGAAAAAAGAAATTGAACATGGTAACGAGGACAAGAGGAATGGTGGGAGAGAACGTACCTGATTCTGGCAAAAGAGGTCGAGATACTCCTCCGGCTTCATCGCTGAACTGGATTCAGGATTGGAAGAGGGCGCTTCGATACGCTCAGCAACGTATGCGAGGATTTTCCGAGCTCGGAGCATGCGGTTGGCGTTCAGGCGGTTATTCCTAGATCTGGTCAATATGGATTGTCCTCGCTACTGGCCGCCGTTTGGTTAACATACCCATCGCTCGCAATGCTCGGCAGCAGGTTCTGATACGGTTCGAGTATGAATGACACCTTGACGATGTCTTTCAATGGCATTTGGTTCTTCCGATGGTCAGCTCCGAACGATTTCTCATCATGGATGCCCCTTATAGTAGCAATCAACCCACCCGTAACAGTACCTCCGCCAACCATAGCGGCGCCACCTTCTCAATGGTATCGGCCTGCTTCCCCAAATTCCCTACCTCCCCTTCAAACAAATCTGCCACCCCACCACTATCCCCTCTATCCTCTTGAATCAAAATCAGCGTATTCAACGGTGGCTTCAACACCGGCGTATCGTTCGGCAAGCTCGGTGTAATTGCACTTGTCAGCGCCTCTGCATTCCCGGATGCAGTGCCGTGAATTTCTTGGGCATGAGGGAGCGATGCTGCCACCGCCCCGCTGTGCTCCGCTCCACCTTCTCCCGGCCCCGCCCCTGGGTCCGCGCCTGTTATCGCCTGATCCGAGCCTTCTTCCGTCCGCCTCGCCGGCGGCCCCGTCCGCAGTGACGCCAGCTGCTCCTCATACCCCGACCGGATCTTCTGCACCGTGCCCAGGAAATTGTCCTCGATCGCACGACCATCCACTCGGCTCGAATGAGAATCTCCGTCCTCGCTCCGTTCGTCAGTACTAGATGGAGCGCCTCCAGCTCCGCCTTTGGCAATGTTGGCAGGGCTAGTAGCATCGGCGGCAGCGGTCGAGGCCGAGCGCCCAAGTTTCTTCATCCCCGCAAAGGTCATGGACATTTTCGGCATGCGCATTTTCTTGCTGAAGAGGTTAGATTCTTTAGCGTCTTTCGAAGGGTTGTTTGCGGAGTCCTTTTCATGTTCGGAGGGTGTTGAGGTCTCGTCGGTTGTGGGTTCGCTCGGCGTCGCGGGAGGTTTACCGCCGTTGCTCACGGCGGGTGGAGATTGGGCAATAGAGGTGGTGGCGGAGAAGTAGTCGTTGGGCTTGTCAAGTTCATTTTCAGCTTCGGGAATCGGTACGCCGGGCGTGGTTGGGTTCGCGCCAGGTGTCGCGAATCCACCCGGAGAGGCGATGCCGATCGCAAGACCGGGAGTAGATGCTGGGAAGCGCATACCATTGTTTGCCCGGAGCGTGGATACGGAAGCTGGGCCAGCTGCAGCATCATTCCAAGTCGTGATCTTGGTTTGCGGGATTTGGATGGTTCCTGGGGTATTTCCTCTCTGAAAGTTCTGGTCTCTCTGGTCGAGAATATGCTGCCGAGCCTCTTCATCTCGACGGATCTCCTCATTGATCAGGTCAGCGAATAGGTATCTCAAGACCCATTTCCCTAGATTGACTACGTCAGGTTAGCAAGGGCGATCCTTTGCGTACCCACGAGGGACTTACTCCGCTGGTCTTCACGAAATTCAATCCCCTCATCTAGCTCGACTTCATCGGCGTACATCTCAGCGTCGAAACAATGATTCTCATCCAGTACGCAGGTCAGACTGCCGGTTCTCGTGTCGACAGCACACCAGTGTGCAACCGCCTCCACTGGATTGATATCATGGAGGACATCATCCATTGCCTTCTTTCCAAACGACTTGACAGCCTGGCACGTAATCAAATCCCAAAGTATGACTTCTCCAGCGGTATCCAAGGTCAATACTCGTCTCCTGTCGTTCAGCATGACATGTTTAATCAAGCCGTTCTGGCCCTCAATAGAATGGTCCGGTAGTTGCCGCAATGGAACCACTACACTATCCAAAGCGTCCAGTGCCCCCGACGGCTTTCGTGCGCTAGCGGTGGAATGCAGTGTCGAGGCTTCCATGTCCCGATTCGGGTAGAGCAAAAACGAGGCTACATTCGAGAGTCTCAGAACACTCTTGAACGGAATCATGTTCTGCCCGACCCCGCTAGACGGTGGTGGGCTGGTGGATGCTGGGTGCACAGTCTGTCTGGACTTTGTGGTAACAACGCTTGACCGATGCATCCGATAAGAATCCGGAGGCTGTATTTCGACATCCGTGAGATCGACGTCAGTCCAGCGATTGATACTGGAATTTGACGTCGCGGTCCAGATATACTTCCCCGCCTTGACGATCTTATTCACCCCGTCATGCTCTTGGGCAACAGCGACACACATGCCCTCGTTGACTTCCGCACACCCTCTCGTATCTGTCTTCGCGACCATGCCTCCTCGATCGCTGGAGTAAAAGACCGATAGCCTCGGGTCATCGGAGAACAACGACCAGACGCTATCATTGTGCATTGTTAATGTATATCCGCACCTCCCCGCTGCGACATCCCATACTTTGATCGTTTGATCGCTCGACGCCGTCAGTATGGTCTCCCCATCTCTCGCCACCAAAATCGCTCGAATATTATCCGTGTGCCCCACGAATTTGGTCACCCGCTTCCCGCTCCGCGGATCCCACACCCTCACCACGCTCTCCGGGCCACCGCTGGCTATCAAACCCGGCGTGACCCCAAGCGCGTAAACGGAACCTTTCGTCGCTTGCCCTTGCCCGACTTTGCCGGAGTCGTCCCCGGTGCAGTCGATGGACAGCGTCTGCCCGTTTCCGGCGAGATCCCAGAGGCAAATCTTGCGGTCCAATCCGCCCGAGGCGACCCAGCTGGATGTCTGACTGGGGCAAGCGACGCATTTCACGTAGTCGCTATGCAATCCAATTGTGGTCGGCGGGCCGGAGTCAGCGGCGAAGGGGCGCCACAGCTTGACGGTAATGTCAGACGAGGCCGAAACGAGGGCTTGGTGTTGGTTGGCGAGGACGATGTCGTTGATCCAGTGCGTATGGGCCTGGACCTGCTGCCGGAGAGTCGACGGAGAAGGCGAGAGCGCGGACGGGGAGGAGCTCTGGGACGGAAGTGAGGCCGGATGCGACGGAGGAGGGGAGGAAGCTAGGTTGGAGAAATCATCGTCTGCAAGAGGGACGTGGAGATCCCATGCGCATATTGCGCCATCTCGCCCGCCTGAGTATCTATCATCATGTCAGGTCGGAGCCGCTGAGACGCCGCATAGGTGGTAGGTCGTACAGGATGGAATTAATGGGATCTACAGCCAGGCCATTGACGCCGAGTCGATGTCCGCCCGCGGATTTTGCGAGCGGCAACACTGTCCAACCCCAATCCGGGGTATTGCGTTAGTCGACGGGTGCTCGAACGGATGCAAGAGCAGTGTCGTGTCCCGGAGTCGTGGGAAGGGTACATGTTACGGTGGTGAGAGCGAGGGGTGCGTACCATAGCAAATTCGCTTTCGCTGTTTGCGCACCATACCATAGGTTTGGAGGAGTATATGCGCATTCGAATGAGGCCGCGGAGCACAGTGGAGAACGGATACCTATCAGGATAGAGATGTCCCCGGATAGTGGAAGTCGTCTAAGAGGAAGGTATAAGTACAGAATAGGTACGCAGCACCGATATACGGAGTACAAAGATGGTTACAAAGACAGGCTCATATTGACGATGCTTCAACTTTATATAAGAACCGGAAGTAAATGATTCCCAATAAGCACATTCAACTTGGTGAACCCGGGAATGAAATTGAAAGAAACGGCACAGCAGTTACGAGGTGAGGAGTGAGAGTACTAGCTGTCCATAAGTCGAGATGGCCGAAGCTCTTTAGGACCCGTTGGAATACGGGACAGTCTAATGGGAATATTGCGTTGGTTCTATTACCCGAACCGACAGGCGACGCCATCCTGCGCTAGGAAGGTCCTTGAGTTGCGTATCTAGACTTCATGATTTAAATGCGAACTCGCATAAGTAGTGGAAGCTAATGCAATGGTATATTCGACGCTGCAGATTTGCCGGAGGTTGCTCCTAAGCCTTTGTTCAGGTAGCTACGCTGTTTTGGCAGCTGGGGGGATGTCCTATCATCCTCCATTCTCCCCGCACCACCAGCTACTCCCTTGATTGCGGGAGGATTGAGTAGCTCCTTAAGTAAGGTAGGCAGATAATTACATAAATACGGAGGCGAGCAGTAGTTACGCTCGTCCAGGTGCCTTTCTAATGATAGCCGTTGGCTTGGATATCCAGCGCCTCCAACTCTTCCTTTGTGTTCCTGTACAAATCCTGTGCCTCCCGCTCCCTCCTGCTGACAAACGTCACCTCCTCCCGCAGTCCCTCCAGCCGTCGTGAGATCGCAGATTGCTCCGCCACTTGCGCCGTACGCTTCGTGTCGAGATCCCAAGTCGCCTTGTCCAGAGCATCCGACGCTTCGACGATCTTCTGTCGCAGCATTTTCTGTCGGTGTTGGTAGCCACCCAGATGGATTGCGAGTTTCTTTTCGGTCTTGCTGCCTTGTTCGGCAAGACCCATGATTTGATCTTGAACGGTCTATGAGGAGTTAGAAAACGATGCTTTGAACGGGAAATGAACACTTACGTCGAAGGCCTCCGTCAACAGCTGCCTCTCATCAAGATCATCTTCGCTGTATCCATCAAGCCCAAGGAGGGCTGCGTTTGTATGTAGAGTGACCAATGTATCCTGGAACACTTCACCCTTTTCTCTAAGCTCATCCGTCGAGATCTCCAGAGCAAGTTCGAGCTTTGCTTTGTTCAGAGCTGCTTCGTCCATCACTTCGACAGGTCGTGCAGCACCATTGACCTTGGCTCCACCGAATTTGAGGGCATCATTCGCAATCAGAAGAGCCGCCTCGTGGGCGACAACTTGAGCAATGGAATCCTCGAGTTCAGTCGCGTTCTTGAGCATTGCATCAACATCAACAACGGAGGGTCGTGGCAACCCCTTTTGGATCACCTGCGTTTGTCGCTTGAAATCTGCCAATTCGGCCGCCTTCCGAAGGGCTTCGTTCCGGGCATCGCGAACCGCCGCATCCTCCTCTGTGGTTTCGGCTGCGATGACATCGGCTTGCTCTTCTGGTAATTCAAGCTCCCATTCCGTCTCCCTCGGCTTCGGAAGCGCGGAGAATTTGCCCCTGAGATCCTGTTTAAGTGCGATTTCCCGTAGTCGCACGTCCCTTGGAGTTTGTGCCACCAATGCCATGCCATCTTCGCGGTTGAGGCTGAAATTATCTCTCGGCGTCCGCAACGGGGTTGCGCCTGGGGTTTGGCTAAGTCCATTGCGCATGGGTGTGGCTAATGGATTCGGCGTCGCGACATGATTCTTGCTAGGCGCGACGCCCTCGAAACCAGTTGTGCCCCGACCTTCGTGGAGAGGAGTGTTATCTCCCCCCAGCAGCGCGGATTGGGTGTCGGTGAGGGCTCGCGCGTTTTTGATCTCGTTGGCGATTCGATTTTCTTCTTGTGGAGCTCGCGGTGTCCTGATTGGAGTGCCGCCGACGATTGCATTGTAATTCCCAACCAAGCCTCGGGTTGCATCGTTTTCCGCTGCACTTGCAGATCGTGACGCTCGTTCCCCTGCCATGCCCATCTTCACAATCTCCTCAAGCTCGGATTCGCCGACTTGCGGTGCGGGAAGGTTGAGTGATCGCCTCTTGTTGCTTCGTTCAGCCTCTCGAAGGCGCTGCAGTCGCGCAGCTTGGGCGGGAGCGGCAAATGCTGCAGCACCACCACCACCACCACCACCAGACTTTTCATTCTTCCGCCTCTTCCGCTCATCGCCATCGTCTTCCTGGTCGCCTTTCCGTTTATTCGCCAATTGTTGCTTGCGAGGATCGAACGCTTCGCGCTGCTTCTCGTTTCGATCCATTTCTTCCACGGTGTCGTAGAAGCCAGGGGCCGGAGCCTTTTCGAAGGGAATGTCGGCGTTATAATCCATTTGGCCCTTTTTCCGATTGACGATCTTGATATTGATCCCGGCATTCTTCAGTTCCCTCCGCTTCTGGAGGTTTGCCATGCGACGTGACTCCTCCAGCTGCCGCTCTCTTGCCTTCCGCTTCGCCTTCTTTCCCTGGGTATTTGCCAACCGTGCTCTGGCCTCACTGAGCATCTCCTTTTCATCTTCATCCATGTCGATCGTGTCCGGTTTCGCGGGCTTCGATTCCGGATCGGGATCCAACTCACCAGGCCTGAGTCGGCGGACATCATCGGCGTTCGGAGGGGCAGTCTCACCACCCTCCGGTCCCTCAAGAGCGAACTCATCGGTTTCGCGCGCCTCGGCATCATCCAAGAGTTTCTGATACCGTTCCAAGCACTGTGTGGCTGTGCGACCAACGATCGGAGCGATGGTTCGCCATTGCGTGGGCATCAGCTTTGCGAGGTGGAGCAGCTTCTCATCCTCCTCCTTGGACCATTCGATCTTGCGGATGGATGGATCGAGCCATTCCTGCCAGCGAGCCTTGCATTGCTTGGGGGATTTCCGGGCGAGAAGGGAGGAGACTCGGGCCCATTGATTGAGTCCGTACTTGGAAACGGAGGCTTTGAGGATTTCGTCCTCCAAGTTCGTCCACACGCCTCCTTTTGCGACCGGCATGGTGAACGAGTTGCCGAAGCGGATTGGAGTCTGCGCGAAATGAAAGTGGAGGATCTCGGTGAGGGCGGCGAGTTGGGAACTTGAGGATTGATGGTTTGGACGCGTGAACAGAAAGATGAATCTGAATCCTGGACATAGACTGGAATCGACAGGCTGTTGATGCCTTAAGTTTTAAGGCATGAACAATCTCGGTCACATGACCTTATTTCGCGTCCCTGTCAGTCCGGTGGCACCTTGTTCACCGTCCAGCCACGCCAACATGAACCACTAGTGGTCCGCTACATACCGAGATAGCTACCTAAATGCTTTCCAAATCGGTGTTTAACAAATTGAATCACGTGAACCAGAATAACCTTCACGCGTTGAGCAATTCAGTATTATTAGAGCGGGATGTCTTGGAAGGCAGAAGGCTGAAGGCAGAAGGCTTGCATCAATCATGCACGGCCCCTCCCCAGCCATATCCGCATTTCCCAGTCTGCAACCACGTCCACATCATGTTTCATTTGCTTCTTGACAAGAAACGATGTTTGAGTCTATCGAGAAACTCATTCGGTGGAACACTCCCCGGTTCAAGCAAAAACCATGCGTCTATTGAAGCGCAGTAGCAGTGGGGGACTAAGCCTGACAGACGACCTGGTTGACGACGATATCCCTCGAAACTACGCCATCCTCTCGCATACATGGATACATGGCGAGGAGGTCACATTCGAAGAGTTTAGAAAAGGGATGCGAAAGCACACAGTTGGGTATAGGAAGATCGAGTTCTGTGGAGAGCAGGCCGCTCGCGATGGGTTGGAGTACTTCTGGGTAGATACTTGCTGCATCGACAAGTCAAACAGCACCGAGCTATCGAAGGCCATCAAACTCTATGTTTCGGTGGTATCATAATGCGACACGATGCTATGTCTATCTCTCGGATGTTTCGGGACCGGTCTCTGGCGCAAACAACTCACATCTACAACGGTGGGAGACGGAATTTCGGAAAAGTCGATGGTTCCGGAGAGGCTGGACTCTTCAGGAGCTGATCGCTCCAGAGACGGTCGACTTTTTCTCCAAAGACCGAGCGTTGTTGGGAAGTAAGAAAGTACTCGAGCAGCAGATTCGCGAAATTACTGGAATTCCTGTAACTGCTCTTCGAGGATGCGTTCTATCTCAATACAGCGTAGCGGAGCGACTGTCGTGGGCCGAAGACCGCGAGACCACAGAAATGGAAGACAAAGTCTACTCATTACTGGGTATTTTCGGCGTACATGTGCCTCTGATCTATGGCGAAGGGATAGACAACGCATTCCGGCGGCTCCATTTCGAGATTGACAGAGCATCGAAGAGTAGGCCATTTTTCCTAGCTCTTTGCTTTTCTAATTACTATGGTGAATATAGGGACTAGAATAGCGTTGACGGGACTAGGCGACCATTTCGAAGACTTTTCCGTCGGCTTTAGTCTTGCTGACGCCTCGGAGACGGAGCACTTTGTTGTGCGAGAGACAGAGCTCAAGGAAATACACCAAACACTCAGTGGCGATGGCATCCGTCGCATCGCTGTCCTTCACGGGTTGGGAGGAATCGGCAAGACACAACTGACGGTTGCATATGCGAAGCAATATCGAGCCAACTACTCGACCGTGCTCTGGCTCAACGCCAAAGATGAGGATACTCTAAAGCAGAGCTTTGGCAATGTAGCCCCGAGGATATTACAAGAGCACCCGTCTGCTCAACGCCTTAATGGAGTGGATTTGAAAGGGAGCTTAGACGAGGTGGTGGAAGCCGTTAAGGGGTGGCTAAGTCTTCCTAAGAACACAAGATGGCTGGTCATCTATGATAACTACGACAATCCAAAGGTAGCGGGCAACACGGATGCCGGAGCATTAGATATCCGAAAATACCTGCCAGAATCACATCAAGGATCAGTTATTGTCACTACGCGGTCGTCTCAGGTCACCGTTGGCCATCGCATCCCCGTCCGAAAGCTGGAGGACGTGCAGGATTGCCTTGAAATACTATCAAATGCATCAAGGCGAGAAGGATTGATTGATGGTAAGGCATTCCTAGAATTATGAGTAGAGTTCTAATATCAATAGTAGATCCCGACGCAGTCAAGCTTGTGAACGAGTTGGATGGACTCCCTCTGGCACTTACAACTGCTGGAGCATATCTTGAACAAGTGACGACCAGTTTTGCAGAGTATCTTCGTCTGTATAACGAATCATGGCTGAAACTGCAGCGGAGAAGTCCTGAGCTGAGCTCATACGAAGATCGGACACTCTACTCTACCTGGGACATCTCCTTTAAGCATGTTCAACAGCAGAACCGACTTTCGGCCCAGCTCCTACTACTATGGGCTTACTTCGATAATCAGGACCTCTGGTTCGAACTTCTTCGCCATGGCGATATAGGTGATCCGGAGTGGGTTCGCGAGCTTACTGAAGACCGAGTGGACTTCGACGACGCAGTTCGGGTGTTGTGCAACCACGGGCTCGTAGAAGCAAACTCGACTTCGCGGGAGATGGTGGAGTCTCAAGGGTACAGCATGCACAGTTGCGTACACTCGTGGACACGGCATGTTCTAAATCAAGAGGGGAATGGGGAGCTGGCGAGGCTCGCGCTTAAATGCATCGGATTACATGTTCCTCTTACCTCGAGTGATCGGTGGTGGATTACGCAGCGACGGCTTCTGGCGCATGCTGCTGGCTGTTCATCGATACTGAAAGGCGCAAATGGCGGGATGGAGTGGGCATTACACAACCTGGGCGACCTCTACAAAGACCAAGGGAAACTGAAGGAGGCAGAAGAGATGTACATGCAAGCGCTGCAAGGAAAGGAGGAGGCACTTGGACCGAAGCACACATCGACGCTCAACACGGTCAACAACCTGGGCCTCCTCTAC